GCCCCCCCCCCCCCCCCCCCCCCCCCCCCCCCCCCCCCCCCCCCCCCCCCCCCCACGGTTCTCGTAGCACTTCGAAGGGGGACGGGACGGTTAGGTAGCTATTTGTACCACGATGGGGGAACGGGATCTGTAAGAAGGAGAGCAGGGCTGCGAGTAGGAGACTGAGCCATATTGATATGGATTGCGACGCAAGCAATAGTACCAATACCAAGGGTGTCTGTCCCGCGACGACATCTCGATCTTTTTTTGGTGACGTGCAATCAAGATGTCGGGGTGGGGCAGTCGTGGGGCTCTGGGACAGGACAATTGCACCAAACAGCACAGCAGCATCAACGTGTATGGCAAGACAGACCAAGACAGACCAGGACAGACCAGGAGGCTCCAGAACAGGAGGTTTTGCCCCTGGTGGTGTCTTGGCAGACTTTTGACATGTCGGGTGTCGGATGTCTTTACAGTCTTTACAGTTGGAACTACTGTAACGTCACTGCGCACATCTAGATATAAATATGGCCATCCGCGTCAACCAGCCGTTGTCACGACCGTTATCACGACTGTCCCCCTTGCTACCGTACCTGTACCCAGGGACCCAACCGCTGTCGCGAGCCTCTGATGCGGACTTATCCAGTATGCAAGCCATGTTCTGTTCTGCTGGTGGCATGCCACTGACCGCCTCTGTTGCTCTGTACTACCGTATGTGGATGATGTTTGGTAGGCCGAACTACGGCCCATGATGTGATGCTACTTGGGGTTTCTGGAGTCGCAAGACACGACGGCAGACGGCAGAGGAATGCATTCATTCCCTCGTTGATGCTTGCTGTTTGTGGCAGATGAGGGCAGGATGAGGGGTTGCGATACCTAATAGGCGGTGTTGACATACCTGGATCGATGACGTAGTGTATGTCTGGGTTGGTAGCGTCCGCCTATCTCAGGTCCTGTCTCGGGTTCTGTCCTCGTGGGATTGGCACCGGCTCACTGACGGAGGAAATGTTCCAGGCACGAACCAATAGGATGAACAATCAAGCCGTCGTGATAAAGCCAGCAGTCAATACGCTTCCGACCTGTGTGGATAGAAGGTAAGAGGTGGGAGGAATAGGGAGGACAGTTCGACGAAGCCGCTAGATATATCGAGATATGCTACCTAGTACGTTACTAGAGTCTACCTAGCTTTACACTACTTTAGACGCCTAACCATCGACGAGGTCGAGGCCCTGCTGCGTCATATGGTTGTGTCCACTTGCTACTGCAAAAGGATAGGTGTCCTCCGGGGAGCACGAATAGTACGAATAGTCCTCAACACGAACCTGAGTTCTGGATGCAAAGAGAACAAACATGTCGGTTCTCCACTAGTGCCTTTCTTGGCAGGTGCCGTACATATTTGAATTTCCAGGAACGCGTCAAATCATCCTCCCCAACATTTGAAAGTGGAGGGTCATATTCTTTGCGATCCAGTAAATGACATACTCGACTCGCTGGCTCTGGGTAGATAACGCTACCCGTTACTATCAGACATCCGTTGCTTTCAAAAGGTGGGTTTGAATTCATCGCGGGGTGTTTGAGTCGATGGGAGCTAAGAACAGCCACGGTTAAGCCCCATCTATGTGATCCAATGTGAATTTGCTTCGCTAGCAAAAACATATATCAGTCATCACCACAAGGCAGAATTAGTGGCCAGGTGACAAGAGCGATGACACTCAAAATACCAACAATCGCCGGAGGGTGACCAAGTCAAAGTATACTATGTTTACGAGCGGCAGAATCAAATCTCATCGCCCCAGGTTGTTCACGACACTACCAACCATGACAGCTACCTCCCTATCCCAACTGCTAGTCTTCTCGTTATCGCTTTTGGAACCACGGCCTTTGGTTGGCGCCACGGTACTAGGCGGCTGACTACCTCGAATAACGCATTCCCGGATTGCCTCGCCCACTGCACTTCGGTTCGTCTTCAAGGTTCTAGCAGAAACCCCGCCACGGTTGATTATTTCTTGCACCCTAGTCGCCAGGCTACCGGCCATAGACCTCCAAAAGTACGATGCCAGTGAACCGGTTTCGAGGTATGTAAGAAGGGGTTGTAGGAGGTTGCTCTTCTCGAGAATGGATTTTTGTGTCGGCAGGAGTGGGTGAGCTGGCGGTTTCGCGGCGTCTAGTATGATTTCTAGAGCAACAATATTCTGGCATCGTGCTGAGACCTCGGCTAAGGTGCGGTCGAGTGATGGAAGTGTCGCTAGTGACCTCGCAAGTGAAGATATGGAGCTTTGTAGGGCATTGCGTAGATAGACCTCGAGAGCTTGTACCAGAAACTGGGGCGCCCATTTCTCGGGTTTGACGCCAACCGTAGGCGAAATTAGATACAGCGTGATGGCGGCAGATATGATTCTTGTTTTAGCTTCTTCGCTTTGCGCAAATGTTGCTGTGCTCGAGGCAGAACCAATCGAGAACTCGCGAATGATCTGCTCGGAAGTCGTCTTTATAGACCGCTCGATGGGCCCCACGACATGGTCTTGTAAACTTCTAATCGCATCTACATTCTGTAGTCCATAGCCTTCCTCGCCAGGCCCGTTCTTCTCGGTAATTTCTCTTAAAGAGAGGATTGTGTGTGCGCACCGTACAAGAGCCCTGTGGTCCTCTTTCTGACTGCTTGAAGTGCCACTGCTCCATTCGCCGTGTTGGACCTCGAGTTGGCGACCCAATTGCAGGCATCGGCCTACAGACCTGCCAAGCTTCAGGGTCTCCCACAACCTCGAGGCAACGAAGCGCACCTCGTCGGCTTCGGCATGTTTCTGTATGACTTCTTTCTCGAGTTGCTTGTAACTCTCGTTCAAACTCTTGAATTGGCTGTCGATCTCGGATATGATCCTCTTGCTCGCGTCTGTCTGCTCTTTGGTGTGTGTGAGGAGGGGGATCGCGGAACGAGTGGTTAGGACGTGGATGTGGGAGTCGAGCTCCTGGGCATCGAACAGGACCTTGGACAGCGGTGTTGAGAGATCGAGGGGGGTGTCGGTAGGATTGTTGGTGGCTAGGACAAGCGTATTGGCGAACGAAGCCGGTCTGAAATTGGGATCGAGAAAAGCTTCGTAATCTATGTACGATGCCTCATCCTCCTCTTCTCCATGGGCCGACATGGTGCGCTAGATTGATCCAACCTGGGAGATGGCTCTTGGATTTTAAGTCATTTCGGTCGCATGGCTTAGGTACCCGTTGGGACTCCACTTCCGTCGCCAACCTTCTGACTTCCAGTAGAAGGGTTGGGGTCTTTGACTTGAAAATGACCAGTTGACTTGATAAAATCCGGCGGTACTTCCAAATTGGTACAATCCCCACCAAAATAGAAGTAGCTCCTGGTTTATACACATGCACGCTACATTTATACTTCTTACTTGAATGCCAAGAATATTACCACCCCTACTGAAACTGCCAAGTTAGCCAATTTTTTGAGTTCGCGTCTCTTGGATTTCGATGATTCTAGATCGATAGTTAGCATACTTACCGCCTTGAGTGACGTTAGCAATTGAAAAAGAAGGTGTTGAAGGTGTTGAAGTTGAAGGTGAAGGCGTTAAAGGTGAAGGTATTAAAGGTATTGAAGGTGTAGAAGTGGGTGGGGTCAGTGGGCTAGAAAGTGGTTGCCTAATTAAATTCTTAGCTATATTCAAGTTTTTTTAATCGTTATGTAAAGTGGAATTGGTTTAAGCAGAGCTACTTGTATCTTGGTGGGGATTGTACCTAAATGGAAGTACCCCTGTTTTATCAAGTCAACCGGTCATTTTCAAGTCAAAGACCCCAACCCTTCTACTGGAAGTCAGAAGGTTGGCGACGGAAGTGGAGTCCCAACGGGTAGGTATCTTCATGACCCCGCTGGTGAGCAGTCAGTGAAAGCCACCCACAACCTACACTCAGCCACATTAGCACCCCCCAGGCCCCAGACAGTGCCCTAGGGGAGCATTCAACCACTAACCATCACTGGGCCCATTACCTAGGTACACTACAAATCCCCTATTCATCCCCTTTGCTGCTCATCTACATATCGTGAAGCGTAAGACTTGTCTTCAACTTTTCATTTACTCAGTAGCTTAATTGACGACGATCACTTCTCGAGTACTCGGTAGCAATATTGAGATATGTCAAACGCATTTCGTTTTTATATTAACCATATGGTTGTATTATATATTTATATATATGTGTCATAATCTCATGTCCAAACCCCCCAAACCATAGTTCCCACCCATCCTGAAGCAATATCCATTATCCTTCGCTATTATACAACCATTCGTTAGATAGGTAAAGTCTTAGATTCCGTAGCTCTTGAAAGCACCGCCATCTTGGTTCTTGCCACCAGTGGCTCCGCCGACACTCTTGCCGACGCCGCCGACGGTACCACCGACTCCGTTGGCGACACCACCGACTGTGTTGCCGAGGCCTTCAGTTGTCTGTCCGACAGCGCTGCCCAGGCCCTTTGTTGTCGAGTTGAGGCCGTTGCCGAGACCCCTGTTTATCCATTGAGTTAGCAATTGCCAAATACATTGAGAACTGGTTTGAATCGCGTTCGGATTCCTCTAAAGGGGGAAGTGATGGACGCGGGGAGACTCACTGTGTCGTGTTTCCTAGAGCACCTGTAACGCCACCCAGGAGACCGCCTTGGCCCTTAGCTTGCTCGCCGCCGGTCAAGACATTGTCAAGGCCACCAGTGACACCGCCGAGAAGTCCGCCGTTCTGGTTGTTGGACATTGTGTGGAAGATTTATTGGGTGTTGCTGAAGGTTATGAAGATTATAAGTGTGAAGAGTACGGTTCTCTGTCCGAGTGTGGTCGTGTCTGTTGTTGTCGTTGAGTGTTGATGTGAGGATGAGTATCAAAACCTTCAACTCCTGGGCAAAGCCTCGACTTATATGCTCATCGATGGCCTCACAATCCCACCGATCTCACCGATCTGATGAGCCACGCCTGTGACGTAGATTGCCATGATATCATATACGCGCCACATAGGCATTACGCTGAAGGATGTCCCCCATGATTGCACACACTCGAATCTCGGGTCCCGGCCTATTGGTAGCGTACGTGATTGTGGCTAGAAACTTGTTTCAAGGCGCTTTCCGTACACTAGGATCCCCCGACAGTGGATCGCTTGAAGGTGGGAACCAAGGACCCTAGAGATCGCTGACTTGCGGCTTAGACGGCTCTCCGTGACGGATGATTGGAGAAAGTCTGGAGAGAGGCCCGCTGTAAACCGTTGCATCTACTGGGGTTGGTGTTGGCGTCGTAGATCTCCGGCTGCTCAATCCAGTGAGGGTCCAAAGCCATACTCCTCTCTAACGTCATTCTTTGGGGAACACAAAGTTGAACAAGTGGTACCGGTAGGTCAATACTAAGATCATTAGTAACGCATTATTGCCTACAGCGAGAAGCATTTTTTTTCAAACGGAATGACGCGACGGGTGTCTGGTGGTCCAAAGCCACAAATATCTAGAGCAAGATAGAGTTTCATGCTAATGTTGTACCCGTTTCCAGAGCCTTGGTCTGAGATCTATTGGTTACCCTCCTATTTGTTAGTATTGATCTTAGTGTAAATAAGTCTACTCTAGAGACTACCGAAGAGAGCAGTAAGTGGTATCAAGACACCCTGTCGGAGAACCAGGTATCAATTTTACATTAATCGCGTAGTCTGCCCCCTTTCCGCAATATCAGAGCCTAGAAGTGGATTCTAAAACCTAGTAGTAAATTTTATCTCGGGTTACATTTGTTACGGAGGAGGATTGGTATGGGGGATCAGATAATTAGGTGGTCAGCGATTCACGCCAACAGCAGGGATTTACTTTAGGATAGGCAAAAGTACGAAGAATGTCAATCAAATACATACAATAATTTTACCCGCAGTTTTCTGCGGCTTCTCTCTTAACTATTCCATTCAATGAAACATGTTAACAATCCACGTTCTTCTTCCTTGTGATGATCCTGTTTCCTAAGACTTTGAAGTTGATTTTCTTTCTATATTCCAAAATAATTGTTAGCCTTTACAACAAGTTCTTTTGACTCTCCTCCCCAAGCGTGCCGCTAATTACTATTCCTAGTTGATATCATTTTGTCTTATCAGTCATCATGTAACTAGTGTTTCTGTTGTAACAAAATAACCCAATGCATGTAACAGAGCCCCAAGCACGATGACGTATCAACGTAGATGAAGCCCGTGAGCAATATCACTCTACGCTCCTTAGTAAATTTATCTCGGCTGTATGGATCATCTGATGACTAAATCGCTGGCGGAGTCGTGTACCTCCTGAAGAAACCCAGGCTGGATTTGCTCTCGATTCCACCATATCCTTATGCCTAGCAGCAACAGAATCATCCACTATAATAGCATAATGCTACTACTAACAATAAATATAATTAATACTACTAATATCTTCACTTAAAACATCTGATCATTTGTATATGCAATATCTATGGCTTTGAATAGTCATCTTAGCCAGATCTCTGCAGAGTTTAAGTAACACGTAATCAATGTTGTGTCTTGGTCCACTACGTTAACCCCTTCGATAGTGCACCGCCTATGCATCGTAAATAGGGGTGGCCAAGAAATTCATTCTTTGACACGATAGCGAGTGTAGCTCTATCTATGACGAACGGTTCACAGTATTAATTATCTGATAGAACGATATCTTCGTCATCATGCATCAAGGCAGCTACTCCCATTTAGCGTCAAGCAAGGCAAAGTACCCGACTATATTCGACACAAGTGGCTAACACCACTCTAGGCTATGTTGCTCGTTCATTGGCTTTCTAGTGCGTGGCTGTGTTTTGGTTGCAGATGATTGCCCCTAAGTAACTTTCTTGCAACCTAGAAAAAGGAGGGCTACGGAAGGTCTGACTCGCGGATTCCCACTCAATGTACCCCAATCCGAAAAACAGCAATATTAAACCCTCGGCACAAAAGCGTCTGCTGACTCATCGAGGCGCTGGGCTGGGTTGTGATACCTCTTTCGTTAAAAAGAGAGCATACAGGAGAAGGGGAATGAAAGTTACACATGAGGAATATAATCCGACCACTGCATTGTGACAAACACACCAATTGGCATCTGCCTTAGACTGATGAAAGATTCAATGAATAAGAAAAAACGCGCCACAACGTACACCAAAACCAATAATCCGCATATAAACAACGTCACCTGAGTGGTGTATAATGTCATGCCCATACGCTCCATCACTACTGCAAGGGTAATTAGAAACAATATGGCTGGAAGTACGCCTGCAATAGTAAGGCTAGATGCTCGCCATAACCACATCTCAGTGTCTGTTGGGAAATGATATCTCCAGGCTGCCAAGTGAATTGCCGCGTAAACAGCGGCGAGGCAAACCATCGCACTGGAAATTAGAAAATGTGAGTCGAAATGCAAAGGGAATAATTGGCGCCTGGGGCTAATAAGATTGAAGTGTTCCAGTAGTGTTTGGAGCAATACGTCTTTTGCCCTATACACCAAAAAGCTCGAGTTACTCTCCTCGAACCATTGTGACGTATTAGATGCTGGATCGTTTCTCGTCCGTGCCTCTAACAACTTCTCTGCGGCTCTTTTAGCTCTTTTCATCATTTCATCGACATGTGGCTGATCTCCACATGTTTTATTGCTCTGTGGTTGACCCCTCTGTTCGCCCACCATTATCACGTCTTCTGTAAGAAGCTTTAGCCAGTTTTCAGCTGTGATTGCCTGGTTTGCTTTGTGTTCATCTCGCCACCTCTTTCGGTTTTCCTCGCTGGCTTGACTGATAAGGAGCATCAAAGCAAGTTCATCATCGAAACCACTGGAGTTCACCATGGTGGCTTCGTGGATATCGAGAGGTTTCTGCCACACAATTAATAAAAAGCTCATTCATTGACTTATTGATTTCTAACTTTACCTTGAACCATAGCCCATACAGTAACAATGCGCAAGCAACGTGGGCTAGCACGTGGATCTCAAGCAGCGCGATTGGCAAGTCCCTCGCCGCTCGTTCGATGCTTTGGATGATTAACCATGCTACCTGAACACAAACAAGTAGCTTAGCCAGCCCATCTGCTTTGCTCCGATCTTTGATAGATTTCCTCGAGACATGAGGTAAGCGACTGTATTCTGCCAGTAAACACAGTCCCGCAGGCGTTACTGTCATATATTGGAACTCGGGATTTATGGCGCTGACGTTGACCGTGAGTCCCCCCATCACGACGTAGAAGCAGTATGACCAGCCGGAATTCATTTTCTCTTCCTGCATTTTCTGGCCTTCCTTCTCAACTGGACCTGTCTCGTTTCTCTCCTCTGGTTTATATTTCTGTAGCTTGTTACGGAGGAGTCTTGCGGAGTCCCATTGCTCAAATGCCGCCCATAGTGCATACTCGGGTGCCAGTATTGCGGCGAGCACCCACCATGCTTTGCGTCGGTAAAACTTCCATCGTGTCTCACTCCGCAGTGGTACGTTCACGTGGATAACCGTATATACACACAATGATAGGGTTGTTACAGCTGTCCACAAAATGCCGGCAGTGCTCCGGATAGGTGACGTGGTTGACCACGAGGGGGCGAGTTGAGTTCTAAGCGTGGTAATATTCCAATTCGCGGCGAGGATATCGGCTTCAAGAGGTGTCACCGGGGCAGCTGAGATGCGTCGCAGCAGAAGAGCGACTGCAAGCAGCGGGGTAGCCATCTGTCGCAACATAGAGGTCAAATGAGAAAAACAGTTATGACATTATCGAGCATAGTTCCGAGGACGCAACGCAGAGAATTAGCTCTCATATTAAAGGCCAGGCACCGATAACCAGCTCCGCTGCATCATATAACCCGAAAACTACAACATGAGCCCCTCTCCGCACTGGCAGCATCTACACATGGTGCATCAAGACTAGTGTTGTCACATTGCCGACTCAGCGAAGCCAGTGATGGGAAGACACGCGCCCCTGAGGATGAGGCTCACCTCTACCTTTGTATTGGGTATAATCGTTCACGAGAATCTGGCTTCAGCTGCAAGATGACCTAGGTAGTAGTGGTAACGTGCAGACCAATGACTGAGTTTACTTCATGTGTCGTATGAAAATTTTGACGTGTAAACAGACGTGGAAATCCCCATGATCAATGAAGCTGAAAACACTCTATTTTGATAGCTCATTGTGTCACGGTGACTTCGGCTGGCATTAGGCAGCTGGGCTGCAATGCAGAGAGTATGAGTTCGCTACCGGGTCTGCTATGACACCCATTCGTCGCGGCCAATTAAGTCACTGTTTAGCCATGTGATACAGCAGCTGTCAGATGCAGCTCAATTTCTAGTTTCTGAGTATCAATAAATTAATGCCTCTATCCAATTTTCGTGAGGGATTGACTGCATGAAAATCCCAATCCTGTGGATTCCATTTTCAGATCCTCTATCCACGGAGGGTTTCATACTAAAGCTTCAACAGTTATATACACTATGCTTTGAGATAAAACAAGGAGTTTGGAGGCCACCACTCACATTACCTTTGGTGTTATATTTCGGGTGTCTCGGTATTTGTCTGACCCCCTTCTGAGTATTACCAGACCAAATAAACACGGGCATGATGATGGCAAGGTGTTATGGGTAGATGATCGGTTGTGGTTGTGGCTGCGGCTGTTGTACGCACATACGCTGTGCCGGCTGAATATGCAGTTCGCCTTGCACTTCGACTGTATGAAAGGCAATTGCAGGGTGTTCATGATTTCTCAGAGACATGCAGGCAATATTGAGAAAATTTAGAAAGTGAGGTTATACAGACTTTGCTTTTGGAAATGAACCCTAGAGACCTAGGCGGTTTGGGCTAGCAAACCAGTTGTATATAGAGTCGAGTTAAGCCATCAATAGCCGAAAAGGAGTTAGTTGGTCAAGGACTCGTGCAGTCCTAGTTGTTCATTGTAATCTGAATCGCTCGGGTTCCGGGCCCGGTAGTCTGCCCTTGTTATGAAAACGAAGGATGGCACTCTTGAAATGATCACGAAGTTTTTGAGGTCCACAGCAGGTCAAAGGACTCTTGGAGGGGCGCCAGTTAAGGTAGCCTAAATTCAAGTGCCTATGAAGGACAGGAAGATGAAGCACCAATATCTAGCTTTGCGTATATCGGTCCTTGTTCTGCCCTGGTTGGGATGAGGCTCAGATATATCATTGTCAGTCATATGGTACTATAAAACTCGATTGCAACTCATGATCGTGGCGCGTACACTAGTGAAATATCTCATAGCTCTTGAGTGAATATTTCTAGAGCTAGAAAATGGTACTATTTGAATCATCACTGATTCTGAAGGGCCGATTCGCTCTCCGGGGCTACTGTGTAGATAGAGACTCGTAGAAGCGGTCGTTACTGCCGACTTTCAGCCCGGTGTCATCATTCATCACTCATGTAAGCTATCACGGCAAGAAAAGCAAAGATAAAAATCGTTGTATAAAGAGGGCGAGTATCGAAAGCCATAGGATTGAGAAATGCTGTCAATCTCCGATGTAGGGGCAAAGATATCGTTAAAATAGATGCTGTGATTCTTTTGGACCAGTGCAAGAAGGTCAGAGTAGTTATCCAGATCCCCCTTGTCTGAATACAAGTCATAAAATGGCTTAGTTCCTACAAATTCTCCGTCGTTCTACTATCCAGATTAAAGTCTCGTCAAGCACTTGATGGTTTAAATCCTTTCTTAAGCCATAGTTCTCACACACTAATTCACGACTTGGTAATTCTTAAAGGGAGTCTCAATCATTTCATCCGCTCTATTTACTAATGAACTACCACTACAACTCATCACTTAACGCGATCCTATTCCGTCCTTGATCATAGCATCCACCATTTGTACATGTCTGTTACCATTGGTCTCACTCCACTCAGTCTCATAGTTAAGCCCATATGGCCAGAAGTGTCCGCCGCCACAGTTGATCTTGGCGCTATTCCCATCGAAGGACCGGAGCAGTGGCAGCGCGTTAGGCCAATTTCCGCTCGCGCAGTTTTGATCGAATCTCGACGTCTGACCGACTCCGAGCGTGTGCGCGATCTCATGCATGGCCGTGCGCTCCGTCATGTAAGCGCGATTGGATCCGAATCGGAGGTCGCCGTTGATGTTGGCTTCGGCCGTTGGGACGCCCGGGCTATACGCTACCCTTATCGTCTTGGCGGCGTTTGTGAATCTCGCGTAGCGCGCGACGGCTTTCGTCATGGCGGCTTCGATGAGCTTGTATGCTTCTGCCTGGTCTGCTGTTGGACTCGAGGATTTTTGTAGGGACCAGCTGATCGCCGCTGAGGCGACTGAGGCGTAAGCCACTACGGCGGCGATTAATGATAAGCGCATGATGGTTCGAGCTCTGGGATCGACAAATTGATGATCAGGGGTCAATTGTCCGGATACGGGTCGCTGCTATAATCGTAGTTGTAGATCTCATATCATGCCAGACACTACGTCTCACACATTAGAGTCGGGTGGCATGACTGTTTAAATATACCCGAGTCCTAATATCCGCGGCTTCTGCATTGCCTGATTACTTGTCCTATTCTACGAGATGATTGCTGTATAGGGATATAATGCCATGGTTATATGATCACCCACACTTAGCATGAAACGAATTTTATATTGGCGTGCGGCTCGGTTCTTAATTAGCCACCAATTGCCTCTACGGAGAGGTTCCAGAAGGGTCACTAAACCCCGACGAACGTTGCGATGAACTAGCTTAAGCAAGGTGCCGAGGCGATAGGTTAGCCCATGTAAGAAGAACAGGCTTCGCAATATCAGTTTGAAGTATGTATAAAAGCCAGGGAACAGCTATCGTGATAGAGGGTTGATGTTGTATCTGCATAGGCAAGATGACGCCTTGGGCAACAATAAACCAGGTCAATGCTTTAGAGATTGAGACTTATAGATACACGAACTCAGTAATTTAAGCCGAGAAACAAAAGATGAAAGGGGTTATGCAATGAAGAGTAGCGCCATCCCAAGCACTCGGCCATTTCATTCATCTGCTCGCACCCTTCAGTGCAGTGGGTAATAGTACGGAGTTCTCCCTGAATGGAGCGGATGATATCTCCGATGGGTATTGAATTGGTTAGACTCGGCCGGTGCAAGTGGATATCAGTCACGCTCAATTGTGCCTTGCCGCCTACTCAATGACCGTGGAATTACTCGATACTATTGATCTAGGGAGTGGGCGATTTACTTGATAAAGTATGGAGAAGACTCTCAAACACGCATTGATGAGTAGGAATAAAGATTCATCAGGTATATATGTATTGATCAAATAGATCGTACCAATAGATCTTCGACTAGTCGGTGACAAGGCCCGGCTGGCGCAATGGCTAGCGCACTCGACTTCTATCGCGGGCTGCGAACCTAGAAACATGCCGCATATATGCCGGATAATCGCAGGTTCGACCCCCAGAGATCGAGAGGCTGTGGGTTCGAGCCCCACGTCGGGTAACAAATTCTTCTATTTTTTATTTTCTTTTTTCTTGTCGATTATATCTACCTCCGTAGGTAGGTAGATAGAGACATCTCGAGATACCTATCACAATGCTTTTTTGTACGCGTCTTAGTCTAACGAACACTCTGTACGTAAACCCATAATGCTAGTAACGTGTTGCTGAATCTTAGTGATCGCAATGGGGCAATGCCTACCTCGTGACTTCGTACGCTGAATACAGATGGCTCGGTTTGAATATCCGGGCTGGTTCTCTATCTGATTCTTGACCGAGTACTGACGTAGATAACATATATCAATGTAGGTACCGTCAGCTGACTGCATGTGTAGCTGTGCAACTCATTGCAGTGCCAATACGGCAGAGGATTGTACATACATACTTACAGTATATACCCATGTGGGCTTTGGCCCTTGGCGATGGATCATCCCAGCAGGTATCCAGAGATCTGGGATGCAAAAATCGGGTGTAGGCACATATGTAAATGGTGTAGCAACGGCGGCATGCATGCAACCGCCGTTCTGTGACTGATTGCTCCCTGGACCTTGTCCCCTGATACCTAGACCTATTGTATGTACAAGTGATCACTCGGCACACCGCTCTTGTGGTTACATTGTGAATAAACGGTGAGAGAGATTGACGGGAGGTCAAGTACCTAGGTACCCCATAAAGTGCCTCTCCTTGGGTCGGGCTTCGGTCTTGTCTGTCTCCGTGTTACGTCCAGTTCATCATAACTCACAGCTCACAGGTTACAGCAGTCATTATTGTGCCTTGGCCAAGGTAGGAAGGAGATTGTATGTAGAGCCGGGGGCATGAACGGTGAGTGATCACCGTGTTTACCATGTGAACAGGTTGTCGCGTGTCTCTTCGACAGTAGTTTGTCCTACGTGAACAGCTTGTTACCAAGTTACGTTACAGTAATGAGAGTAGACTGCTTGGTATGTCTATTGTGCGGTTGGTGACGCTGGGATAAGCTGGTGTGGATAGGTAGGGATGTGTGTGGGGTTACTTGAGCTTATGGCGCGTCGTAATTGTTGGACTATTACCCCAACCGACACAGCATCGCGAAGAGAACAAGAGATCCGAGCAGTACTTCGAGGTGAGGTGCGCCGAGATTGAAGCGACGGTTGAAGATAATTTTGAAGACGAGGGCCATGACGCCCTATCCGGGCCTCTTCCGAGGGCTGAGTTCATAGGACGTTTTCAGTCCTAAGAAAACCGTGAATGGGCAGGTGAAGTTGCTAGGTAATGCTGCGATTATGATTACTATAAACAATTAAATACCAAGGTGCTAAATGCAATGTCAGATCTATCTGAATTACTGTCGAATCGCCACGCCAATCGAGTAAAAATAGTCACACTTGGACTGCATCTCTTCGTCGACAGTCTCCATCAACGTCATCCCACCAGTCTCAAACAGCAAGCGATTATGCTCGCTAGGGTCCCAGGTCTCCCAGTGCGCAGAGCCATTCAGTTTATACGTGTTCGGATCAAATGTGCGAATGAAGCTCGTCCAGTAGGCCTGGATGACAGGGACGACGGCCGCATTGACGCCGCCCGGGAAATAGCTTGCCGGCGCGCTCGGCACATTTTCAGGCCCGAAAATGGCGTTCACCTCAACTGTATGCGGCACCCCTAGTCCTTCGGCCACCTGCGCCGGATCCTCCACGTTATACCGATAGCTGTACGATTTAGGCATGTCAAAGTCCGTCATCGCCGTCGAGATGAAAAGCCCCGGACACGTGTATCGCATGTCTCCATAGGCCGCTGAGACCTGTTGCCAGTAACAGCCGGAGCTCGGACAGCTGTCTTCGTCCGGGTTGGGGTATAGGGAGTTGATCCGGCCGAGCTGCTCGAGGGTCAAGTACGGGAATTGTGTCTTCAGAAACGCATCGCTAGCGCCGATCGTCGAAGCGTCTCGTGGCGCGAAAGCTAGAGAGTAAGGTATTATTAGTATTGGCTGCTTCTGGTGAAGCTCAGCTCTATTTCATGGGTTTGGGGGTACATACTGGTACCCTCATTAGTGTCATCGCCCACGATGAGAGGTATCTTGACGAAATTCCCATCCGCAAATGCATCGTACGTCAGGTTCTGGATTAGGTCGCCGTCGATTACGGGATTCCATGCGTACAGAGGCGAAGCTGTCGTGCCGGGGTACGGAATCCCCTTGTTCACCGCTTGAAGCTCCGCCGCCGTCTTAGATCGCAGGCAGGTGAGCGAGCTGTTCCCAGCGCACCCGGCCGCGATGGCAAAATTATCATACAAGTACCGCGACTCTTCGACGGTCAGAACAGTGGCGAACGAGATCGATTCTGCGGCTGCAGCGTGGAAGAGATCCGTGGGCTTTCCGCCGTATGCTGCCATCTGGAGGCTGACGCTGGCGGCGCCTGCCGAGTCGCCGCCAAGCACTACATGATGAGGGTCGCCGCCGAAGGACGAGATGTACTTATGTACCCATTCGAGGGCCTTCCGCTGATCGAGCAACCCGTTGTTTGGCGTGATCTCGTCTTCGTGGGTGATGAAACCGTACGGTCCGACGCGGTAGTTGAATGTCACCACGATGATATTGTTCCCGCTAGCTTTTACCAAGCCCCTACCGTTATAGTTCGGGTTGCTTAGTGAGTTGAACCCTCCTCCCTGTATGAAGAAGAATACGGGAAGATTGGAGTGACTTGTTGTGTTGACTGGTGTGTAGATGTCGAGGAATAAGCAGTCTTCGGATTGACTGGTGTCCGTTGGGCTTCCACCCGTCGAGTGACAGAGCTTGCCATGCTACCAGGTAAATCTGTTAGTAGACATTCATAGGATCCGTGTATGCACGGCGGCTAGGCCTATCAACACTTACGGTATTGCCTGGCAACTGTAAGCCGTCTGAACAAGATGGGTCCTTCGGAGGCATAAATCTCAGGTCACCAACCGGTGGTGCTGCATAGCGAATGCCCAGCCATTGCGCGACGCCGTCTGCAGCAACGCCCGTGTAAGTGTTGCAAGATGTATTCACTGTCAAGCCCGCAGCCGCTGTTGGAGAGAGGAGCTGGCAAAAAACCGTTATAGCGACCCATCGCGCCGCCCAATTCGTCATGGTAAATGGTATATCCTCAATTTAGAAATGATAGCCTTCGTGTGTCTCGGTTGTCTGCCCTTCATCTCCAACCAGTCGTGCTGATATAATGATCTTCATATATAATACGATATTACCATCGTGGTGAGTCAAATTCCACGTAGATGTAAAACGGGCGCGCGCCTGAGTTTAGACTAGATGGTCGCGTGTCTGTCTATTCTCTATATCTGGTGTTGTTATGTTTAAGACCTTCGTCCCATATGCCCAGACTGCGTGATGTTTTCACCGAGCTTCCTCTCACATGGCGCCCTTGCACCACACATCTCTATCTCCACCGTGCATCGTTTTTTCCCCAACACGTGTCGGTAGATATATATATTGCCTTAGTGCTACATTACACCGCGCACATTTAATGTAAGGTACATGACCAATGCCGAAAGAGCTGGCCATTGCATTATGCAGTTGCTTCTTCTCCCCATAACCAAGATTGGAAGGTTCTTTTGTGGTGGGGGTGCGGAATCAATCATGATTCGGGGACGTAGTGGGCAAGGCATCCTGGGACGCGCCAAGTAGTGAAGGTACCTGGGCCTATATTGGGGGTATGTAGTATTCAATCTAACAGTGTCGACATCGTGAGGAGTTCATGGGAAGCTGGACCTTGAGTCTCCCTCATGACGTTATCATCATATGACTCTTAGAGCGAAACATAAAATGGTATTAACGGTACTAGGCCAATCCTTCCGCCCAAACAGCCCTTATCTGGTATGAATAACTCGTCACGACGGATAAGTCTTTATACTATTACTGCCGATGCGCATACATCTGGTGTGATAGGCAGGACTCGGTAACAAGTTGATCCTATAAAGTATCAAGGTGCATTACGGCAAGCTCATCCGTCGTCTGCCTAGAAACGACGAAACCGTCCCCGGAGAATAGGCCTTTTCGCCAATCTCTTGTTCCACCTGTTTAACGCCAGATGCTAGATCTCGTCACGCGAAAGTGTCTAGTCTGATGCGGCGACCAGCTGTTCAATAGGATCACGAGTTTGATCATAATAGTGCAAGTTACTTTTGAGGCCTTACCATTAGCATCTCATGCTCTTTATAGTCGGCGAATTAGATACAGACCTTCAAGCGAACATATTGGTTGATATGTTCCCTTTCAGGCATACTTTGACTTCTATTCCGATGTACCTGTCTTATTTCAAGTTTCACCAATAACTATCACACAAACCTAGCCTAGCGATGCGCTACTTTAAGTAACGTGATGGTTTAAGTTCGGGACTCCAAGGTACCATCAGAAGCTTATGAAGTTGCCCTCATAAATTCGCTGATTGAAAGTTGTAGTATACAAATTTCCTCACCTTTCTGTACCACGGTAGTACCAGTATATATCTAATGAAGTCTAGGGTGGGCTTACATTATCAGGCAAAAGCCCAGATCAATAATAATGTAATCACACCTAAGCTATGGCATAGAATCAAAGGCCATGGTATAACATCTTTTTCCCATGATTTTCCATAGGATAAGGTTCGAGTTCGCCCGCATAAATAGTCAACTTAGGTCATGCAGTTAGTTACCCTTTTACTATGCTCTACATATGTCTCTCAATCAGGGAAAAGCACTTTAAATTCAGGTAGCTTGCATCCTGAGTAAACCATAACAGGAGTTAAGATACTCCAAAAACCTTCACACAGAACGAAAGTGAAGCTTAGTCATCGAGCTAATGCACCCCCCATCTGTACATATCGTGGAGTACTCCACGGAGGGTTAGCGCCGGCAATTGCCAAATTGTCACATAAGCCCACACACAGGCAATGGTATAAGAGGTAAACAACAGAACTAGCGATCAATACAACTCTATTGTCTAAGAGGAAGTCTATCACTGTAGCTTTTGATTTTTTCTTCACGTCCAAATTGAACCGTTATATCATTTCATCGCTCGTAAAACCCATCAAATCTCATGTCGCTATGCTTGCGAGCGTAGCATTTAGCTGAAAGAGCCCTGGATGACGCAGAAGCCGGAGGTGGCACCAGCGTTCTTGGCCTTGACCTCCTGGTTGACGGGGTCCTCGTTGGCGAAGTAGTTGGCATCACTAGTTGACGCAATGGTAAGCTTTTGGGCTATACAAGTCAAGATGAAGGCAGAGTAGCTTACTCCTCGTTCTGGAATGTGATGGAGGCGTAGACAGTCCAGGCAGCACTGCCGGAGGTGTCCTTGAGGACCTTGACCTTGGCGGCGTGAGTGGCAACGATGTAAGAAGCACCGTTCTGTGAAGTTGGAAATGATTAGCTACGAGTCGATTTTGTACGATGATACAGGACTGCATCATAGAGCGGGACAATGCGAGGGCTGGCTGAGAGGTGTACCTTCTTGCAGGAGTCCTTGAAGCCGTTGAAGGTAGAGACAGCGAAGTCCTGGGCAGCCGCGTCGGCGATGGCGAAGGTGAAGATGCGAGTGACCGTCATTTTGAATAAGTTGTTGGGGTTGTTGAGAGTGGTGCTTGTAGTTGTGTGGATAGGCGATGAGATTGTTGGATGAGATGGTCTTCTTCTCGTTTGTCGTCGGTTCGGGCGACAGGTTTATATAGACCTACGCATCGTCAAGAAGGATTGATCGTCATGCCATCGACACCGCCATTTGTCACGGCTGGCAAGTGTGCATGAAGTCCTTCTCTAGGGTCAAGTTAGTTATGCCTATGGGCTTATTCCAAAACAGCACGGCTTGCATGAAAACGTCCAGAATGCCGGAGGCAGGTCAGCATCCAGATGGAGACGAACCAAACAACGCTGCTAAAACCTCCCTAGTTTAGTGTCAACAAGGGCATCGATAGGAAGACGTGGGAGAACGACTTTGAATGAACTTACATGCTGTTGCGCTTCCATTTTCCGTAGTAGTGCATATCTGTAAGTCGGCCTGTCTCTTCCCAGGATCTGTATAAGCAGTAGAGTCTGGGTTAGCCCAATCTGGCAACTACCAGCTCTACACAGTCCTGTACCCAGTGTACTTAGTACCTAGGTAAGTTGCTGGTTATTAAGTAGTTACCACAAGTATTGCTATATCAAACGTTGTATGTTCCTGCACTTGGAGAAGGGCTAGTGTGAAGTAATCGTGTTTACTTGAAGATCAGTGTCGCACCCAAGAACACATCACAACTGAGAACAGTCTTCGTTCCTAGTTGACAGCAGGCCAGACACACAGTGTGTAGTCAGCGTGCATTCAAATCGTACTTGACAGTAGGGGATCCTGGCGATCTATCATTAGCATGGCACTACTGCGAAACACTCGAGGCCCGCAGCTGACAAAGAGGGGTTTGGCTACGGGAATCATTGGGGCAGAGAGGGGTAAGAGGGGCATTCATCAGGCATGCAGTAAGCCTGCCGGCCCAGAGAGACCCTGACTTGTTGCAACGAAGGATCAAGGTGAGATTAATGCGCTGGCGCATAAACATTATTCGGTGACTAGCGCTGACCCGAGAGCCGGTGGTATCTGTAAGGAACAACAGCCTCAGGGAAGCAGGGAAGATGACAACATGATAACAACTTGACATAAATCAAGGGTTGCACGGTTCTAGCATTGCATAGATATCTATGCAGACGCGGCTAGGGGATTCCAAAGTCATAGGCTATCATTATGCGTTAACTCGTTCCGTTGAAATCATGGGTTCCTGCTTACTCCTTGTATAACCCGATAATCTTACGTTGAGTCTCCAACTTGACCGGTGACCGCTCTTCTGAAGCTGCGATCGTCGTAACCCATAGCCAATCGACGCTATTCATAGCTGTAACCTGAATGGGTCCATATGAATTTCATAACGTCAAACTATTATTAGGTAAGTAAGTGGCCATCGTCTGAAATCTATTCAATGGCTCCAAACCCATCCTAACTTTATTCCCGACTCCCGATAGCTAAAGCTAGTGTTGGCTCGACCAATCTATTTTATGTTAAGTGATGGTCTGCACAATGCATATCACATGATCAGAAGTACCTATCACAACGTAGCAGAAATCAAAGTAGTTGATCGAGAGGAGGGTCCGGTGCATCATTTGAAGCCGTTCTCTGATAGATTGCTTCGCTTCAATGCATAGCTATCAGACAACCCACATACGATCTATTTAAGAGAATTGTTGGTGTGTAACATGAATTTACCAGGCATGGACCAACGAGGAGCGAAGGATTGAAGCTGACTAGTGATAATATTCAATGAGATGATTGTATATATCGGAGGCAAAAGCGAAGTCGTGTTGGATTAGCCACGATAGATGATATGAATACATCTAAATTCATTTAAATTTAGTTGTTACTAATTGACGAAGTGCATTTTGGAAAGACACGAGTTGTCTCACGCCATATTAGTCTCTAATTCCTGTTCAACTACTTAATACAAGCGTTGAATGTGGTAATTAATTTAGTTATTGTAACAATTTTGAGGCGTCTACATCTGCTACTAAGTCGACCTCTAGGGTTCAATGAGTGAAACTTAAGTCAGTATAGTTTTGAAAGATAAGTATTATATGTCAAACTGAATATTCACGACGACTACTAGAACCCCATGAAAAACTCCTTTTTAGGGAGATCAACACGCTTAATTTGCCAGCTGCTGGTGATAGAGAGTGGGAGAAGGTAGAACAAGGCCTTCGGCTGGGGTGTTAGGTTCAGCCTCACCGCACACCAATACCTTCGATAACAAGAGATGACAGAAGCGCTTGGAAGTAGAGCTATTCACTGATTATACCAAAGTGCCTTCTTTGTCAAAAATTGCCTGAGTGACCCAAATATATAGTTAGCAACGGTAACATAGAGACAGCATGAAGAATCACACTGAAAAGGGCCATGAGCACACCCCTATTATTAATATTTAGATTACCGACAAATTAGAATCGTTAAACTAAAAATTTCTCAAGCCCTACAGAGAATTAGAATTCTTTAGCCTGAGCTGTGTGTCAGGCGTCTCAGGACGGAGGAACTATATATAGTCAGAGAAGTCTGAATGCCTTTAGACTTCTGACCTTTAGACCTTGTGCCACAATGAGAGTCTTGATGTATACCTTGTACAGCCCTTCTGACACTGTGGGAACCTAATAACCTACTATGCAGCAATCAACTTTCATCGCCTAGCAAATTGCCAGAACACAGTGTGTCACCTACTAATTACCCTTTATAGATTAGAAGAGGCAGTATTAAAAGTAATTCTGCCATTTCTGCTATATCAGGGATACATCCCGACTCCTTCGTCTCGAGTTCCATCAATAGAGCTGCAGATGGCTCCAGCTCCCACAGATATGGTCACGTAAAACTTCCCTTCGCTCTCGAGCACATAGCTTGATGTGCGCAGTGATATAAATGCAGTCTATACTAAAAGACTAAATGGTTTGCCTCATCTTCAACGGAATCAAGAAAAAGTAGTTCAGCGCGTCTACAAGGTGAAAATTGCCTAGGATTATATCCATAGGTAGGATCTATAGCCTCACACATGCAGACTCACTCCGTCCGAGAATAGGACGACTTAAGCGACTATTATTTGGCACTTGGATCGCAGGAAAACGCAGTTTTAGGCACTAATTTTTTAGCAACGTACAAAGGTATTAAAAGATGATATAAATAAATTGATAATTAAATATTAAATGGTAAGGGGTAATAATTGTACTAGAGTCTATTTGATTTAAATAAGTTTATAAAATGTAATCCCAAAACTCAGAACGTAACCTGACTAGCTGGTCTCACCATACGATGTATGCTAAGTGTCATACGTTCACGACAGAGCTCGTGACTGATACACATCGCCCTTCTGTTTGAGATGCTCAACAACCCGTCTCTACTTCTAGTAGCATACCACTTAGGGTCATCTGGACGCCATCTAGATGTGGCGATGATAGCATCTGTCGGCCACTGTATTCGTCAATGCTATCGCCGCGGTCTTGAGAGTTGGAACAAGATTGCAACATACCCGTTTCTCAAACATGATGACGGGTTCAATGGCCGGCATTTCACGCACCCGTCTGGCCACTGCTGTATGCCTGCGATTGAGCATTCGATGTCGATGTTTGTATCCGAACCGCTTCTCTGTGAGCATGTCCTCGGACCACACGATTTCCTGGTTTCGAAGCCATTGCTCTTCAAACAACTCCCTCAAGTCCTTGTTCCATTCAAATCTGAGGGACCTTAGCAAAGCCGGGCCGTTATGATGCCGGAGGTCCCAGCAATCATCCCCCCTTAAATGGGCGAACACCGGCCTGAGGAGGTTGGGAAGTCGCTTATCGTTGAGACTAATAACTGCGCGCTCATCACCGTCTCTATAGACTGCAATGATCAGAATGATTTATTGTTCTCTTTATATGGTGGAAGTGAGGTGTATGAAAAAAAAAAGAAATTTCCGTACCTTTATAGACGATAAAAGCAAGAGCGGGTATGTGACTTACTATCCAGGTCCGAGCCGCATTCGACCGTCAACAGCACGAGCTGAAATTTCTTGACGCCCCTGAAACTCCCTTGTTGGATGTGGTTGGCGAAGACGTCGCTCAACATCGAGCCTCGATACTGGTCTTCGACTAGCTCTAGTACCTTGGCTATGACTGTAGCCCCCTGAAAAAGTTGCGTGGCTTGCCATCCCCTCCATATATCCATCTTGGAAACTCCAAAATTAGTAACAACATGAGAAAGAAGTCTCTGCTCAGCACCGGCCGCTTACTAGGAAAATGTTCGGAATGTACACCGGGTCATCTTGTCGATTCCACCACTCCTTGCGCCACAGGAAATGGTTTTTGGTCGTACGCTTGAAGATGGTATAGATTCCTCGACTATGTACCTCTGTAAACCAGCCATAGAAGGTTTTTAGAAACTCGGGGAACTCCATGGAGGGAATTAACCCGATGAATGCGGGGTGCGTAATGCAGCATATTCTGTGCGGTATTATCAACTCAAGGATCATGAGCCGTATCTCGGGGGGGAGACGCCAGTAGTAAGCGAACCCTTCTGGCTTGCTCTGGTCTTTTACGGCTTGATCATCGCCTTTCGGATCCAACTTTGGACCGATGGTTTGGACTGATTTGACATCTGGCGGAAGGATGTAGTCCGTCCATGGCTGATCTATACTCATTCTTAATCATAAAAGCTTGAGGGTGTCTATATTGGGGATTTTGGATTTACCTACTTAGGTGAACAGTGGCGACCGCGGGAAACGGCAAGCAACCTAGGCCCATGTGCGAGACCCATTTGAGACATATATATACTCATGGAACCACCTGGGAATCTTGAAATCTTGCCTTCTGTTTCTAACACGCGGCTGGGCCCTCGATTTCAAGAAGTAAAGGTATTTACACTCGAACCATAGGTAAGATAGTTGATAGTCTTGATAGTCGAGGGCAATGTACTTATAGTGGTAGTATATGGTAGCATTGCACTGTGCGACCGAGGCTTAGTACGCTGTGGCAGAGCCAAGGTACCTCTGTAGGGACCTTGTAGGGAGGACTGCCCTGCCCCAGGCACCTATATCCAGGGGATGTTCAGGGCATATCCAGGTGATATGCAGGTGTGGATAGCTACCTAACAGGTTGTCTCTCGCTAACCGCTGCCCTGTAAGTAAGGCAGCAGCCTTTACCACGTCAGCCCATAATCTCGGTAGCATCTCGATGCACGCAGCATCATCAGCATCATCAGCATCATCAGCATCATCAGCATCATCAGCATCATCAGCATCATCAGCATCATCAGCATCATCAGCATCATCAAACAGCAGCATCACCGTCTTTACACGATCAACCGCACCGCTCATACTTTTGCTACGCCTTGGAACGGACGTTATCCGAGATGGTTCTATGAGAATGATCGTTCATCGTGTCCTCCGTTGCCTGACCCTGCTTCCGTTTTGGGGAACCCCGGTGGTTGGAGGGAGCCCCGACAGCGTGAAGCAGATCGCCGTCGTTGGTTTGTGCTATCCTTGCTCCTCTTCATTCCCCTTCCTTTCATTATATACCTTACCCATGCAGACAGACTGAGAGATAAAGAGCTTGTATGACCTCCGCACTTGAATTCTCACATCTCCGGCCGTGCAACAGTCGAGAGTTCGTCTTCAGGGTCCTCTCCCGTGTTGAGGTCAACTTTGACCCAGCCTATAAACCCTACATCTCCCCAAACACAGGCATTTAATTAACATGCGAAACAGGTGCTGGCGCTGCTGGGTCGTCAGCTGCTTACTATTTACGACGCTTCGCCAATGAGTCTGGCATCGCCGTTGATGTGACCGTATTTGAGAAGACCGATCGCATCGGCGGCCGTACTCTCACGGTGAATATCTACGATGACCCCGTCGAGCCCATTGAGCTTGGCGCGTCTATCTTCGTGGATGTCAATTACATCCTCTCCAATGCGACGCGGGACTTCAAACTCACGGTAAAAGAACCCGGCGTCAAGGAGGGTGGACTGATGGGTGTTTGGGATGGAAACTCATTCGTTTATACCCAAGACTCTAGCTCCTGGGACTGGGTCAATCTCGTTCGCCTGATATGGAAATATGGTACCGTGCCGTATTATACCCATAAGTTAGTGCAGGGCACCATCGCCACATTCCTGAAGCTCTACGAAGAGCCTTTCTTTCCGTTCCGATCACTGTCGACTCGGGCTTTTCAGCTTGATCTCATCAAGATTACTGGAGTGACTGGAAAGCAGTTCCTCGCCGCCAACAATGTGAGTCCTGATTGTTTTTATTCCGAGTGTTAACCCCATGGGGATACTGATAATCTATGTAGCTCGACGGCCCTTTCGCTCGCGATATCGTGCAAGCCAGCACGCGTGTCAATTATGCCTCGAATCTCGAATTCATTCATGGCTTAGAAACCATGGTAGCCTTGGCACCGGAAGGGGCTAAAGCGGTTGAAGGGGGCAATTGGCAGATCTTCTCTCACATGATTAAGGCCTCGAGAGCAAACCTACATTTGAACTCAGCAGTGACAGCTATTGCACTAGATACCAACGGAAAATACAAGATTAAAGCAACACAAGAGTCAGATGATGTAACAGGGAAAGGGGGCAAAACACATCCCATCGCATTCGATGATGTGATTATCGCAACACCGTTCCAATTCGCGAACATCAGCGCAGAAGAGAATATCATCCAACAACCGATTGATACTATCCCATACGCTACGCTCCATGTAACTTTGTTCGCATCGCCTTACAAGTTTAGCCCTGCCTTTTTCAAAATGCCTCCAGCTTCCAACGTCCCCGTCTCTGTGCTTACAACACTGGGTGACGATGAAGAAGCGTATCCCGGCAAGGCTGGTGCTGGCAAGGCCGGATTCTACTCACTCACGTTGCAGCGCATCGTTGTGAATCCCCGTACTCACAACCCTGAATATGTGTACAAGGTTTTCTCACCAGAAGCGGTGACCCCGGATTTCTTGTCTGAATTGCTCGATGTCGAGATCCCGGACCTATTTACTCATAAAAGTGGCAGTGAAGCAGTAGATGACTCCGTCGTCAATCCCATCTCGTGGTTTCACGCCACGGTCTTCCACCCTTATCCGCAAATGCACCCTCGCGTCACCTTCCAGGACCCTATCATCGGAGACAGCCTATACTACACGTCTGGAATAGAGAGTTTTATTTCCACTATGGAGACCAGCGCACTAATGGGCATGAACGTGGCGCGGCTGATTATTGATGATTATGCCGGCATTCCCCGGGCCAGCGATGAAGAGCTGGGTCCCATGCCCACGGCACAATACCGCGAAGGCGCTGAGCAGAATGTTCTTGGCCAGCAACAGCAGGAAACAGCCAAACATTATGGTCAACCTATCGAAGATGCGAATGAACTTTAACCCCTAGGATGGTTTCAAACGGTTTATACGCTACATTTGCTGGCTGGAGACACTTTTCTCTCGCGACCCAACGCCAACAAAGTCCGAGTCGACTACAGTTGCTGATTTCATAAGCTTGGGCTGGCGTAGCTTGGCATTGATTGGGAATGACACATTCATAGCGATTTTTCTATCTAAGGCTTTGGGATGCATGCAGCGCGGATGCGCAAGTTATTGTTATTATGCAAGTGTATGCGGCTGAGTTTTCGGTGCGTTTTCCTCTGACGAACTTGCACCCGCAGTTGAACTGCGGATACACTTTGTCATTGCTACATCGCCGGTTTGGGTGGTTTTGGGTATTGATAGATAGGTCTGGTAAATTGAGCTATTCATTTGCTAACCTCGCCTGCATGGCTCATCAGCATAAGTCAACGTATCATTTGACTATCGGTGACGATGCTCTGCCGGACTACTGCCGTGAGCGCGAGGTCATGGCTGAGATACTATGTAGGACCGGTGGCAAGCTCTCTGAAGTAAGGGATATCCCATAATAACTAACTCATGAGTAATACGAAGCTTGTCTATGATGAATCTCTAGACCGAAACTGCACTTAGCACGTCGGGCTCGGCTTCAAGGCGCAGTAATGAAGAACAACTCATAATTGGCTGTTGCATTGGTTCCTGTGATTCTTCAACTCTGGTAATACCTCTTCACTTCATGAGTTATTAACTATATCAGCAACTCAAAAGAAAGCCGTTAGCGCCGTAGAGCTTGCGGAGTTCTTATGATTGGATTTCCATTGCGCGACTATGTCGTTTCCCCGTGGTATTTTACGATATGCACTAACGTGATGGCCTTGTTTTTTTCTTATTATTTTTTCTTCTTCTATGTTTACAATATTGTGCTGAACAGCCTCTCCAGCGTTATATTACTAATTAATTGAAGCCGCTTTACTTTCTCGAGCTCCCGTTGAGATGGTACTAATTCTTTACGTGCTTGCGCTGTCTGCGTCTCTCGCTTATGCACGGCCTCCTGGTTGGGGTCGCTGTTGGGTAGGACGGTTGCGTGTGGGGATAACTTGAGTGAATGTATCCTGAGGGAGACGAGCTAGACGGGGGATACGATGGTACGCTAGACGAAGGTGTGCCGGAAGGAATGGCTGAGGGAGAGGGGTGGTTGGATCCGAGGTAGCTTGATGGTAAGGCGGGGTAAGAGACTCCTGGATTGTGAGATGGGCTTGCTGAAGGACTGGATGAAAGCCCTGGTGAAGCATTGCTCGATGGTGTCGGTGAAGGCGTAGATGATGGCGCGTTGGAAGGAGTAGGATAATTGGAGATTGGCTGGCTGGACGGTAAGACAGGGTGAGATACGGCGGGAGTGGAAGATGGTTCTGTCGAAGGATGGGACGAAGGTCCTGAAGATGCAGAATTCGATGGGACTGGCGAAGGTAGAGATGATGGCGTATTGGAGGGAGTAGGATAACTAGAAACCGATTGACTAGATGTCAAGATATGGTGAGATCCGACGGGAGTAGACGAAGGACCTGTTGAAGGATGGGATGAAGTTCCTAATGGTGTAGAATTCGACGGAGCTGGCGAAGGTGTAGATGAAGGTACGTTCGAAGGGTTAGGATAGCTGGAGACTAGATGGCTAGATTGAGGTCCAGGATAGGAACTTCCCGGGTTGGAATATGGTCCTGCTGAAGGGCTGAAAGAAGGCCCTGATGATGCAGCATTGGATGGAACTGGCGAGGGCGTAGGCGAGGGCGTATTTGAAGGGATGGGGTTGCTGGATACTGGATAGCTAGACGGACGTATAGAATAAGATCCGGCAGGAGTAGAAGGACCTGCCGAAGGATGGGATGAAGGTCCTGACGATGCAGCATTTGACGGAGCTGGCGAAGGTATAGAGGAGGGTACGTTTGAAGGGTTGGGATAGCTGGAAATTGGATGGCTAGACGGAGGTATAGGATAGGAGCTACCCGGGTTGGAAGAAGGACCTGCTGAAGGATTGGAAGAAGGTCCTGATGACGCAGCATTTGATGGAACTGGCGAAGGTGTAGACGAGGGCGCGTTTGAAGGGCTAGGATAGCTGGAAACTGGATGACTAGACGGAGGTACAGGATAGGAGTTGCCCGGATTGGAAGAAGGTCTCGACGAAGGAGTCACCGATGGACCAGACGAAGGGGTGATTGATGGTGTATTTGAAATAGATGGTATTGCTGGGAAGGAGTTTGCTGGGGCGGATGAAGGTCTCGACGAAGGAGTGAACGATGGGCCAGATGACGGGGTAATCGATGGTGTATTCGAAATAGACGGTATTGCTGGTAAGGAATTTGCCGGGGCGGATGAAGGTCCCAACGAAGGCGTAGCCGATGGTGTGTTTGAAGGAGTCAGACTGCTAGAAGCAGCAAAGCTGAATGAGGACGTCAAATAAGAACTTAATGAAAAGGATGAAGGCCCTGATGATGGTGTCGGCAGTGGGTTGCTTGACGTTGGCAGCACAGAGTCCGGTGGCGCAGATGAGGGCGTGACAGCTGGTGTAGAACTAGTCTCAGGGGTTGGCGAAGGTTCCGGAACTGGGCAGATAATTGTTTCAGGGCCTGGGATGTATTAGTTTCGGTGACAATCATCTTGGAAATGGTCCTGGGTTCGGTAACCCTCCCATCGTTATCTTACCTCTGAGAACAGCATTGTCGAGATATATAGCAATCTGGGGGATTCTATACGGCGAGCAGACGACATAGAAGCCAACGGTCATACTGGTACTTGTGGCAGTAAATTTATCACCCAGCGTGTTCCATTGGACAGTGTTTAGATTGTAGGGAGCTACCTTCGACTGAATGAGGTTTGCAGCGGATAGGGAGTCATGGAATATATAAATGGCGCAGCTTTCGGTGATAGCAATATTTGTAATTGCAACCTTGAAGTCAACAGATACTTCATATTCGGTCCCAACCACGAGATTGCCCACGGCTTGAGTGATAGTTTGAAAGGGATATATGCCACTTGTCATCCTATGTGATTCATATCAGCATTATGGAACATAGATAGAAAGAAACGGTGCCTTGTTGTAACCTTACAATGAAGAACTGCCTTCTGTGCTCTCCGAAGTACTGATAGTACGAGGGTAAACGTAATTCCAACCATTCATGCCCTCTTCCCAGGAAGGATTCAAGAGCAGGTTAGGTGATTGCTCTGTAAAGCAATTGTCCTGAGCAGAAACTACAGCCGCGGCAATGAGGATGGCCGAAGCCAGGGATTTGAGTGATTGACTAGTCATAATGAACGTGTGAACCATAAAATTTAACGAGTGACTTGGTTGCAGTAGTAAAAATTGTCTGCCAGCAAAGAGAAAAGAAGAAACGGCAGGACAGAGTTGAGGGTCATATAAAGCATCAGCTCTCTACTATGCTGCATAAGCGGTTTGCGCTACTCAAACGGCTCTATCCTAAGCTAGTCCTCATTGTGAATTTGCAGCGGAGTAGACCAGCGCGTCAAATATCTAACAGGAAATAATTACTGCGTAGGTATGCGGCAGAGCGCCATGACACCGTAAATGCTTTCTGGTCATTTCCGCATTTTTCCCAGTGATACTCGTTGGTAACTTTAGTATCAGAAGACTATCGAGTTCCTAACCTAATGCAGGGGCCGGCACCACTGTAGATACATTAGTGCGAAGGCCTAGACGCTACCAGCCTCGGGAACCAAGGACTAGATCGTACACCAGGACGAAGAGAACTCCGGGCAGGCATGAACAAGCGCAAAACGGTATCGACTATGCAGTGTTCAATCGCGGACCTCTGCTCAGTTAGCTCAAGGGCTGCTCAGCCTACTCCATCATGCTCCACCTTAAATATCGCGCTCAGATGGAGAATGTAACTGCCTTTAGACTTCGTCCATCTAGCGGGGTCGTTTTGACAAAGCGCAACATTAAACCAGTAAGTACTGAGGTAGATCAGGTCCCAAGATGGAAACGGATTGTGGGGAGTTAAGATTCCGATACTTTGGGACGCGACATGAAAATAGATTGGGCCGTAATAGACTAAGATCCGGCATGCTGGGCCCCTGAGCATAAGCAGAGATAGAGCTATATGCTTTTCGACACCAAATAACGGCCTTTGGACGATGGTTAATTCGGACTAGAACAGGACTAAATAACTCGGTCCGGGTTTTGCTAAAATGGGAGACTTTGTGTGCGTGCTATTAAGTGACCACGTCCTATATGTGCCAAGGAAGAAGAACCAATGTTCTAGTTATAAATTTTGGGTGAATGTTATGTTCATGGTATCATGGACTGCAAAGCGTTAAACTCAACCACACCACAGCGAGAATATGCATTTCTTAAAAGAACTGCCACTCACTCCTTCCATTCTGTACTATATTACCCATATTTTATTATCAAACTTTCAATATCAAATTTCATTGATAGAACTATCATATAGTTCCAAAGCCAGCCTCTGACATATGTTAGGTTTATTTTATTGAAATGACAATTATTCATATATTTTCAGATGTCAAACCCCCTAACTATGCGATGCCTAGTGCTAACGGCCACTCACTCGTTGTCCCTGTGGCCTATGAGACCTATATCACGAGAGGTCTCTCTGTTCTAGTTTTGTAATACTTAGTCTGTATACCGGGTATTCTAGTTGCAGCACACCTATTATAAAAAGTATCTAAAATGCATTGTCGAGAATCAAAGTCTCAAACATAAACTTCTCAAAAGATTCCCGTTTAACCACAGCGCCAAATCTACAAGACGCCGTTAGCAAATCCATTGTATGGGTATTTGCCATCATGGTTTCGCCTCAACAAGTGATAAGAAACACAAGGGCTTTGGGCAAAACATACCCATGACATATTGCTTCGTCCCGCAACCTTTCCGCGAGACGCCATAGATTCTGCGCCCGCATGCCCCCGAAAAGCGGCTGCGACCGGATTGAATGCCAGGCTTCAATGGGAGTAATCTCAGACTCTGGACACAGCTCTGAGGAGAGAGCAAGTAATGAATGTAGAGACTGTTCCGGGACCTCCCGGCAGAAGGTCTCGTGTGCCCTGTTGGACTCGAAGACCGATTTCGGGTACATGGGGGCCAGCTGGCCGGAGACAGTCAACCCGTGTCCGCCGACTTCATGAGCGGTATCCTCGGGAGGGTATAGATGATTCACACAGGGCCTCTCCAGGCTGTTGATGTTTCTTTTTGTTAGATATAGGGCCGCCGCTTAGTTATGGGATATGGCGAGGTAAATGACTTACGTGAGGACAAATTCCATACCCACTGCCAATGGGTCAAGATCGCCTAGGCGAAGGAGACTGTTGGAGTTGGATATTAACTCAGTCCTGGGGCCATCTTCACGCAATGTTGAGTGTGTTTGGTTGTTGATGCCACTCGTATGCTGGTAGTCTTGCTGAGATGGCCATTCCTGTGCTGGTGCTTTTTCAGGCACGAGGTTTAAGTCTGCTGGCAATTTGATCTCGTCCGGGATCTGCACTCCTTGGTCCAGAATGAACTGAGCAAGCTTCTGCACAGTCTCTCGAAGCTCGCCGATCTGTCGATGAAGATCTGCCTCGTTGGCCCTAGATTCAGCGACATTCTCCTCGAGCGCTTTGGTATACCTTTCTTTGCGCTCTCGGTAGGTACTAATATGTTGCCTATAAGTACTTGTCTTGGGGTGAAGAAGAAAGAGGCAGGATTTAGGACTGACAGTTGGGCATTTCGCAATTGCGCCTTGCGCTTCTTAACCCGGTCTTCTTTGGATTCTAAAGAGTCGCGATGTATTAGCATTCAAGTCGGAAGAAGAGGAGGCTGTTGAAAACTCGAAATCCAACGAGCGTGAGGATCAGAGAAGCCGAATGGAGTCTGCTTACTTTTACTATCCGGGGAGAACATGCGAAAGATGTTAGTAGCCATCTTGGGGGAATGTATCGGTTGGTATTACACTAGATAATCAATCAAGGATGAGTGACATGCCTCGCGGTGAAGGGTGATGCACAATCCTGCATTAGGGCCGCTGATGAAATGTTGAATCTCATTGTTGTATGGATATCAGCTGTAATAACGAATAAACAGGCGTGGGTCGAAGAACAATTGCTAGGCTGGCTCGAGAGTCAGATCCTCCCCAGATCCCCCTCAGAACCCCTTGCAGCCCTAGTGATGCTCGATCTCCTGTTTCAAGACGTCACTGTAACGGGTTGAAGCCCCTGCATGCATTTGATAGCGGCGCTCACCATTTTTCTGAAAAAGGAAATTCTGATCATCCATCAACGTGCTCAGCGCCGCAAGTCTCCATATAATTCCAGCTTACTTAATATGATGTAGTATCGTTAGGAGCTAAACTACGACTCGACTACGTTAGAGACTGTCTTGGCACCCTTCCAAAAAAAGACATTTTGATTATCCATCAATTTCAACTTCAGCATCTTTCAAACTCTGTAATCCTCTTCCAAACGACAAGATAACCGCCGCGTATCATACATGAGAAAAAAAAGACTTCGCAATGCCTGTAGTTGCATATATAAAGCAAGCGGCCCTCGAACAGGTCCCGACGAGAAGCGAGGAAAAATGCACAACAGCTCTCAACACTGACTCAGATTACATCCCACGATTCCATCTCCTCCGCACCTAGCACAGCTGGCCTGTCACTCTTTAGCTTCTCTTAATCGCTCTTAATTTCAATACCCCCATTCTGTGCAATAATTGGCAAAATGCATAGCAAACAGATACTTCCCCTCGCCCTTGCAACGCTTGCGCTACAAGCGCAAGCCCACCCACGGTGTAAGAGCCCGCCTAACGGAAAAGCTATCTACATGATCTCGAATGAGAAAGACAACGCCGTTCTTGCCCTCCCGATAGGGAAAGATGGTTTATTGTCACCGGGGACGGCAACGCTCACGGCAACTGGCGGCGCGGGCATGACTGGAGTGGACAGCGAAGGCCAGCCCGCTGTTCCCGATGCCCTTTTCAGTCAATCCAGCATTACAATAGCCGGTAACGTATGAATGACCGTAACCCAAGAGGATGAGCCCGCATACTAACGTCTGATTGCTACATAGAACTTATTCGCTGTTAATGCAGGATCGAACAGTGTTTCTATGTTCGCCATTAGTCATCAAGATCCCACAAAGCTCACTCTAGTCGGGAAGCCGGTAGCCGTTCCGGCCGAGTTCCCAGTGACAGTTGCGGCCTCGCTGAAGAACAAGCTTGTTTGTGTGGGATCTAGTGGCGCAGTTGCAGGTGTGTCTTGCTCTCAGTTCTCGAGTCAAGGAATCGAGGAGATGGACGACCTGCGTGTCTTCGACATTGGCCAGACTACGCCTCCTGTTGGGCCCACTGGTACAGTCTCCCATGCCTTCTTCTCCGAGGACGAGTCTACTCTCTTCACTACTGTTAAGGGCCGCCCAGATCAGAACAGGACTGGCTTCTTGGCAGCCTTCGCCGTCGGAACTTCGGACTGTGAGGCCAGTGTTTCAGTGAACCAGGAAGGAATGCGCTCCACGCCCGCGGGTACGGCTGTTCTCTTCGGGTCATCGACGATTCCAGGGTCCGACGACCTCTTCGTCACAGACGCATCTTTCGGCGGGGCGGTGCTAGCTAATGGCGGTAGAAGCGAGGATGCGGCATTGAAGGCCTTTTCCGTCAGAGGGAAAGGTGTCGTGGATGGCCAGTCAGCTACGTGCTGGGTGGCAGTCAGCCCAGCGACTAAGACGGCATTTGTGACGGATGTTGGCGTCAACCGCTTGGTCGAGATGTCGCTCCAGGATGCGAGCATTAAGAAGGTCATCGACCTCAGCGCGAACGGTGACCCTGGTCTTATCGATCTCAGGGCGGCAGGTCGTCTTGTCTATGCCCTGAGTCCCGGAAATGGCAGCACGCCGGCTGCCATCACCGTGGTAGATGCTGTGACTAAGAAACAGGTACAGCATTTCCAAATTGATGCTATGCCTTTTGGGAAGAATGCGCAGGGTATGGCTATTCTTTTGTAGCTAACCTGTCGTTCTGTGTAGTTGTGTCATAGAGTAGCGGATATAGAGCTGTATAACCTTATTGCGGATATTTATTAGTATAATATCTTCATCGCTAGATTTACTGGTTATAGGTTAGACTGGAGCTCATTGGAATAGATTCGAATTGATCATTTTGAAGGTGACGCTAGTTCACTCTTATACAATTATACACTTTCGTGAGAAGGTTTTTCATTCTACCGATCTTAGTGCTGGATAGACAATCCATTCTGAAAAATGACATCATAGCGGGCAGGGAAGCCTGGCCTCGGGGGCCTTGAAAATAATTGTGCCAGGGCCTTTGTGCACCAAGATGCTACAATCAATGAATCGCCTTTATTATTCTATCAACAGACTAATAGAACAAAGAAAAGTAGGAACCCACCCCTCCGTTTCCAGTCATCGGAGCCTAAGTCCAGCCTCTTTCTCAAGTAATTAGCAATGACAGTGTCGATGCCCTCGCGAACTAATGTGCCCGTTGAGAAGATCGCACTGCAAAAAATTGCAAAATATTTCAAAGAGCCAGGATGGTGCAGGATCCAGAGATCGTCGGCCGGGAGCGGCTTGCTGAATTAAAATACTATTTTGCGACCGAGTACGGCTTCTTAGCGGAAAAGCAAATCCAAGACACCGTCATTTACCGCCGCGTCGACCAACACAACGTAGTTGAAAGAGTTGTCGTTAAGTTTCCAAAGGGAGACCGATGGCAGGAAGAGCTTGACGTAGAAGCAGGTGTACTTGTCAAACAATGGGGATCCGAGCACAACTGTCGGATCTTGGCTGTTTCCCATATAGAGTACGGAAAATACAGAGAGCCCTGGAACAGACATCATTCAAATCCTCCTCCCATCTTACCATGGCGGCTGCGGACTGACCCACAAGTCTATGGCAAGACCTTGGATTTTTCATTTATTGTGATAGAGTACCTCGCTCGGGGCACTGGGTGCGTAAGAGTCCCAATCGTTGCCCTCGACTATACAATATGGATAGGAAGGTCTCGTTATCGCCCAGGAAAGTAAGCATACTAATCTTAACCTCATCGCTGTAGCCTAAGCTTGATCAAAAGATGTGAATCGCTGGGATTACCATGCATATCTGAACCGCTGCTGTGGTACTTCTTCCTCTGTTGTGAGTTCGACTGCTTCATTTCTACACATATCATATCGTTGACAGGTGTCTAGTAACTCGCGCCTGTATCGGAATAGCCTTACCACCGAACCGTGGCAGAAACAATCCCCTCCCTGTTGAAAGGGAGGTATTACCCGTGCCCGGAGGAAGAATGGGGCGTGTGACTCATTCCGATCTGCACATAGAAAATGTCATGTTTGGAGACTGGTATGTAGCAAAGTCCGCTGAGGCTCGTTATAGGACCCTTTGCACTAGAAGAATGTGTTATGTGTGAGAGGCTAATAGTTATCATAGTACGTGAGCCTTCGATTTTGCAAGGGTATTTCCATTGCCAGAGTTACTGCGCAAGTCAAGAAAAGAAAAGGAAAGGAGATTGACATTATCAAACAAAATAGATGACCCTGGGGATAGACAGCCAACATGCCACAGGACGGCACCTATATGTAAGGATTTATCTCATTAAGTTAGGCTCCTAGAACAATTACGACAAGAGGAAGCTAATAACGGCATTACAGTAAAAGTTTGAACCCCCTTAATCATTCCTGTTGGTTTTTATAGCTACTTATGGGAGACCTATAGATTATAGACTATGGCGCAGCTCGTTATGAAGACACGTATGTGATCATAACACAGATAATCTACACTAGTAACCGTGAATTGGCTGTGCTAACCTAATTTGACAGCCCGGAAAGAGCACAACAATGTAATTTACACGACATAGCATATGTAGGTCTTGTTCTCTACAGCTCGAATGTACCCGAATTGCTAAAGTAGAAATAAGTTAATACAACAACTCGCGACTCTGAACCATGAAGACCAATTCTTCCCGCCCATTTTCACACTTCGAGGGCATTTCGGATTAAACAACTTTAGAACAGAAACCAGCCAGGAATTCATCAGATCTCCTTTGTATAGCGATGATTTGAAACGTCTCGTTTGCGCGTGTATGGCCGAGTCTATCGGGATGCGGCCGTTGTTATTGCCGGTTCTTCATGAATGCCAGCGCAACGTTGATTTGATAGGGAACTGGAGGCGTCTGGCAGATGAGATTAGCGAGCTGTTTGATGACGCTCCTATACTCGATGACGATCCCATGGATCTGGATTACGAGCCATAGTCGCGATCTGAAGGAAAGGAGACATTAAGTAAAATGACTTCACAACATAGATTCTTTGGTTTCTGGGCCCATCTTACAGCACGGTAGAAATCATTGGAGTTTTGCTATTATACCTCATATCCGTGAAAAGATCTATATAAGCGAAATAACTAGATGTTCTTCACAAACAAAATCTAATTAGAATGGTCAGCGAAAGGATTAGCTACATCGTCACATCAACCAGATCCTTAATTTCTCATGATTGGAACCTTTCCTAAGACGATGAAGACGTCCAGTTCAGAAATAAAATAGCCTCAAGCCCCCGGGGGAAGCGTCTCAAAGCATTGAGACCCTGAGACGGAATCGATCCAATCAACCTTGCTCTTGCGGAAGAATTCAAACTGCGGCTTCAAATCAGACTTGTCGCCGTCGAGGAGGCCAAGGACCACGATGGTCATATCTTCCATTCCCCCACGGACGCCCCCAAGGGAACTACCGCATCGACCACAAAACATACGCTTCACAACGCGTCCGGACTCTGGGCTCGTATCATCATACGTTTTCATGAGTGACGGTTCCGACTCTGAGAATGTAATGTTCTATGAAGAGGTTGATGCTATCAGCATACCCTACCGAGTCCCCCCATAAATTCATGTGTGAAAGTAAATGAGCCGATGACTACGCACCGTGGTTTTGTACACAGCAAGAGGTGCAAACACTGCGCCACTGAACTTTTGGCATGAGGTACAGTGGCACAAATTGGTCATTGCCGGTGCACCCTGGATAAGGACTTTGATTCCACCGCAAAGGCATGATCCGGTTTTGGTCACCATCGTCGTATTAGTGAAGGCAAAGAGTCAAACTTATTGAGGCGAAGCAAACAACTTTAAGAAGCTATTTCAGGTGGACTGCTGCTTTGACTCGAGAACCCATGGGAGCTAACCCAAATTTATGTCTGAATGTCTACTCACAGTTGCCTAGTCTCACCGGAGCTGAAGATTCATATGGAGCTTGCTCAATTGTTGGGTAAGTGGGTACATCCGACACGCCACAGCCCAGTTGCTATAGTAAATGCGCGGCGATACTATTTACAAACGGCCGTGAAGCTGGGTTTGTTGAACGCCTTGCCTTGCTATTGTGCCACTGTGATGCTTTGATTTGTCATCACCGCTACGAACACTAACGCCATCAATTTAGTTACCAGCGACAGTGAGATTCAAAAGTTCCTATAAACCCGAAATGATCAATTTTGAGAAGGTGTGTCACTGTGACGACTCATCCTTCAATCCGGATACTCTTTCAGCGATAATATAAATAAGAAGGATTCTTCTAAGAGCTCCGTCATGGTAATACCCTAGCATGCGTGGCGTACCATCCGACTTGTTGACGTATTCAAGCGTATCTGACAGCTGTCTGACTCAGACTAATTGCTAGAGCTTTTAAACACGTGTTTCAGTGTCTCCGAGATACTGGAAGACCTGCGCTTGGTGCGGTCCTCCGTTGGGGACTCTATGCTCGAGCCGCTCACGCGACTCCGTCTTCGCTCGACGAGGTCAAACACGTCGTGAACCATTGCCTGATCTCGGGTTCCTAACATAGCAGTGTATGTTATATTAGCAAATAACCATGAACTACGGCTATAGAAAGGGGGATTGCCGTACGGATATTTCCTGCACCTCCAATGCCAAATGACTTCCTTCTTTCCTTGTCAGTCCCAGCCCTCATCTTCTCATTGAGGCTGGAGAACAGTGTCATCTTGGAAAATCTTGGGAGAGATTTCGGCTCATTCTTTTGATCATATATACGCCTGAAGGCGTGGAATCATGAGCAACTAGACTAGCCCGACGGTGGGCGAATGACGAACACAAATATGAGGAAAGACACATGCTCCTCCTCGGTCATAGAACGGTTATGAAAGTCTCACGATAAGGTGTATGAAGCCTATTGGTTCTAGGTGTAGTGGATGATAGGGGGTCATCTTGAAGGAAGAAACATCCATGGCAACTGTGTCGTCATCCCGTCGGGACATAGCGTAGAAAGAGGCGGGGAGTGATAACGAACCACTGTCTCACTGGTTGTCGGTCAGATTGTACGCAGCAAAACATCCTGGGTAGTATCCTAGGCTTGCTCGTACCTATTGGGGAAATGATTGAAGATAATACACTGCTGCTGCTGATTTCCCAGATCTCTGGTCGCTTACATCATGCTCCCACCACCAGCAATGTATTCATCGCATTGTATCTTCACTGTTAGAACACAGCCACTTTCCAACCAAGGCCTTTCTGTGGACGTGGGATGAAGAGACTCAAACTCCCGTGCGATCAGTAAGTTCTTACCACAGCGATTGAAACACATGTCTATTCCTTGAAGAAATGGTGTCTGAAATGGGATCGGAAGTACCCGAGCGCTTGAATGCGCCATTGGAAATTGCTGTAGCCCCTCTACTAGCTGTAATAGCATAATATTTTTATAAAGATTGTACATTCGCTATAGTGGCATGTATGCGTCTAACCAACACAATGCCCCACCACCACCTGCACTAGACCTCATGTCACTAGGTACTTCACCGGGGGAGGTAAAGATGGCCCGAGCAGTCGCCACGAGAGCATCAATTCTCAAGCTTTAGGTAATGGACCATGGCAACCAGCTCGCTCGCTCGCTCCCACTCGGTGGAGCCTGATATTAGGCTTGAAGATTACCTCGATGACAAGCTGCAATCAACGGCGGATTTCGAGAACCTCGACAACCTGATTGCTAGTGTCGAAGTCCAACGCAGCCAGCTACAGACGCAGCTTGACGATGCTGTGCGCGAGCTCGAGGAGGCCCGTCGTTCGGCCCAAGATCGCCAAGGTGGCCTTTCCAAGTCCATTTCCGAGTTCCGTTCTCTCCAAGAGAGTATAGATGCCCGTCTCCAGATCGTCGCAAACTCGACCGCCCCCGACGAAGCCATCCAACGCCTCGAAGGGCCCATGAAGCAGCTCCATAAGATTGAGCTAGCGTATCAATACGTATCGCTTCTTCACGATGTGGAAAACATGCGACTGGTGGCCCGTTCCCATGTGCTGCATAGTCCGAAAGCCGCGCTCGAACCATACGCACGATTGAAACAGCTCTGTCGGCGACTGAGAGAGCGCCAACCCCTCGCAGATGGAGCTGCCACCCATCTCGTGGAGCATGTCGAAAACACCACTGCTGCCCTCTGGAAAGAAATGAAGAGCATCGTGTCGCAAGAGATGGAAGCCGTTCTGAAGAGTCGTAATTGGCCGCAGGGGGTCGACACGAACAGCGAGATGGATTCTGAATGGCTCCAGTGCTTTGAGAAGCTTGTTGACCTACAAGTCCCCGAGGTACTCTACTCTGAAACACCAGTTACTCTGCTGCCATTTGAGGTTATGGTGAAACCATTCACCCAATGGTTCCGATTCCAGTTCTTGGGCAACAACGCTACCAGCACCCCTCAGGCTTTCGGCGCCTTTTGCATCCCGCAATTCATATCGCTTATCGAGAAATGGGAAAGCTTTTTCCGTGAAAATGTTGGGCACGTACTGTTTTCGAGATTTCGGGATACCAGCGTTGGAGAGATGTCCATATACCTTGATCCAGCTTCTGCCCTTGTCACGGCATTACTTCCCGTCATGCGAGAGAAAATCGAAAGTGTGTTAAAGGAAGCCCTCCAAAACCCCCAGTTTCTCAGTAGCCTCATGATACAAATCATGAACTTGGATGATGAACTGCGTTCAAGATTCGACTACGATGGTGGCAATCAAGAGCAAGGTTGGCCAGGCCTGGCCTCCGAGGTCTTGGACAAGCATTTCGATGCATGGCTGAAGGCCGAAAAGGAGTTCGCTCTTGAACGCTTTCACGCGATACTGAATTCAGCCGACGCAAGGAACATTGACTACGATTATAGCATAGCTGGGAAAATGAAACCCACATATGGAGCTGTCCGAATGACTGATTTGCTCAGGACTGTCAACTCTCAGTATGAGCGTGTTCGTCGATTTTCTCACAAGCTACGATTCCTCATCGATATCGAGCTCGAGATATTGGACGAGTACCATGATCGTCTCAAAGACTCATTGGATGCATATTCCGCCATAACCTCGACAATTGGTCGGACATTGCATGGTGTCACACGTGAACAAATAGCAGCTTTAGAAGGAACAGGCGCTTTTGAGACTCTGTGTAAGGTACTAGGCAGCTCCGACCATATTATAGCTACTCTCAAAGACTGGAGCAATGAAGAGGTGCGTTTCAATATCCAGTACTTCCCTTTTGACTCTGCTAATCGGTTTCAAGTTCTTCATCACGCTATGGGAAGAGCTACAAGCACGAGCACGCAAGAATAGTAATCAGGATACTATTGCAGGTGGAATGAGCCATGAAGCTGTTAAAGATCGTATTTCTTCAACCGTCGGAACCGATGAAGACACGGGTATCTTGTTTGACGAAACCATTGCCGCTTACGGCTTTCGACGCAAGACTGCCGAGGAGTATCTGGTCTCGGCTTTGATCGATTCTCATCAGAAGGCGTTTCGGCCATATCTGAGTAAACCTCAATGGACTACCATAAGTAGCGATTTGAATAGTGAGCAGTCTACACCCCCTTGACCACGAACTTCTGCTAATTGGGAGCAGTCGATCCTTCACAGCTTGCTATTACACCAGAACTTGATGAGCCCCTAAAGGTTGGTGAGCCTAAAGTTGAGAACTTGACCTGGTCGCTAACAGCATGCTAGATTATGAAACGAAATTTAACATTCTTAGCCAATGCTCTAAGTACCGCAGTATATCGACGGATCTGGCGGACGGCACTTGAGAAGGTCCAAGAAATGTTGTGGAGTGAGGTCCTTTTGAGACAAAACTTCACCACCCTAGGCGCAGCACAATTCGTACGAGACCTGCAAGCGATCTTCTCGTTGGTTGATCGCCACATTCCGGAAGGCTCCTTAATTAGGAGTACGCTACAGGATGGTGCGCAATTACTAAGTCTCCCAATTGAATCGACTACTGGAGGTGTCACCTTACAGCAAGCCACCGATCGTATATTTACTGATAATACCGAAGCGAAGAAGATGCTCGCAGCGTTGGACCTGGAATCATTGAACCCCGCAAACGCACGAAAGATATTGCAAAGAAGGGTTGAAAATAGTGAATAGGCAGATAACTATCAAATACTTTACTTTCTATCTATCATGACCCTGATCTATGTTGAATGTCCGCGCGAAATGGGACTTCACCGTAGCAGTCTCCGTAATTCAAAACGCCAGAAAATGTCACCGAATCCCAGATGAAATGCTGCATACTGTTATGTCTCGGCTCCCTCAGCTCATAGCTCTCATGGTCGCCTCGACCACGGCAAATGTTCCAGCGCTGACAGGCATAGCACGCAGCAGCGTCGGCGCCAGACCCTTCCAGAAGCCGCGCATGCCCTCGGCACGCCACGTCTGCGCGAAGCAATCCCGCATGCTCTTGTAGCGCATGTTCGCCCCGAAGCCGTCCGTCTGCATCTTGCTCTTGATGACGTCGAAGGGGTAGCTGCCCAGCCACAGAACCTCGCCGGCAAGCCCGCCGTAGAACGCAACCTTGTACGCGGGGACCTCGCTGCGCGATATGCCATTCCGCGCCGCGTCCGCATTCATCATCCACTCGAACGCCAGGAACCACATGCCGTACGCCTGCGCCTCGCGGATGATGGTGACGGCCTCGCCGCGGTACACGCCGCGCAGACCGCCGCCCTGCGAGCTGAGCTTGCGCACGCAGTCCACGGGGCCGGCGTACAGGCGCGCCGCGCCGTGGGGCTGCGTCTGCAGCCGGATGCGCACGTGCTCGATGGGGCCCGAGATCACGGAGTTGGCGACGCCCGCGAAGGCGCCCGCCGCGTAGTACTGGCCGTAGCTAAGGTCCTTGGAGGCGCGCAGGGAGCGCCCCGCGTTCAACGTCTCGAAGTACCGCTTCGCGTACCCGAAGGCGCCGAACTGGATCGACACGCAGGCGCCGATGCCCAGGAGGGGCGTCAGCGTGCCCTTGTAGAAGGCCAGCGGGCCCTCGTTCGCGTAGATGTTCTTCGCGGCGTCGAGGGCCGAGCTGTATTGTGTCGTTGTCTGGAGGCGCACTTTGACGATGTCGAAGGGTTGGCCTGTGGTTAAGAGAGGGGCTGTCAGCGCGAACTGTGGGTAGGAGTCCCAATTGCTGGGAATAGAATCGCGGAATTTGGGATTATTTAATGGGAAAGGATTGGCTTACCGATCAGGACTTGCGCAACTCCTCCGACGGCGCCGGCGAACAGGTCCTTCGCCGTGTCGAGCGAACTGCCCTTCGCATCGATATCCTGCGCCGCATCGGCCATTTTCCTTGTTGGCCCGCGCTCGCACACTCACTCGCTCGCTCACTCACTGACTCCTTCCGGATACCGGCTGCCGAGGTCGATTCTCGCGTGATCAGGAGGTCCGATGAAAGACTGTAAGAGCGCGGATAAGTCAGCGAGCGTGTCGGGGGGGCTGGCACTTTGAGGAAATTGAAGCTGGAAAGCTGCTGGTTGCGTCGCCGATATAGGAGGGGTCCGATGGTGGGAGAGATAAGGAGTTGGTTCGGGATTCGGTAATTCCTCGACTGCGCCGGCCAATGGCGTCGGTGGGATAGGTCAGGTTGGTGGAGAATCGATAAGTGATATGACTAGTCTAGGGCGAATATAGAAGAGAGCTGAACGTGAACTCGAGGACAAGAGGCTTGTGTGCTTGGATACTCTTACTTGATTCTTACTTAATTCTTACTTGGCTCTTATTTGACTCTTACTTGATAGTTGGAAACTTGTATATTGTGTGTTCAATAACTAAATCAATAGCTTAATCATCAGCTTGGTACTATCTCGACCGAGGAACCATGTCGCCTTCTTTGACAATCGAAAAATATCAGTGTAGCAAGAGATTTGAACACCAATAGACTATATATAGACTATATTTCTACCTCGCTTCGAAGTCAGAAACCATCATATACTCTTCAAGTGTCTTTTCAGTTTTGTATCTTTCCGTTTGTTTAGTCTTGTTGTAGCCATCGTTACAAGTAAGTCCGATAGGTGCGCGGACCCCTAGGGATGGTATTCACGCAACGCTTCATTTCCAGATTGCCCCAGGAAAAGCTATCGATGTTGGCCCGTTGACCACGTCGGGAGATCCTTTGCCGACCATGGCTTGACAACTTGTTCAGGCAAGTAGGAAACCTGGTTACGTTACTAAACTTTCAACCTGTAGTGAGCCACCACATTGTAGTGCCATACATTAGCCGGGCGCGCTATTCAGACTAGTGTGGTGTAAGTGTGGTTGTAAGCGCGGGCCGCTCCTGTACACACCTTAGCCTAATGCCACATGGCCGTCGCATTAGGTAGACACTTTTGTGTAATTACTTAAGCCTTTGGCGCTAGGTGCATGTCTAGATCTCAAGATGATTATGAAATCAAGCGGACGTACGACGTGAAATGTGGTCATTAACATCTGTGGTGCCAGCTATCGATATGGCTATTCATCTTGGACAAAAACAAAGTCAGGCAAGATGCTGAGGAGAGAGACTTCATAGCTTTTTCGCATCTTCCAGAAAACAATAAACTGCTCTTATCATTTTCATTTATTTCCAGTCCCAGTTACGCTGATAATCTGTACATCCACTAAATAGGTTTAAAGAACAAGGTGGTCAAGGGGTTAGGCTTTCGCTACCATTAGGACCTCCGTACAACAGAAGTTTTAACGTTACAATTCAGATTTGCCTCCCAGTCGCTAGTCGTCAAACTCAGATATTCTAACCTCCATACGCTAGGTGATTCTAGTGATTCACTTCAACGATCGGGCCAGTATAGATCTTCCTCGCCCACCCCGCATAGTATACCAGACAGAACAAGAGAACTGATCCAAAGACTAACACGGAGTAGTTGAAAGTTGCTGCTGTAACTTCGCGACCCGAAGGCCAGAAGCTGAAGAAGAAAATGTAAAGGAGATAGGCGCAGGCAAAAGCGTTGTTGGCGATACCCATCGGCCCACGAAGTCGCCAGGGGCCCCAGGTCAAATCTGAGCCCATGGTGTTGGTGAGCACATCATCATCCTGTCGCAGTCGGATCCCGCCCGTCGTTCTGCGGTAGAGAAGTAGTGCAGCAGCAATGAAGTAAGACCCAAACAAGCCGGCAATAGAGATGGAAATCACCCCGTTGAACGCTGTCGAGTCACCAATGTTGACTAGCGACAGAAGAATCGCAATGACTGTCGTAACAAGAACAGCGTATTTGGGAATTCCAGTGCGAGAACTAACTTGCTTCAAGTATGTGTATCCAGGTAATGCCCGATCACGCGAGAAGGCCCAGTACAATCGCGAAGTCGACGCTATACAGTTAGTTGTAGCACTGAATGACATCACCACGATGATGGCAGCCATTACCGCCGCGCCGGCCGTAGATCCTACAGCGTGCTTGAAGATGGCCATATAAGGGTATTGAGGGTTCTCGGCCAGGGCTTGGTCGATATCGCCGATTGAGAACAAGGTAGCGATCAACATGGCAAAGCCTAATGTCCCGTTGATTGCGAGACCTGTGAGAAGGGAGCGAGGTATAACCACAGCAGCGTTACGAATCTCTTCTGACATCTGGCGATAATTAGTACACATCATCGGGCCTGAGAACCAACGACAAATGAGTACTTACATGGATAGCGCCATCACCTCCAAGGAATGCGAACACATTGCCCATAATGCCAATGCTGAAAGACAAGCCTTGTGTTTGCCAGCCACCAAGATTCAGAAATGTATCGAACACATCAGCAGGCGTATTATGCTGGCTCAGAAGGGCTAATGGGAAAATAACAGCAAAAAATCCAAGAACTAAGCACTCGTGTCAGTCGCATGCTATCCTTTCATTAAAGTTCGACCCGGAATATTACTTACTATGAAGAATCAATACAAAACCCTCGAACCTAGCGAGAAGAACACCGATAGCTGCATTGATTGCGTAACCAGCGAGCATGACACCCCAAAATAGGAGCGTCCCATGCCAATTCTGATAGTTCTCTGCGTATTCTGGATGAGTGAGTAGGATGAGGCCTTGGATCATGGTGCCCGTAACGAAGCCACCAGACGCCACTAGTGACTGCCAGCCTGTAAGTGTCAACCATCCCGTCAGGTACCCAAGGATCTTCCTATAGCTAGGTGGTGCAAGCATGGAGACCCAGTGGTACTGGGCGCCAGAGGTCGGTGCCATCGAAGCCAGTTCTGACAACGTGATGAAGGTGGAAAGCGTCCCGACCCAGACAACGAGAAAGCCGTATATGATTCCAGATGGCCCGCCACTGATATAACACGATTAGTAAATGATGCGTTGCGAGTAAGACCAGTGCGCGCATACTTCTGTAACCCTGCCAGGAACGTACTACTTGAAGTCAGCAATGTAATTGATTATTAGAGGTTGTGCTCGAATCCCAACTCACATCAACGAACCCTCCCAAGTGATGAGCACCGTGCAACTGAACCCCAGGATCGTCAAGAAGCCAAAGTTCCTCTTCAACACAGGTTTCTTCCCCAAACGCGCGAGAGCAGCATCATCTCTAGAGTCACGTGCCGAAGTGACGGAAGAAACGACTCCGGGCTGCGCGTGCATGGCCACCTTCGACTCGCTATCAGAATCCATGGTCGTAGAACAGAGGCTGTGCCAGATGTATTGAGTGTATAGTGTTATTACTAAGGAACGAATGAAGAGATGGGAGGTCGCACGAAGAGCGAGGAAACCACGTGGTAAAAATGCTTCGAAGAATCAGGGAGAATGAGGATGGAATAGGGGGGGCTGGCTCTCAGATGAAGCCACCTCTTGAAACTACCCCATGGATGGCCGACGAGTAGCAGAGCCGGAGAGCGAATCTGGATCTGAGGAGTGCGATGTTGAGAATATCGATCGAGCCACAATTGACAACCTTAACCTTGGCCCAGGATTCCTCTCTCCCCCCCCTGGCCAATTTTTGTGGGCGGTTAGTTCAGCTCGATTAACTCAATACCACCCACCCACTTCGTCGATACTTGTCATGCAGATTCGGACCATTTTTCTTCATACCTACTTATGCATGCTTTTGAGATGCATGGGCGCTGAAGACCTCGATGCTACCTTGTTTCTTACTCCTCGCGCCCCCCCCTCACCACCTTGGAAATCTCCGACTCTAACCTACCTACCTGTCCGCGATGCTGTGTTTGACCCGTCTACCCCCTAATAATACTACGCACACCGGAACGCAATATTGGACTTTTTTTTTCCCTTGTTACGGAGATCAACGTGTCCGGTGTCGCGTGTCTTGCTTGGTGTCTCGTGAGTACTCCTAGTCGCTTAGATTCGCAGTATCTTGTTACGTTACCTAGTTGGAAGGCCTTGGTGTCTTAGTGTACACTAAGGGTACGCAGCTACACCACACTAATCTCCAATTACCTGCATGAACAGCGCCGCGTGTCGGCAAAAAGAAAAGGTTGGAGCTGTGGGCTAATATTTGCCCTGAAGACGTTAGGTCTACTGCAATGCGTGTCGTGTGGTGCATACCTGCTGCACATGATTTGGTTTTTGACGTTGGGGGCCCTCTAAGATGCTGCTTTCGAGCCGACTCGTTGGGGTTATCAGTTGTAGGCTATGTGGCATAGGTACCTATATACGGTTGGTGTTGTTTATTTTGTCCTCTCAAATAGAGTAAATGGGGTATCTACAGCGCTAAATCATATGAATCTAAGTGGTATACTTATACATCTGCTCAGAAACGAAATCAACGTATTCATAGCCAGTTTATCATCGGAGTATGTTGCACAGCATATTCGTGTACAACCAACCAATATCTCAGCCATGCGAGTATGACATATACCCCTCTCCATCGGTGGTAATTGCTTTTGTCGTTTAGGAAATCCAGCTAGGTATCGTAAAAGTTCATTCGTAGTATCGTAAATAAGTATCGGCGGTATTCATCTACTCGCGCGATAAGAACAGGCCACCGAACTGACCGTATTCTCTAGTCCATATGTGCCAGCTTCGTTTCTGTCTCTCGACAGCTCCTCTTCGGATCCGTGTATGCTTTCAACCCGGTTGACGTTTGATTCAAGACTTTCCATGAAAGGCCTCAGATAAGGTGCGCATGCTGTGATGGTACTTATAACCAATGTTGTCTGATTCAGTATTATCGGTATCCATAGGCTACCAGTCGGGTCTGAATATGAGAATAGTTCCAAGAACACCGCGAGTTGTGCCGCGGAAATTCCGACAACTCTGTCATTTAGTTAGGAGATAGCTTTCAATTAGCTCCAATGAACAGGTACTTACAGAAGTCGTACAAAGAATATCGACAATACTATGATTTTCTTGGAGCGTGGTATTTGCAAGCGTCCGATGATGAAAGCATAGAGTGCGACAGTGAAAATGTCAGTCAAAATGTTCAAAATCGCGACATATGTCCACCAAGCTCGCTATTAGCGGTTAGCATTTCCATATAGGGTCGGTCCAACGACGTGAAAGCATACCCGATCAACACATCCAACCCCGTGGAAATAGTCCCATGGTGTTGGAAGTGCACATTGAAACAGAGAGACAAGCACAGATGTGAGTACCCAAAGACCAATGGTGCCTTGAAGCGCCCAGTCGAGGTTCCTATGTGTTGTGCTGCGACTGAGTTGCCGGATGAAAGCAGAGATTGAGCATTTGATCAGGGCCAAGCTAATAATGTAGAACACGATGCTCGCGTATTCTGCCTATTCGACGCCACGTATTAGTTTTCGTGTACCTGAGACTTGAATTGGAAAATCAAAATACCTTCAAGAAAGTGTCGATGGCCGCGTCACTTATCTCCCGCGCAGGCACACCCAAGTCATCGGCAACGCCTATAGATATCGAGATACATTGAGCAAGATATGCAACCTGTTTAGAGTTAGATGTTTATTCCCGGGTGTGTGTCATAAGCTTTTGGACTCACCTGTGCAGTGAGCATGATGTAATCATCCCATCCTAGTCTACGTGTTAGGGCATATTTCGTCCCAAGGCGCGCCGCCACAGTTAACACGGACACGACGAAGATGAACCATAGAAGAAGTTGTACCGTGCTGCTTTGGCTCATAGCGGCATGGTGTTCTTGATCCATCGTGAGCGTGTCCTTCACAGACGAGTGGTTTCGAGATCAATTCCTGAAAGCTTAGTTGACGCAAAGATAATAGATTGTTAATTGCGAAAATCCCTCGAATGAATTGTTATTACTAACATAGGCCTACAAGAGGCCTACCAAGCCGGCTCCAGGAACGCCGACTCCAATGTGATTTTCTACATTGGAATACGTAGTAGGTATAGCCCGCGGTGAGCGGCGCCGTCTAAGGCATGCTCTCTGCTTGTGCCTATAGTACCCGGAATCCGTGGGGCGTCTCGGCGCGCCAGGAAGTGTTACATCAATAACAGATGAGAGTAGGGTGGGACTATCTGTAGGTCGAATGCGACACAATGACAAAAATAAAGCAAATGCATCAATCGGTGCAGCTTAGAGTCTGGGCAGGGCAGACTGGGCCGTCATTGACGCCTCGCTATAGTTTACCTAATATGGACATGATGCTGCATGAGACTTATTGGTCCCTTGTAGGGCCAATCGTCACGCGGAGAGCGACTCCAAGTGACTCTGGGTTACTTGGTCGAGAAAAGGATATCAAGCAAATTCCTCAAAGAAGCTTGGTATGACCCCAATTGCCGAGATCTCGGTGTCCGAGATGGCCTCATCGTCCTCGATCTAGTAAGCTGTGAATGTGGCGTGATATATTGCCCGTTGTTAATGTAACCCGCATAGTACCATGCATGTGGGTGGCTTTTACACGATCCGGGTTAGATTGTGTGCGATGCTTCTGTGCTGCTTTCTGTGAGACTTTTCTGCTCAACAGACCAACAGTATTTTCAGGCGGCCCCCATTGTCTCATTCGATGGCGTCTGTCTTGTAACGTGACTACCCCGCCTCTCTTCTTCTTTCGCATCCAGGGTCCTTCCAGGGATTCCTGTTTGGATGATTCCCTGATAAGCTGTTGGCTAGGATCCGGCTCCTCTCATCTAAGCCAATCGCTCAGCTCGAACCGACCAGCCGTTAGTTACCCTGGTTCGTAGCGCCACTGTTATACAGGCCTAATTGGCCCATATAGCAAATTGTATGTGATTGTCAGTACAAGTTGCAGCGGCGACAGGCCAACATGCTTGAAACATTTTGTGTTTAATAAGGTCTCAATGCCTTAGCTATTTCGTCGCCAGGAATCTAGTCTCCCACATAATCCCTACCCGTCGTAATCCTCAGTCATGGCGTTGAAGCTTCAAGAAATTGACCCCGAAAAAGATTTCCCGGCACTAGCCAGATGCCTGTTTGAATCTTACGAGGATCCTCCACAAAAATTTTTCCATGTCTTTTTCCCGATCCATGGTACTGGATCCGAGGCCCGTGAGGAGGCCATCAAGGAGGCGGCCGATCGTTTGAAATTATGGCATACCCATGACCCTTCGAGTTATTGGCAGAAGGTTGTCGATGAAAGCACTGGGAAGATCGCAGGGGGCTCTCTTTGGAACATCCACGAGCAAAATCCATTCGCCAACCCCCCTGCCTCGGCACCAACTTGGTTTCCAGACGATGGATCCCGCAGATTCGTCGAGAAAGCGCTTGAGAATCATAGTCGGCCGCGGGCCACGGTAGCGCAGAAGCCCCATCTCTGTAGGTCAACCTCTCCCTGCTCGAGATTGGACAGTTACTAACCCAAGCCAAGACCTCTTCATCATCTTCACACATCCAGATTACCGCCGCAAGGGAGTTGGACAACAATTCATGGACTGGGGTATGAAGAAGGCTGATGAGAAAGGATTCGACTTCTACTTAGACTCTACCCCATATGGAAGGCCATTATATGAGGCAAATGGGTTCACCTACCTCGAAGAGAATGTAAACATCCCAAAAACTGAGAATCCGGATGAGAAATGGAAGGAAGTGGAAGACAAAGTCGGTCCTTTCACGTTCTGGCTCATGGTGCGGCCTTTTGGCGGCAGCAAATCTTCATCCGCCGATTAAGGATGATGTCGAGATAAAGTTCTGAAACGTTCCGATGAGTTGCGGACGACATTAGTCATCAATACGATGTTTTCCACGCGCTTGGGCCTTCCTAAAATGGCATGTGATAATGATCGTGGTATTGAAAAAGCAACGATTTTTCAGTCACTTTCGTTTATAGGTAGGACTTTATCTCAGGCCATTCACACTGTCAACGGTGAGTCAACTATTCAAGTTGAATTCTTTACATGCAAATAAAATCACCATAACGCTCCAGTTTGACATACTCCCACGCCGCATAACAGGTGGCTACAGTGGAACCTGATATCTTCAGATAAGCAAAGTTTACACAGTATAATTAGACTTCATACGCCAAAGAGATATAACATAGTGCTCAATCTTGATGTCCAGAAATTGTCATATTTAGAAGCTGCTATATCGGAAACGAATTTGCTACCCAAAAAGGGGTCCAGGGCCACATGCTGTGGCGTTATCTCCAGCGTAATCCCATACTGATCTACGTCCCTAGGCTTCGACGACTGACCCTTAAGCACCTGTTGTTGCCGTTAGCCACGTTCAAACAATAATGAAATCAAAACTAGCATGATGACTTACAAATTCTCGACCGGCATGGATAGAGGGTCTTGTGGAGATTAACCAACAGGGAGGATTCCGATGGGGAAAGCGTTGGTACGGACGTCAACACCCCCGACGGGAAGTATTCCAACAGGGAATGCGTTAGTTCGAACATCGACCCCTCCAACTGGGAGGATGCCAACCGGGAACGCGTTTGTGCGGACATCGACACCTCCAACTGGAAGAATGCCAACCGGGAACGCATTCGTGCGGACATCAACGCCTCCGACGGGGAGGACGCCCACCGGGAACAGGTTGGCGCGAGCGTCTACTGTAGACTCTGTCGCTCGTGTAGGGTTAACTTTGACCCATTCCTCAGAGGGAACGGCTGCTTGGATGTTGACGCTGAGCTTCCACGGCTGGATCCTTTTATCTTGGGTTGCTTCATCAAGCTTGGCTTGGACGAGAGCCTCATACTGGTTTGGCATATTGAATAGTATTGATAGTGATCGATGAAGGATGAGACTAGATCAAGGGCTTGTGAGATTAGACGGTTTCACCTGAGCGGATAGATCTTCCGATACCCTGTACTTATATATGTCTATCGTGCCTAGGCAGAGAATGATACAACTGTGAGTCTATCCAACCTCCATTCTCCACTCCGTCTCAATGTTCAAGGCATGCCTTGGACCTTTGCACTGCGACGTCACGGTCTCCGTGTGATGAGTGGCAGGATGGGCGATGTCACTCGAGGTATAATCCCTGTTCACTTGACATGAAGCCTCCCCCTATCATGAATGGAGGTCATGTGTGCCGCGATTTCATTCTGACGATCCTATCGAAACATCTCGATCGTATGATGACCCGATACCAAGGATAGGCTGATATGCATCGTGATAGGGGGTTAGTAGCTTTGTTCCGGGTAGTTGGATAATTCATACATCTAGTTTTTGTAAGTCGTGAGCTAGTTCAAAACCATAGGCTCTGGGTTACCCGGGCAATCTCACATCCGTCTAGACAGGTCTATTTTCTTTTTTGTGAAAAGATGATCCTTTGCAAGCCAAGAAAGTCGGAGTAATCAATGGATAGCATCGGCATGATTTAGGATCAGGCCTTCAAACAGGAATTCGGAATCAGCCAATCCGAATAAGCAAAACACCATAGTTCATTGGTACAGTAATCCTGGGTTGTACCATCTTCGATATCGCGTTGTTCTTTCTTTTTCCAACTGATGCTCTATTAGGTTCAATCTCAATAGTTTTGATTGAGCTCCACGAGTTATCTATTTTGACAAGATACCGGTTCAGATTCAAGCAGACCTTATGTGCCATGTCTGAGACTGCCTATGTTCGTTTTCTCCAGTGGAGCTCCCTGTATGAGAAGGAACGTCCCTTTCAAATATTCACGGAGCTTCTACCTGAGTCCAACGATCAAAGAAAGACGAATCTCGTCTGGGATGAGAGACAGATCGAGGTCAAAAATTTCAGGGCCAACGCCGAGCGATACCAGCTTGACACTCATGGCTTTTCTACACGTCATCTTCCAGGATTCCGCGACCTCATGGACAAGGAAACCATCATAGAGAAGTACTTGCCTGCAGTTCAGGAAATGCTTCAGTCCCAACTTCAAGATGTTGGCACTGTATTTGTTTACGATTGGCGAGTAAAGACAACCCAAACTAGCCTCACAATCTGGATTCTGTTGACCATTCTATTATTTCTCACAGATTCGAAACAGTCGTCCTGAGACAACTGACGAGATCATCAACTTCAGTGATCAGACTCAGCCGCTACTTCCGAGTAACTATGCGCATATTGATGCAGGTCCTGTTTCAATCTTTCAGCGTATTCAAAATAGCTTTCCAGCCAATACAGACAAGATCATACGCCAACGTATCAGAGCTGTCAAGTAGGTACCTCCCGCGTCTGATCTGTGTCAGCCGACTCTTGCTAACTCGGTATTACTTTTCTTTCTTCAGTGTGTGGAAACCACTCTGCAATCCCGTTGAAGAATGGGCATTAGCAGTTTGTGACGGAACCACTGTCAAGCCTGATGATCTGGTAGAGACAGACTCGGTCCGACAAGGGAGTGTCAGCACAAACTACTATGCTAAATATGCGCCAGATCAGCAATGGTACTACTTGAAACATCAATCGCCAGATGAGGCGTTAATTTTCAAGCATTTTGACTCTGAACCCGGTGTCCGGGCACCATGTACGAAGGCGCTCACAATTCTACACCAGGGGGATGCTAACCAGGTGGCTTAGATGCTTTGCATGCTAGTATCCGACAGGACGTGCCGATAGGCGTAAAGCCAAGGCAGAGTATCGAAGTCCGTACACTACTATTTTCTGAAAAGTTCGAGTCTGAGGGGGAGATCTGCGTGTAGATCCAAAAAGGGAAGATGCGTGTCGCTGGCCGTACATAGGCGTTAGCTTGGGACGCCTTCTGTATCCAAAAAGATTAACGTCTTAGATAGCAAGTGAAACTAGGCACCCGGATCGGGCCGTTATCCGATCATGATTAAGAGCCCCATCAGAGAAGCTTTAATCGAATGGAGAGACGTGAGGGATAAAAAGCAACAAACTGCAGACCGCTACAACTGTTCGGTCCATGTAGTCCTAGTTTATCGTAACCCTATAAGTCCTACCTGAAGATAGCCTCAAAACTTCTTGTCTTGTGATGTACAGGTAGCTGTGCCACATCCACATTCAGGGCTGTGAGGGGAAGCCCAAGCGGTGACGGTCATATTACCCTTTCCTCCATGTCGGTAGAGGTTCGATCCCGTCCGCCACATGAGCCACACCCGATGCTTAGACGCTTGGCAGGCTGCTTGCCAAGCGGCCGTATTGACCTACATATGTACCTACTTACTTGGGTTGGTAGGTAAATAGCATCAATACGACTCAGAGTGAAAGGACCTCTGCAGTACTTTACAGCTAACGCGCCGATGGATGCTGCCTACGTAATGTGCGGGTAGCATTGTTGCTACTATCTAAGCGATCACCCATAAGACGCTCTGAATATTCAGCCGGCGGCCACTGAGATATCGAGGTGTGATCATGCTGAAGGATGATACAACCAAGCTATACCAGCTATGTGTACAGACCTAACCCAGAGTCCAGACCCGACCACGCATCTGCGTTGCTGCGCCATCCGTGAGCCAACAGTGTAACGTTGAGACCCCGCGATGTTGCTAGAAGATTGCGGGTGCATGATAAGGGCTAACCCAGAAATCCAGCTCGATGACATTCAACAGGTCGTATTGCATAAAGCCTAAGTAGCATTTAATCAAAAATACCTACGGTGCCCTGATGACACCTACCCTACATGCCTGTGGCTTACGGCGACGAGCCGATACGATGTGGAATAGGTAGTAGAAATACCTTGCAGGAGACACACGGCACATTTGCGACATAGCTATTTGATTCGTAACTAGTTTGCCTAACAAACCTTCCACAGGAGGGTGTACGGCCAATCATCCCACCAAAGCCGCATAGTTATGTCTTAGCAGAGGACCATGCATACATGGTACCGTACCTTAGTGTGTGCGCCATCTTTTGGGCACATCAGGCATTCACAAATAGGCGCCAGCAGCAGGTGGTGTTACTTCGGAGGGCCTGTTCATGTTGCCGAAAAAGAAACGTAGGTTGGGAAGCCCATACTGTCGGAGTAACGTAATCTTCCATAGAAATTGCAGTGTTACAAGGGAGTGCGCTGTTTGGTATTCCAGACACTACGCTATGATCATGACCTTTGCTGAGCCAGGTTGGGTCCAAGCACTACTCTCTATCACTTACACCTTTATCCCGCCCACTGTATCCCCCACGTCGTTTTGTTTCCACTTCCTAGTGATTTTCGTACAGCATTTCATCGAGGGCTCGCGATAAGTTGTTGGCTTCCAGCTATTCTTCAACGCCAAGGCGCGATGACGGTGTCACAAGCCGAAAATGAGGTGCTGCCTCCTTCGAGTCTCGAGAAGGGCTCGATATCAGCAGGTGTAGAATGCACGGATTCAGATACAATACCGGCAGACAAAGTACGTAACTCTAGGCCTAGGAACAAACCCAGAACCGCAAACTGCTGAGCATCGTTGACACTGACCGACGTGTCCAGAGCGTCTGGACGGCGGTCGACGACCCCGAACGCCCTTTGTATTGGCCTCGGCTCAGAAAATGGACAGCGACAATGATCATGTCTGCCTTTTCGTTCCTGCAGCCGTTATCAGAAACGATGCTCGCGCCAGCTGAGAAAACGATCTCGGACGAGCTACACATCAAACAGGAGTACCAGTGGTATCTGGTGAACTCGTTGATTCTAGTCGGGGTCGGATTGTCACCGTTGCTGCTAGCACCACTATCCGAAGTGTACGGCCGTAAGCCTGTCCTTATTGTAGCTAGCACGATCTTCGTCATTTGGAACGTGGCATGCGGAGCGTCTTCTACTCTCGGCCAGTGAGTATTATCCCTTGTCACCTTCTCCCCTGGACTTGAAAGCGATGGAGTATCGGGTCTTTCTAGACTCAGTCATATACTAGAGGCACTTGTGAATGCTCGGATCACGTCGATAGTCGCTACTGCTGACCCCGACTGTTATTAGAATATTGGCTTTCCGACTTTTATCCGGGTTTGGCGCCAGCGTTGCAGACGCACTTGCTGGCGGACTTATGAGCGACCTTTGGAGTCCAGAGGAGAGAGGGAAGGCATTCGCGTTCTATATGGCCGCACCCCTTTTAGGGCCAGCTCTAGGTCCCATCTTAGGAGCATTTATCTCTGAGGGCACAAATTGGCGATGGATCTTCTATGTTACGTCTATCGCGTCAGGAGCAGTGATAATTCTTGCGATTACCTGCCTCCACGAGACCTACGAACCTAGACTGGAGCAACGACGAAGGCGGGCAGCTGATAAAAGCTCGTTGAAACCAACGATCTCATCCCAGAGCACGAAAGCCTTTCTTGAGCTTATGAGGGAGAACTTGCAACGACCCTTTCGTATGCTGGGTACGCAGATTATCATCCAGCTCCTCGCTACCTACATGGCCCTGCTATACGGAACTATGTTTCTGTTTCTGTTCGTGTACCCCCTTCTTTGGACCGAGCAGTACGGCGAGAGTGTCAGCATTGGGAGCTTGAACTACATATCATTTGCTTTAGGGCTGATCCTTGGTGTGAACATCGCCGGTCACCTTAACGATTACATATACCTTAAGCTCAAGGCGCGCAATAATGGAATCGGCCGTCCCGAGTTCCGTGTTCCTCCAATGATTATTGGAACTGCACTCGTACCAATAGGCCTGTTATGGTGGGGATGGACTGGGCAAGCAAAGTTGCACTGGATATTGCCAAATATTGGGAGTCTTATACTGGGTACGGGCGTATATTGTTGCTCCGGATGTGTGTCAGTCTATACCATCGACGCATACAGCCGGTATGCGGCATCGGCTGTTTCTACCAACCTGGTAGCACGAAGCCTAACAGCTGCCTTCTTCCCGCTGTTCGCGCCATACCTGTTCGATGCTTTGGGTTTTGGCCTCGGCAGTACGGTTCTCGCTGGAGCGTTCGCGGTCCTCGGATCCGTTGTTGTATTCATCTTATGGTTCTTTGGAGAAAACCTCCGCGCTCGCAGTCCTTATTGCGCGGCCACTGGTAATTGAGGCTGGCCGCAATTGGGGAGCCAACGTTCTATATTACATTGACCCTTTCGACAACGAAAAAGTGCTATTAGAGGTAGATTTCCTATCCTATTACTGGTCTGCTTGTACTTGAATTTTATGCAGCTGATATGCGCTCAAATACATTATGATCTCAAAATCTAGCCGCATTAGCTTAACAAACCACCTTTCGTGGCTCGATCTTAGGCTCATATACGATAGTAACTCGCTCGACCACCTATTCTATTGCTGATCAATAGTCATCAAACTTGTCGGTCGTTGGAAACGAGACCTTTGTGGTTATTCGATCTTTGAACCATTCTAACTCGTCAATCGTCAGCCAGTTCGGCGAATACTCTCGTCTCTTTTCGGTTGGTTCTCCCTTGTTAACGACATAATTAGAGTGTTGAAAAACTGGAGTGGGCGATTCACCATTCACGTCTACCTCGTAGATGTCGATCGTGATAAATATAGTCACATCTACCAAATTGATTTGGTCTATATCCAAGCTGACCCAAAGTTCGAGATTTCGGTACACAGACGGCTTTATGCGCCATACACACAGAAGCTGATTAAACTGGCGACTCCTAGCTTGGAACCCTCCCGTGTCTTTTCGCACAAACTTGTCTTTCAGCTGGCGTTTCGTCATACAAAAGCGAGCTAGCCCTGTGGCATGTTGCAAAACTTCATGAAAGTCTGTGTCTGCCTGGGCATCACGTAAAATAGGAACAAACACCATCCATGGGTATTTCGAGGTACCCAAGACAATTGCGAAGCAACGTATGGGGAATATACCATCAACAGACTGGCTCTTTTTGTCGAAAGCGGCGCTAAATGTGAAGAATAGTGCCGCATGTGTTCCCCTGTGCCCAGGTGGGATTGAAATTGAATGTTCAATAGGATGATAGGTGGCATGGGGTAGACAAAGCACATCATCTAGCACATATTGGTCTTCTATCCTTGTTCGCGACTTATTAGGCGCGCGTAAGATCTGGAAGCTTGCTGGAAGTGGTGGTACGGTTTCGATAGGGGGGTCTTTTACGACTAACGCCTTGGGGCCTGCCTTTGTCCAATGCTCTGGAAAGACGAGGACTAGCGGTCCGATGCGTGTATAATAGAAATAGTCTCCCTTTTCCACCGGGACACCTATATAAGCTCGAGCTGTATTGCGAGTGGTGCAAGCTAGGATGATGAAAGAACGAGACCCCCTTTCCACTACAGGATACTGAACTCGCACGCCGTTGCCGTGTATGACGGGGGGATGACTAACCACTTCGCTTATAGTCTGCATTATGTCGTGTTTGGTCATAAAGTCCATTGGGGAATCCGCGAAAAGCCCATGCCTGTTAGACACCTGGAACTCACGTAGAAAGACCTGGATGTCGGTGAAGACTTCTGGCGCACCCCACGCAAAAAGAGATTGGTCGTCAGACACCCTCAGGATCTCCTGCTGTAGTCGCAAAAAAGCTTTAGTGCCTTCGCCGTATATTAGAGGCATATTTCGTTTCCTTGAGACTCTTCCATATGCAATATTCAAGTTCGCCGGGGGTGCTGTCTTTCAGCCTTGGCAGGCTAGTCAAACATACACACGGTTAACACCTAGTCGATATCTACTTAGCCGATCTTTACGGTTGCATCCATTCCCTTAGAACTTATCTTGGTCCCTCAAGCCATGGTGGCAGGATTCAGTACAGTCCATTACAAATACTCAACTATTTCGCTATTTGATAGGTTACGACTGTTGTTATTGCGAAATGCGCTCGGAACTATATTTCCTGATAGGTAGCTAGCCCCAAATGAGAGCAAAGCTACCTAGGTGCTTACATGCTGCATGCGAGCACGGCATACTAGTAATCAAAGTCCCGCTTGATGATATGCTGTCTTGATTCCCTATCTTGATATTTGATTGAATCAAACGAGCAACAACCTGAGCTTAGCGCTGTTAATGGAGTCCAAGGGGCGTCTACCAACCGATTTCATTGTCATACACAATGATCCGCCGAGCAAGAGGTTACTAACAAATCTGATCAGTGGAAAAGTGTATGATATTGAATAAGACCTTACGCCGCAAATGATGACAACCGAAGAGCGGCGTCCAAGTAAAACACAAGATCGTGTACGCTAGAGCTAATCGGTCCCGAACCCGCCAGGCAACTCAACAAGGACATTCACATGATCGACATACGTACATGTAAGCAGTCGGCAGATGTAACAGGAAAGCGGGGAGATACCCATTATATCAGTTGATGCGATATCTACCTATCTTCTGCATTCTCTCAGTGGCTATGGCCCCTTATCCCATTATGCTTCAACTTGGGATCGTCCGGTACGTTCAACAAGGACTCCAAGGCAATTAGAACAGACTACTTGACCTGTTTGCAAGGAAGAGCTGTTTATAACGATATTTGCAGATTCTGAATTGAAGCCGGGCTCAAAGGGATGGTCCGTCCAGGGGCCATCTCGACAAGGGGTGCATCATCCTTGCTGACTTAGCGGAAGGGACTTGATAAGACCCCGCCTACGCAAACCCCTTCCCCGCAGGCCGCTATTTAGACTTCCGCCTTCTTCTTCATCGATATACTCAGTCTACCCTCTGCCCGCCCTTGGTCCACTTTACCACTAATATAGTGGCTCTTATTCGTGATTCAGTGAAGGTAAGATAGTATAGTTGGCCAACCTACTTTTGAATATTCCAGGGTAGCTCCATTACTCCCTTAAACAGTTAGTTGCCGAGTGCTGAAAGGTCGGGACGAGACTGCACACAATGGATGTCATGCTTGGGGTCTGTCCGACTTCCGCCTATGCTCCATCCATGCGTCCTAGCAATTACATATAGGTAGAGCTCAGTGGGTTTCGGAACGGCTACGACCCTGACATGCTAGCGTCTCCGGGGATAATCCTTCGGGAGGGATATAATAGATCAAGAGCTGGTATTTAATGGAACACTAAAGAAAATCCCGTAGTGTGACAATTTTCTATTCAATTGCAGAAACCTGAAAACAATCTGCAGCCACTATGAACATTCTACATGCCTTTAGCATCAACAATGTTGGACTGCTTCACTACGTTGGTACTGCCTTGATAGTGACAGTCCTCGTGGTAATGATCTTTCCTAGGCTTGCCTATTTGCTTCACATGTTGACTAGCTATTCATAGGTTACAATTCGACGCCTCTTCTTTGATCCCCTTGCCAAAATACCTGGACCATGGTACGCTAAATGGACGGACGTGGTGCTGAAGATCAAATCGCTCTCGGCCACTGGCCCCATATACGTAGACAAACTACATGAGAAGTATGGTAGGTACAAGCGGCAACAAGCGTTGAAGTTACAGTTATCACCGTTAACATACCATAGGTCCGATGGTGCGACTAGGGCCGAGCCAGGTTAGTTGCTCGGAGTCTTTACCCTCCCATTTAGGCAGGCTTTGGGGCCTCTTTGCTCCCGCGTGCTGTCAAACCATGAGCTAAATCCTTTCCATAAGTGATAATTACTGACTTCAACGTGTGTGGTAGGTCGGTGTGACCGATATTTCAGCCGCTAAGAAGATTCATACTGTCAAAGGCGACTACGTGAAGACCGACTACTACCTAGGACTCGGATATCGAAAGGAGAACGTAATCAACACCCAAGATCCGGAAACTCATCGTCGGCATCGAAAATTGCTGAGTCAGCCCATATCTGAGAGGAGCTTGAAGGCAATGGAGCCGCAGATTGAAGAGAAGATACGGCTAACCATCAAGAGAATGGGCGAAGAAATGAAAACACGAGGGGCTGCTGATGTTTATAAATGGTGGATGTTTATGGCCACGGACACCATTGGCCAGTTGACATTTGGGGAGTCGTTTCATATGCTTGAAAGAGGAGAGGTAGGAGAAACGTTCGACAATCACTGTTATATCATACTAAAGTAACAGTAGGTCAATACTGAAATCAAAGATATTCAGTTGATTGGGGCTGTCTCAAGTATTGGGACCCAGCTAAAGGCTGTGATGCCAATTCTGTACCAGTAAGTACTAGTCGAAGCCAGATTTCCTGACCAGAAGCGAAAGAGGGAAAAATGAATACATCAAGGTAATATCATCAATTAAATTATTAACGTTGTTTTCCAGTATCCGGCTTCCCGGCTTTACTGACTCGCTGAAAACAATGTCCGACAGGCAGTCAACAAGCGCGATCGCAAAGCTACAGAAGCTAGGCGAGGAGATGGAGAGCAAGGACCAGTGTCAGTTCATTAGAGAGATAAGACGACAGATCTAGTACCGCTAACATCTGGCTATAGTACTGTTTACCAAATTGGTGAAAGGACTTACAATGGAGGGTGAATCATTGACTGGAACTGAACTAGTCTATAGTAAGTCGCATATCTGTGCTTATCATATCCTTCATGACTGTAAGTGATTTTGAAAGAGAATATTCCTGACCAATATACTTGCAGATGCCGAAGGTTATATTGCTGCTGGCAGCGAGTAAGCACTACGAGTCTTCTTTTCTTCAAAGTCATTAACTGCCAAGCTCAATCCGACCGGCCTTCAACCTATAGTTCCCACGCTGACCTACGAACACTTCAGCACGACGTCAAACACGCTTACATACTCAACTTGGGCCCTATGTAGAAACCCGGAACTCAGAGATCAGCTTGTCAAAGAACTAGAAAATTTACCAGCAGACTTTACCGATGAGCACTTGAAGGCTCTGCCGTACCTGAATCACGTTATCCAAGAAGCGCTCCGCCGCTTCCCTGTTATCCCTAATGGCCTTCCACGATACGTTCCGAAAGAAGGCGCTGAGTTAGGTGGATATTGGCTCCCAGGTCGCACGACCGTCATGACGCAGGCGTGGAGTATGCACAGAAACCCAGAAGTGTTTCCCAACCCGGATGAGGTCAGTGTTGTGTCCCTTTCAAAATATCTCGAGAACATTGGCGATCGAATCAAGGATGTTTTACTATTTCGTGCTGCCTCTCACTGCCTCACAAGTTATTAGTAGCATTCACTATAGTCTGCAGTTACTAATACTATATGTCTACCTAGTTTAATCCTGCAAGATGGGAGAACCCGACAAAGGAGATGAAGGATTCCATGATGGCATTCGGTGGCGGCACAAGAAGTTCGTTTTTTTTTCATATTCGATTCATCTTGTCTTTCTTTTTTCCTGTTTACTAATACCAGCCTTTCTAGTATGCCTCGGTATGCATCTAGCATATATCGAGCTTCGTCTAGGGCTCGCACATTTCTTTCGAACTTTCCCCCGCGCACGCGTGTCTACTCTTGAGGGTATGAAAGACGATGACATGATACAAGCCTTGCATGTCGTTGCAAGCCCGCAAAGCCACCGTTGTCTTATCGAAGTTTTATAAACCTATGGGAATATGTTGCGTCAGAAGTGATGAGCGTTGCTATTGAGGACGGAAGTCTACTTTGGTGGCAACATCAGACGCGCCCGGTCCGTCGCCAACACCGACTATAGACTCGTTCCGAGCAGCTATGCAAGACGCTTCTCGATTTTAAGTATTGGGCTAGAAGATCTTCACTGTTCGAGTGGCAATAGAGTAGATATACATTTCACCTTCCAAGCAGATACTGTCACTTGCTGTTGTAAACCTGATATTGACGTGTTTGAGGCCGATCGCGCAATGATCTATAGACAATGATCTATAGGATACTAGGCGTAGTAGGCCCATAGTGGGAATCCCTATCCTCGGACGTTGATATAAGGTACTCGGCGTGCAATCTCTAACAGATACTACTAAGCACCATCGTTATATCAATTAACTGTAATTCATCAATGCCTTGGCATTAGATATGTGCCGATATACGACGGTTGTTAACCAAAATAGGCTTCGCTCTACCTACATACAGTATACACGAGGAAGCTATGTGAAGCTTTTCAATCATCTACCATGTCGTCGTCTGCCGCTGTCGTCTGAAGCAGTGCTGTAGAGGATTTGTTAGTAAAATAGTTTCATTTGAGTGTTTGATAGCAAAATTATCAACGTTACCTTGTCTCAATGTACCCCTCTCCTCTCCGTCTTTAATACCAACATCATCAATTCCGAACACCTCCGCCATTTCTTCCAGGGACCGGCCCTTCGTCTCAACTAGAATTCAGTCAGCATAAACTACGCCCTACCATATCGCAAGAACCTGAAAGGCTAGAATCTTACCCAAAGCGAAGTGAACGAATAAAAATGCAATAATGCAGATTATAATAAACAGTATATATAGGCCATACCCTGTTGCGCTTTCGATAGGTGGCGAAACTTGAGCAACAACAAAGTTGGATACCCAAAGAGAAGCAGTGCATAGAGCATTCCCTTTCGCCTGTACGAGGACCAAGACCAATTTTGATTAGTGCCGACAAGGAGATGTGAAGGGAGGGTACAAACTCACACGTAATGGAAGGGGGAAGATCTCTGCGGCATATGTCCATGAACCGGAACTCCAGCTCATATTGAAGAATGTATAGAACAGGTATGGAAATATTACGATACCATATCTAGCCGGGCTGTGCGGATAATCAGCAGCATGCTGCTGGAATATGCAAATTCCTGTCAGGGCAACAACCATGCCCACGAGGCCAACCTGTAACCAAGTCTTGCGGCCAAACCGATCAAAGTAGAAGACCGGAATCCATGAACTAAGAAAAACAGTCACGCCAATACCTCCAGTAGCTAAGTTCGCAAGCTTCGGGTCCGTAATGCCGCCCTTTTTAAAGAGTTCTGGTGCGTAGTAGAAGATGCCATTTGTCCCCGTGGTTTGCTGAAACATCTGAATTCCAGTGCCGAGCAGCGTAACGCGGAGAACAGGTCCGCGAAACATATCAACCCAAGAGGTGCCGGAACGGTCTTTGACACTGGCCTCTCCTTCGACGGTTTCGCGGATGGCGCAAATCTCCTCTTCCGCTACCTTGGAGCCGTGTAGGCGCGTCAGAACCTCAAGAGCACAGTCATAACGCTCCTGGGACACAAGCCAACGTGGAGATGGCGGAACCCATACCCAGCAGCCAATAGCGAGTATCAGCGCAGGCACCACTTGAATGGCAAGGGGGAGACGCCACCAGTCGTCAGAGTCGAGGAAAAAGAAGCCGTAGTCGACGAAGACAACGACCATCTCCGCAAAACACAATATCATCATCATGATGCCGCCAATTCGGCCACGCAACTGCGCTGGCGCAATCTCAGATGTGTATAATGGGACGCCAGCAGAATAAGCACCAACGCCAACACCCAACACGAAGCGACCAAAACTCTACCAAAAGACATTGTCAGCGAACCGTGTGAGGCAGGATAACTACTTCACTTGAACACCACTTTATACATCGAATGGAAACCGGGCCATGAATAATCCAGCACAAGCCCGAAAAGGCTACCACACCTACAATTTGAGCGATGGTATAAGACGCAGCCTGTAGCAACGCGCCAATGATAAAGACGGTACTAAACAGAGAGATAGTGCGCTCGCGACCGCATGCATCCGCGAAATAGCCGATGGCCAGCGCTCCGATTACACAACCTATGTTGTAGATACTAACAACGAAGCCCACGCTCCCTATGCATGAAGATAGATCGGTTAGTCAACCCGTCATACAACACCTTCAAAATGCAAGCCAGTTCTTGTGTCACATAAGAAGAGCAGCTCACAATCATTAGCGGGCTGCATCAACTCTAACCAGCGCTCATCGGCGATGATCATGGCCATAACGCCCTGATCCCAGCCGAACAAGAAGGCGCCTAGGGAGACGAAGCACGTCAGCCCATAGACATATTTCATATTCGGCGGGCGAGACGGCGTTGGCAGCGAAGCGTCGCCATCTCCATCACTCGTCGATACAGCACTGTAGCCAAGTGTAGCTGATATTGGGGGCCGTATAAGGGCCGTCTGCTTGATGAAGTTCTTCATGCTAGTGCAGCAGAAGATGGCAGCCAAAGAGCGCCGCTACAGGTGACGTCACGGAAAGAGGGAACGGAGGGCGAAGAACGAGACGCATAATATTCTGACTGAATAATAGCAGTACAGACTAGAAGGACCTTTCGATCTCATCCCGACTCGTTGACAAGGTGCAGAAGATGCTTTGAAGCTTCTGTTCACCCGCTTCACTTACTGAAGGGTGTCTTAGCACGTGACTACATCTAACATGTACTGTAAGTAACATGTACCTACCCCCTGTAAGTTCAGACTACAGTGCCTACCCACCTAGAACAGATACCTAAAACAGCACCTAAACAAGAGCCTACATGGGCGCTTGCCTTCTAAAACCGTGACGATTCTAGGGGACATCAGTCAACTCCTCCTGTCGCTTCCATAGGTCGTGTCCATCGTGTCCACATTCTCCGGCTCATAGAATGGTGAAGAAGTTGAAGACTTGAATTTCCGGGCGGTTATTTTATTTTGTTTTCTCTCTCGTTCTTCGTCCCAACTCACAAGATACGACCTTCTTAAGATACCTGACCTGTGAAGAATGGTACGCACTCATCAAGATAGGCTATGGCCAGACCACCTAGGCATACATACATACATATTCCGTGACGCTATTCAACCCATCCAAGGCGAATCAAATACTTTCGTAGCTGCATCCAATGTAACATACTCCTTTATTTAGGATACGATGAGTCTATTTTCTATGGCTTTGTTGCTGGCATTGTTCAGACCCTACAGCTTTAGTGGTTCTCGCTTTGTTCAAAGCCGTGCGATGAATGCGGTCGCGCTCCTGATTTACCTAATGTTTACACGAGGGCCTATCCAACCCCAAGCGGCGCCTCGTTCATGTGACGATGCATGCATGAGGTTGCTAGACCCTGCTGTTCCGTGCTTGTTTCTTCCATCGTCTCGACGTCATCGTTCTGCTTAATCAAATGACCATTCAGCAATAGCACTTGGGTCGATAACATCATGGCCGAGAACGAACCACTCCAGAATATGGGTGATGATCCAAAGGACTACTCACCATCTCCCCCGAAAGAGGCTTCACCAGAAGATCCGTCAGAGCCGGAGTCACAACAACCAGAGGAGACTGAAAGGCCGCTTGCATATTCTCCCTGGACGGCGCGCTGGGACGCCCAGAAAGGACCACGCTTCACGTGGAAGAACACCATCCATACTGGACTTGCACCTGAGGTCCCCCGGATTGATGATCCAGTCCACTATCTCGATACCGGCTTTACAGCAGACCCGTCCTATGCCAGCAAGCCCCTGCCAAACAGCGAGGATCTAGACATCCTTTTTCGCACAGAGAATTATCAGATATCGAAACTTTTCGGGCTGCGCACATGGCAAGCTGCAGGGTTATTTCGCTGGGTTAATTTCGATCCAGATCGGTTTGGACCCATGTCGGGGGGACATTTACCGTCCGACGTAGGCGCCAATGCCGACGCAATCGCCCAGGTATACGATCGGGCCAAAATTCGAGTCGATGAGTCGCAATGGTTTGGCTTTTTGCAAAAACGGAGATGGTACGACTGGGTTGAGACTATCCCCCCTGGGAAAGTTCAAGGTTCAAGAATTTGGAGCGTGAATGACCCAAAGGTATGGAAAGAATTAAGTATATGCTTTGAACTCGTAAACAGAATGTTCAATGCACTTATCGAAGATAGAAGTGAAGCTGGTATGTGAGTGTCTGCGCTCCAGAAAGCGAGATCAATTCTGTCTCAAACAATTCACAGGCTGGATTCTGACGTATCTGCAGTGAGTCGAAACTTAATACACTATCGGTCCCTGTTGTTAAGCCATGCTAGACGACTCCACGGCATCCCGGCATCCTCACTGTTTGCTGATGGGATGATGGAATATTTTAGCTTGAAACGATCCTATTTGGTCGAATAGACACCTGGGGAAACGCGATACCCCCGGAATATCCTCATCAATGCACATACGATGATGCCCGGGTCCTTTTAAGCTACCGAATGGAACAACACCTGGCGGCGGTCACCGGTAAACCTTGCCAGTACGACGACATGCGTCAGATGTCCAAGTCTCAATGGAGAAAAAGGCTGGAAGAAATTCTTGGTACACATCTGTGGGTATGTTTGCCTTTTTTTCCTATCTGTTCATTCAAGTTAGGCAGGTTCCTCTTTACGAGTTGAAACGTTATCAATCATTACACTCGGCGACTAATTCGGTGAAGAGTTTTATAATGGATACCAGAGATGATGCCGACGCTTGGGATCACTGTCTCAAAGGTTCAAATTTCACATCCATAACCTTAATTAACTGTGACACGCTAGATCATCTAATGAACACGCCATTAACCATTGCGGAACGATGCGCGATACAGGTCCATCTATCATCCACAGTAAGTGGCTAGGCTTCGTCATGATAGACATTGCTTCGTTACTTATCAACTTTAGATCGTGCATGAGCTTTGCCATGCGATCTTTGCCGGGAGGTTTCAAAACTATCTTCCTTTCCCCAAATACAAAGGCAAAAAAAACGTCCTATTGCCTCCAGAGCCGGTTAGTCTTGATATCAACAAAATCAAGTGTGCAGGCGCCAATAACGAGGTTATAGTATTTAGACTGTCAAGGCATAAGTGAACTCGGCCATACTATGGAACAGCAGTTCTTCGGTGGCACCTCAAACCTTGCCCGCCGTAAGTCTCACCTTTAACTCAAGTTCCATCGGGTCGTTCTAACCAGCTTATCTACCCCTTTATCCAGCACCTATGACGACCGTCTGTCTGGGCTCAGTTACCTTCCGCGTACCCAACTTAAGTCTCAAAGACTATAGGGGACTTCCTGGGGCTTGGTCGCGACCAAACGCTCCAATTATTGGACATCAGATACCGGCATCTTGGACGTCAAAATTGTTAGCTGAGGCCTTCTGGAGTGATAATAGCATACCGCAAAAGAGTGCATCTTTCTTCCACAGACCGTTTACATTCACAAATCAGACCTTCGTCTCAACGTCAGCTGTAGAGGTGAGTTAGTTTAGTGCTTGCACCGTACCCTTTCGCTTCTTAATGACTCTTCTATCAAGCTGAAGTGCTAACCCCGCGATCGATATACAGCTTGGAGAGGTAATTGTCGACGAAGAAAAACTTGAACCCCCTTCCACCACCTCTCGTACAGATATGATGATAGTGAAGACCTGGTGGGAGAGAGAAGAGATCTATTATAATATTCGAGGAGAATGGTGGCAAGATGAGCACTCCAAGGTGGGTTGAAACACTACGGCTTTACTATATCAGGACTACTAGGAGGATGAAAACCATCATGTTCAATCCTGCCGTCGCGCAGTAATTGCCTGCCTAAACACAATCACCATATGCCCTTTTCCCTTATTACACTGAGCATAAATCACTAATATGTCTTGTTATAGTGGAAACAATCCCCGGTATGTCATGATATCTCTGGACTGCGCTATCCTCGCTCTGTCGTATTCTACCGTGTTCTAGGACAGCTAATTCAACTCACCAAAGTGGGGGTGCGAGAAATACATGGTCGGACTGTATGACTTCGCTGATGCCTTCGCCAAGAAAGACGTCATTCGCTGTGGTCAAATATCCATACTATTGACTCATATCGCCAACTGGAGTGTCGACCAGGGAACATTCCAGGAATGCATGCCATCGGACAATCGTGATTTAAGCCCGGTGTGGGTATTTCACTGTATCGGTATGTAAAGCCCTAGTGATAGTCAGGCATTTACTCTTTATTTTGATCTTGGATCAGGGATACTTTAACTGCATGTCATACATGTAATCGTGAAGTTACTGAGTACATGGTGTTAGGGCTACTCATGATGGCAGCGATTCCTATACGATTTGCCCCCGTGCGCATTACGCGCAAGAAACGGGAGGATTTTGTGTATTCGACCTATCCTAGCCGAGAGGCAATGGCCGCTGGGCACGAGAATACCATTAAGATACCATTTAATTCAATAAATGAGGGTGACGATGTCCCCTCCAGTACGTTCTACAATCAGATTCGCGGTACAGGCGAGAAGCACGATTTTACACAGATGGATTATCTCGAATTAGCAGTCCAGACTCTATCTGACGTATTGAGCTATGCCCCTGCATACTGGAGTTGGGCGAATGCGCTGATGCAAGCATACCATAGCCTCAAAGCAGATCGAGAAGAAATGCAGGAACTACTTCGTGAAGCGCACCCGTTCAGCTGGGCACCAACGTGGCCTTTCAAGATCCCACCGTACGATAAACGTGTTGGCCGTTTTAAAGACGATGGATTCCATCGACTGACTTGGAACAGAGATGGGGATTTGGTATATATGTAAATGAAGAAGAAAAAAAATGAACGCTGAGTTGAGATGTGGTTATAAGCGCAAAAGGGGCTTCTGATAGAATACATACGGTGACCGGGTACAAGTTTCGGTACATACCCTACTTCACAGACTAAGACTCACCTATGGCAATGGGCTTATTCCTTTGTAACCTGAACCATATTGCATTTAGGAGAAAATAATTAGCATGTAGACAATTAAGGCAGTGAGTTTCAGTTGGAATTGGCATGCTGTATCGAAACTCTTTGTCCTCTCACTGTATTCCTTAGATTCCGGCGCTACATTTTGACACCTCGCTAGCTAGACGATGCACTCCGGTTTGTGCCTGGAACAGTAATTGATATATAAATCCATGGCTAGTAAGGATGTCAGGTGTGAATGTATCATAACAAACTTAATCCGCAGAGTTCTAGCAGCGCGGCGCGCCTGAACCTAGACACTGGAAACCTCAAATGCAAGTTTGCTTTCAATTGAACAAGGCAAACGACATACCGACTGTTTTCAGAATTAGTAGAACCGCCCGCCAAAAGATAGAGGGAAGCAAAAGAGCATTATGTGCCATTGAAATGGTGAACACAAGCCTTGACCCCTTTCCCTTTAGCAGGGCTGAGACGTCGATCCAGGCGTTACTAGCACGGGGCGCTATACCATTTTACCCCACGACGCGTTTTGAGACGTGCCTGGCATAAAGAAGTAGATTAAGATAAGTGTACTCCGTATAGCTTCGTCTCCATACAGACCCCTACGTATGACTACCTAGTGCGTTCCCTAGTGATCCCGCGACTCCATATTACTGTCCACAGATGTAGGAAGTGATTATTAGCAATGGGGAAGATCCGAGCTCTGATGTCATGTCTTTCACATGTTGAACTTCGTGGTGTGAGTATCCTGCTTTCCAACGGCTGGAATAAGACATTCTTCGTAGCAACTTCTCTAGGCATGGCGATTCGCTAATGAGCTTATTCTCGCTTCTATCATAAATCAACGGGTAAGAAATTTTCAGCTCTTCATCAATAGGCTATTCACTACCATGTATAGATCAGCGCACTATTTTGGTAGGAAGACCACCTAGGACTCTGAGGTATCTTGGCATCTTGGCATCATCTTGGCGTTCATCTTCCAAGACGGGGTATTTCCCAGGGTTCTATGTACAGCCGTTCCTTCTTACAATTTCAGCCATGAAAAATAAGCGTAATACTGCAACTGACCATGTTGGTGCAATCGCGATTAAGCGGCGCCGGCGCGCAATGGAGGCAGATGTCGAAGGTTGGGAAGACGACTGTTATATCACTGACCTTCTTCTTCATACTCGGTACGTGACGAGCCCCCTCCCCCTCTCCTATTTGGGCAGCAAAAGTGAAGCCTTACTCACACGTTATGCGGAACGGCAGCCTTGTTGTGGGGGACAGGGACGGTTGACGTCGACTACGTGCGCAACCAGTTCACGAGCATGGCTGAAAATCACGGAGATGAGCCGATACCGCACTCAAAGGTTGACACGCCCATCATCGATGGTGTACCAAACGACCAGAACGACCGAATCCCCGACGAGATCATAGAGGGTGCGGCGACAAAGTCGTCGACGTCGTCTGCGACCAAGATCGAGCACGAGAAAGAGAAAGATAAACCCACCCCGACAGTTGTTGCCACGCCTCATGCCGAAGTCAAACCGGCCAAGACTGAGTCGGTAGAGCCCGTCAAATCAGCGAACACCGAACCCGCGAAGGAGCAAGTGAAGCCCATCGCGGGCGGTATCCCCCTGCGAATCATGTTCATCGGCGCGTCGATGACACTCGGCACTCCACCACAAGCTGCCTATCGCAAGCAACTCCGCGAATGGCTCGTGGCGCTCGGGAATCCGGTGAACTGCGTCGGCACGGTATGTACAGTCGGCGAAAAGCCGCATGGAATCGAGACAATACAGTCCTACGTAGGCAGTAAGCAGCACTAACCCATCGCCCGCGTGCACAGAATCGCTTCGGCAAGTTCAAAGACAACGACGTACAAGCGTATCCCGCGACCCCCATCCAGGTCCTCCTCGAGAAAGCGCAGGACGCGATCCCCGCGATGCAGCCCAACCTCGTCATCATCAACGCCGGATCGAGCGACTGCTTCCAGGAAAAGCACTATGGCTCGGCGCACGGGTACGATTATACGAGGGACCTCGTGGACTTCATCTTCGACGCGTCGCCGAACGCGACCGTGATCCTGTCGACGCTCATCACGAGCCCGCGCGCGTCCTTCGAGCGCTGCATCAAGAGCATGAACGCGCAGATCCGCCAGGTCGCCCACGACGTCTCGCGCCAGGGCAAGAAGATCCTCCTGTCGGAGCAGCACTGGGACCAAGGCATCCCCGGCCGCGTCACGCCCGAGTTCGTCAGCAAGGACGAGATGCACCCGACGTTCGAGGGCTGGGCGATGATGGGCGAGATCTTCAAGCAGGATATCCTGGACGTAGACGCCAAGGGCTGGATCGTCGCGCCCGTCGAGAACGGCATCATGGACGACGGGGATGCCGAGCGGGATCTCGAGGAGGCGACTGCGACGAAGGCAAACGGCGGAAAGGCGTCGACGGATGATGGGAAGAGCGCGGCGAATCCGGCTCGGCGCTCATGGCGAAGTGGTATGGACTGAACGAATGAGTGTAGATGATGGAATGTGTATATAGTACTGTAATGCCTTTGGAATGTTTCGGATCACCGGCCACTTTGACCGCTTGACAGTGGGGAATCAGGTATTTTTTTCGCTCGTATTTATAATTACATCCCTTGTTGGGCTCCATGACCCAACGTTTTCGATGTTTTAGTTTCGTCCCACTTTACAATATAACGGCTCATCTATTGTTTTACCTCCTCTTCCATACCTGTCCGATGAACAGCGGTGGTCCTGGTTGAGATATTAGAGATTTATCTCGACGTGCAAAGATTAGCTTCCATTGCAACTTGACGCGCATGCCAGTCGAGGACTCAATGATGTTGAATACTAGCTTTGTAGACAAAAATGTCAACTAGACGCGAGCAATATATGCGCGAGCTCCCAACACGGCGTCCGGGCCCTGCACCGTCGCGGCGTGGCCCAACGACGCCGTTGGGGAGTCTATGCAGTCACATGCTGATATGACTACCGGTATCTAGGACTGCGAAACCCCGTGAAGGTAGTTATATGATCAATAGGCATTCTAAGCAATTCTAGTAATGAACATGATCATTCTAACCCATCCCAGCTAATCATCCGCCTTTCCCCAGATCTTAAATGCAAATGCCAAGATAAGTAGGAAAGAATCCGTGAAAAGAGTCAAGATGCATTACGTCGGACCTCGTAGGACTTATCCCTCGTAAGCCATTTCTCATACCAGCACCCCTTGAACCCGATCAATATCAACTTCTATACACGCCCGGCAACTCAGCCGGCATAACGAACAATTCAGCAGGCGAAACACACGCCGAGTCGCCCTGCATCTCAACCAATGTAAGAGGCGAGCAAGCAGACAGGGTACTGTGGGCATCAGGCGCAGGAACAGACTCGTTATGCTGAGTCTGCAGGACGAGCGAATTTTCGAGCTCGGGGCGTGATATCTTCGCAGTCTGGTGTGGAAGTTCAACGGGCGGCTTCCACTCGGGGGACGCGTTGATCTCGTGATTTGGCGCATCCTTGCCCGAGAGAGTCGACGCCCTGACCCGACGCGCCGTGCGCCGCTTCAGATAGCAGTAAGTTGCAATGCCTGCCAGCAGCAGCGCTATGAGCGTCGCGCCGACGGCTATCGCTGCCACGAGACCTACGCTCAGTCCTTCTGCCCCATTATTCGTTGGTGTGCTGATGCTTGTCGGCACGGATGGCGTGGTCTTCGTTGGCCGGAGTACTTTGGATGACGGCTTTGTTTTAGTTTCAGTCCCTGATTCGGATGAGACGGAGAGCAGCAATGATGGGTTTGATTCAAATGATTGGCCTTGTGACTTTGGGGTTAATTGTGATTGTAGAGAGTGTGGCAATGGCGATGACTTTGATTCGGTTGAAGACTGTCCCTGGCTCATCATCTGGCTGGGCACCTGGCCATGAGTTATCGAAGCCTTCACACCGACGCATCAGTTTCATGGTATTTAGGTCTTTGTAAAGGAACTTACATCGTTCGAGAACACATCTTGCGTTTTTGTCGGGTCCCCAACTGCAGACCCGTTCGTTGATCCTATATCGGGTTCTTCACTTGCCCCGTCAGAGCCATGGCTGACAGTCTGAGTTGGCGCTACTCCTTTGACAGAGTCGGTCTCCGGAACTTGATCCTGCGTCACCATCACAGCCGGCTCACTTTGCAAAGACGCCTTCTCTGCACCTGTTTTCGTGATCACCAACGGTACCGTATCCTGTGTGGTCTGTTGCGGCGTGGTGGTTCTCGTAATCGACTTTCCCACAGGACAGTTCGTGGCTGGGCAAGAACATGCCGATATATACCGTTCTTTTCCCGTTCCGCATGCATCTATGGCTCTCGTGGGATAGTTGGTTGCCGAATCAGCGGAGACTGTAGCGCAAAACCGAACTGCCTCCGTCACCACCGAGGGAGATGGGCATGGAAATAGAGCGCGATAACAGCTATGTAAAGCGTCAGTATGGATAAACAGCGCGTTACTGATGCTACCGCTGGCTTCTCGTTGTTCAGGCTTACTTGTCAGCATTACACCATGGTGCTCTCTTGGCGATAGACTTTGGTTTCTCTAGAGAGCAGACAAGGTCGTCCATCAATCCCATTGATCCTGTTGTAGCGGGTGACTCCATCTTGCTCTCACAACGACGCCAACTGAGTGTCAAGTCGAGAAGTGCCTACAGGAACCTCGCTAGTTTAACGGAAGACATTCTACACAATGCGGAGGAGTCGTCTTCGGCCCCCAGCTAGTAGTGCATTAATACGTTGAGTGTGTTCAACGCCTCGTCTTATGCTTCTTCTCCAATGCTGATGTGAATACTTACCCGGAGACGTGTCAACGCGCTTTTAAGGGCTCATAAAGTGCTCTGAACAGCCTGCGTACTGAGTCCAGGATGAACCCAAGAGAGCCCCCAATGAAGACTATATGCGTTCACAGACGAACGTTAAACCCACAGACAAATATCCAACCGGTAAACCCAGCAATCCTACAATAGGGCTGTGTATGCAGTGTACATTCAACTCATCCTCATTCTCACCGCCGAGCAGCAAATGCTGTCAGTATCACGAAACAGGCCAGTGGAAAGGCCAAAGTGCTGTTTTCCGTACTCGGTCTGGCGGTGAGTGTTGGGGGCTTGTCGGTCAATAAAAATGTGGATGAGGAGCAAGACTGCGACCTTAAATTCCTATTCACTTGGCATGATGTGCAACGATCGTCAGCTCAGGGTAGCACATACGGATCCGGATCCTCATGAACCAGGCCCACGACGTCTGAGATGTTATAATCTATACCCTTTTTGCAGATGAGGTGGCTTTATTCACCGTTTAAGCCTCTTGAGCCATGATGTTGAAGGACGCCTACGCATGACGTTGGGGTCATGTGCTGGGGTGGCATTCATGTAGCTCAGCTCAGCCCTAGGCACAAGAACCTATATAATGCACGGGCTGAGGCTCAGTAAAGCACGTAGCATCTCCTGGTCCCTTGCAGCTGTACACATATCATTAATAGGCCTTAGTGATTCTGTAGGATCATCAATCGGGATGGAGTGTAGTATCTTTGATCACCTCCCAAATTGCGCAAGTTACATAAAACCTTGTGCGATACGAAGGTGAGGCGCCTGCCACTGCCCAAGAATGCATAGTATGTGTCGGTGGTTTTATTATCATAGACTGTAACGTTTCTTCGTCCTAAACATAACAGACATATGACCACTCGGAGGGGCAGCGTCTGGGTTCATCCCGAAAGCAAGCCACCATGTTCACATAAGGAGCCTGGAGAACACATCTTATCGAACTTAACAGTATCAAACCTTATACAAGAACATCTTAGAAGACTATAGACAAAACTTAATGACCCTCAAACCTATCCAGCCCTTCCCCATATGACCTTAAAAGGCTCTTATCTTCCGCGCCTTCCTACACCTTGCGTACTCACTCCTCCCTTTATGCCCATCTATATATCCACCATCACCCATCCCAGCCCTCTCTCACCCCTTAAGCCCAACACTAAGATATAAATCCGCCGCATCCGGCTGAAACGGTTCCATCGCCCATCCAAGCACAACAAGGGCGCAATGCATAGGATACGCAAGGACAGCCCAGACATACAGCATCAGCAGGGAAGCAACATCTACCTCAGGGAGGAGAAAGGGGAATAAAAGGAGAGAGACGAGTAAAGTGGCAAGCATGATGATTTGAAAAAAAAGGGTATGATAGCGTTATCTATACCTTTGAAAATAAATCTTAAAAATAAGAAGTAAAGTATCAATGAGAAAAATCCGGATCCAAACTGCGGAATAGGAAAGATAATAATTCCCTAGATAATTCCCATCCTATTTACATGGAAGGGGTGGATTATACCGGGAGAAGAGCATACATAACTCACTACTACCTATATAAAAGCGCTCTCGATGAAAGGAGGTGGGTGACCAAGGGAAATTGTACATGATCAATAAAGAAACATATAAAGCCATTGTTAAAGTATTGTCATGGCATGCGCCTCTTTATCCTTCCCCCTATTCGAAAAGCGAACCTACTACCCTCAGAAAGAAATAGGCGCGATGCCCAATCCTGTATTGTTTACATCGAAACACCACATCACAGAAACCTGGTATCACACGAACCTAAACTTTCGGAATATTTCTCTCATTACTACACTATCCCCTCACATCTTTCACAAAAATAATACAATATCCATCTATTCAAATATTTATATTACGAAAGCATTAACCATGCCCTCGACCAACTTAAATCAATATACATGAAAAAAAAAAACATTATATATATGACAAAAGGCATTGTGTGCTAATGCAAAAAAGAAAAGAAAAGCTAATTCGATCTATCGGGTATCAATGGTAGTAGTCGTTATCGTCAACAGTCCCCCAAATGGGGTATTTAAAGTTTTTATCAAGGTACAATGATACGTTTCTTTGGCAGTCTCAGCATCAGCTTGATTAAGTAAGACTGAACAAAGCCTTTATTACTTCCAATGGGGCAGCAGCACTCTTACGGCTTGAGCGTCACATCGGGGTCATCGCTATGCGCGCTCGCCGAGTCGTCGATGTCCTCTCCTCTGGCTGCTCGCCTCGCATTCTCTCGTTCGGCGTAAATCTCATTACGCCGATCACTCGCGTGCTGGAGACTGTCGACGTAGGTTCTGAACTTGATGATTTCTCGAAGAAGGTAATTGCTCTTCCGTTCCCAGTTCGCCATGGCTTTGGCTGCGTTGTGACCACGAGGCGTAAATGCTAGAAGCATTGGCGACCTCAGCTGGTTATGTTGCTGTAGCTCAACCTCGACGGCCTTTACGTAGGCTACCAAAGTCTCGAGCTGCTCAGACTCGGAGCATTGGCTAGGCCGCAAAGATTGCGATGGCGGTGCCCACTCAGCGATATGGATCCGATCACCTGGTAGCTTAGTGCGGACGTTTCCACCTACGTCAAAGGACGAACGCAAGCTGCTTTGTCGACTTCCTTGACGGCTATGTGTACTTGTCCGGCCAGCCGCAGCGCTGCCGGGCCGTTGTGGTACAGCCGGTTCATCCATTGGCATGATCAAGGCATTGTTGATTACAGCATCACTCCAACCATACTCTATATTGCTGATGCCTCCAATCAGCGGGTGCGTGCTCAGTCGTGCACTCCAGTAGTTGACTGTAAGAACAAATTCCTTGCTAATTTCGGGCGTACCGACTTGGAAAAGGTGTACAGCACCAGACGGGAGACTTAAGGCCCATACGTTGGGGCGCGCCCTGGAATAACCAGGAGGAGGGAGCGCAGAAGCAAGCGTCTGCTTTAGGGAGAAGGAACCCAGGCTCGTAGCATTCTCTTGCCAATTACCACCACCTACTACGGCTCCAGCAGCAGGCTTTCGGCCAGTGCGGGCCTTTTGACGCATCGATTTGGTGGAGAATGAGAAGAGACTCAATGTTCCCTTCTGAACTACAGCAAACACCTCGACCCAATTGCGATCCTTAGCCTTCTTGTCAAAGCCATCGAGATGATGCTTGTGGGTGACGATGCCCTCTTTGACCCATGGGGGTCCGAGAAGCTCGAGTGATTCGTCTTCAAGGAGCTGAGTGCCCTGGAAATCATCGCTCATAATGGACTGAGCGCTATTACCAACAGGATAATCATCTCGAATGATGGCTTGGCTTAGAGCATTGGCAAATCCAATAGACTGCTGGTAATCGCCATTAGGATATCCTGAGCCGATGGAGTCTATAGACATCGATGTCTGTGTTCGACCAAGGGAGTGTCGACTCCAAGTAGCAGACGAAGTAGCGGGGCTCCAGAATGAACTCTCATCCTCGAAACTCGTCCGGCTTGAAGAGAACCCATTACCAAGCCTTGCGCGAGATCTACTCTTAGAACTCCATCGACCAGCTTGAATACGAGCGGTGTCATTAATCCGTCCACGGAGAGAGGCCTGGCTTTCCGAGGGCGCCTTGCTTAACACACTGGGACTCCGTTTAAGTCTGCTAATCACGGCTAGCCCACCCGTTGGCTGTGGTTGTTGGTAGCTTGAGTCAGCCCCAAACAGAGGCAACTTCTCGTCGCGAATAGACATGTAGATGTCTTTGAGCACAATCTCAACTTGGCCTTCCCAGGCCCTAATATTGCCATCAAAGGGAGCCTTCACCAAAGGACCACACGTATCCGAACTACCTGTTCCTGAGTCTGTGTGAATGCCAAGTGACGATTCGGAGCGGGGAAGTGGTTTAAATGACGCCCTCCAGCTTGGCTTTTCCTGATCACCATCAGCAGTTGTAGATGTGTCCAAATCAGCAGAGCCAAGCAAAGAGTTCTTCGGCGGCAGAATGCTAGCCCGGGGATTCAATGCTTCGGGAGCCGAGCCAACTACTGTTCGAGTAACAGTTGACATGGTATTCTTGACAAATTGGCTTCGAGTCATCTTTTGATCAATGTCTGCTATATGCAGATCGGTGTTCAGAAGCATGATCGAATAGCAAAGAGTATGGACAACATCTAGTACACTTGAGTTAGGAGAGCTTCTTTCATATGGTCATAGTGCTTGCTTACCTCTTGTTTTGAATCCATGATTCGGGTTGCATTGACACCAACGCTTTGAAAATGCAATCAAGATACGATCCACCTGCTGCGTCTCCGCCTTGAATACGAGGCGACAACAGACCTGCCTGAGGGCAGCCAGTATACTCTCATTCTCGAAATCATACAGATCCATGTATGCCCGTAGGGTTCGCTGTCGCACCGGACCCTCTTCTCCCATCCAAGCAGCTGCTTTTTCTTTCTGTATGAAGTCCTCATCACCATCATAGATACCCTGGGCTTTTTGACGCTCGTCTTCGGTCGGCTCTCCCAGCGCCACCTCAGGCTCATCCAGAGGACCACTAGGCACTTGAGGACTTGCTTGTGAGCTATCGATAGTGACACTTGGCACGTTGCTCGCCGATCTACTCAACATAGGGCGAGATGAAGAGTTACTCATGCTTGTAATGGGAGCCTCACGGCTACCTGGACTCTGGTCCTGTTGACTCGTGTGCTTTTGAAGAGGGAGATTTGCTGAAGGTTCGGGCTTTAATGAGTCAAGTCCTGCGGCGTCTTGCTGTTCTGGAGACAATGTCTTCAACTTGAGGGTCGCGCCTGTCGAGTCATGCTTTCCTGTCTGTGCTCGCTGTCTTTGCTTGCGCGCAGATTGTTTCCCTCTTTCGCCCTCATCGCTGCTATCGTGTAAGAAGGTTGTTGACTCCGGACTCTTTGGTAGCTTAGCGGGCACATCTGGCGGATTACGCAGAGGGCTCTCCAATTGACTCCGCCATCGTGAATCATGATTCTTCAACGCCGACGTTGATTTTACAGTTCGAATGGTGGCGTTTGGAGTGGGCTCATATTCAGGGGAGAAGCCTCTAACGTTTCGATTATCTTCTCCCCGAGCCTCTGTTTCAAAGGTGTGCATTATACTATCTCGTTGTGATGTCAACAAATCTCGAGGCGTGGCAGGGTTGCTGCCTCTCAGGTACGGACTCATCACTTGTCGCAGGCTACTAACAGGACTTGGTTCGGCCTTGGGAATTGAGGCGTCCATCGTTTTACTTATGTCAATTTGATGAGGGACAGGGAGCGGTGGCACCGGTGGCTCGGCGATTGACTTTTTCCTTCTCCTGAAGAATGAGGACTTCTTTTGAATCACATGTGGCATCTGGCGAGATGACTCCGAGTCACGCGTCGGCGGAGCGGATAAAGGTTTCATCTGAGATGCGACATGATCCATCCTACTTGTACCACTCTGAGACGATTCAGGAGCCACTGAAGCAGCCGGCATATTAAATGATTCGGCTGCAGGACTCGGGCTCGATCGAGACCCGAATAATCTGCTGAAAAAGCCCTGCTTCTCCTTAATTGGCGGAGCAGGACTTGGTGCGGCTTGTGGAGGATCTTTAGATTTTCCATAGCCAACAAGAGGTGCAGGAGCTGAGTCGACATCAGGTGGAGGCAAGGGAGGTTGTGCTGCGTCACGCGAAGTGGCAAACTTCGATTGTGTGGTCTTATTTGCACCGCTCCGAGATTTGGCATCCCTTTTCCGGTCGGGGGTCTTAGGTTCGTACTCCGACGGAGGGGCTGTTGGGCTTGGGGCCGAGAAAGACGGCAACAGCGGGCGACGAGGGCCGCCGGGGACGGTGGGATTAGGGGCTGCTTCGTAATCGTCAACCAGGAAACTATTTGAGAACTCGGTCTTTTCGGGACCCGGCGAGCTAAGAGACGGCCGTTCACCGTAATCGAAGCTGGATGACCTACCACCAACCTCATGACCCCACCGTTGCGAAGGCAAAGCCTGGGTATACCCACCACCACTTACTACGTCAAAGCTATTAAGGCTGCTACTTTTGCTCGCCTTGCCGCCTCTGGTGTGGAGCGTGCCTGGATGACTCCGTTCACGCATGCTGTTGATCCTTGGCAAGCCAGATTGAAAACCTGAGCTACTATCACTACGGCGCCCACGTGAAACTTGACTAGATATTCTGCTAGCAGCGTCATCAAACCCTTCAAAGTCTGAGCTGTAGCTGTAGCCATGCGCGTGGGGATTTCCAGCTGTGTAAGTGTTTGGTGGACGGGAGGTGCTGGCCATGGATCTCGTGAAGGTATCGCCTCTTGGTACACCGTACGGATCGCCGTCGTCTTCAGACGCGGAAGCAATTGATGGGTTGATCTGACTTAGAGAGAATTGGTCGAGAGAATTTAGCATATTTCCGAGAAGAGAATCCCGTGTAAATTTCTGGGAGGGTAAAGACAGATCATGGGAGTCCCTGGGCGGACGAAAGCGACGATAGTCGGGTTCGACTCTTTCACCATCAACTGGAGAATCATGGTCGAGGAAAGATTCCTCCGAGTTGCGCTTGGCATAGGTAGCAGAAGCAGACGATGGTAGCTTGAGACCACGGTTGGAGACCGGCGGCTTGCCCTTGGGAGGAACAAAGGACTTTCTTGAGGGGAGAGACTCGGGAGCTACATCGCGCGATCTGCTGGCGGCAGCAGCGGTGTTCAGATTCAGTTCGGGGCGTTGTTTCTGGGGCCTTCGGGCCTGCTCTGGGGAACGATGCATGATAGTAGCTGAGGCGGGTATGCGGTTGGGCGGATTGGTGGAAGGGCGGCTCGGCGTTGCACGGTCAGCGTGGGACGGCAGGGCACAGGAGGGTCAAGAGTGCCATGTGAGAGGTAGGGCGTAGGTAATAATAAGCAGGGTTCGGCAATGCGACTAACGAGTCCCCGGGAGGGAAAAAAAAAAAAAAGGATTCGGCTATGCTCTCGATATCGAAGTGTCGGATGAGTGGCTGCGTTCGTCTACTCCTATGTAGCTGGCTGGCCGGCTTCCTCCCAGACTTATCAAGGCGATTGAAACACCCAATTCTCGTGGTGTGAAGGGTCGAATTTCCCCAGACAGCGTAGGGAACTAGGTTGTGTAAGTAGGTGTACACTACGTGTAAGCCGCCGTGGTTGTGGTGGCTCCTGATATGCACACGATTCTCTCGCTACCAGGGGAGCGTGGAGCAGGCGTAAGCTGCAACCTGGGCAAGGATCATAAATGTTGGGAATGGGAAGACTGCGGATTCGAAGGCGGGCCAGGATTGGACGCAGAGCACATGCAGGCGGGTGATGGTGTGATGTAGGGAGCCAAAGTCCAAGAGATGGCGGCGGGTACAGTAACTAGAAGAGATGCGATGCGATGTGAAGGAAAGTAAAGTGAAGTGAACCGAAGTAAACGACGGGTATTATGAATTACAATATTGAAGATTATGTGAGTGGGCGTTTGCGTGATGGCGTAAGTTGGAGAGCAAGCCAGGCGAGCCGTTGAAGACGAATTCGACGAAGAAAGAAAGAAAGATAGATAGATAGATAGATACTATGTAGATACCTAGATAGGTATCTCGGACCGCCTGTTCCCTGTGACCGTAAGTAAGGAAAATGCCGAACAATGGGAGAGGGAAAATAAAAAAAATAAAAAGGGTTCCAATCCGACGACAAACAGCAAGTCCAGGCTCGGGTCAATAGTGTACTACTGTAAGTAAGTCACGATACTGCAGGTACCATAGGTAGGGTAGGTATGTATCCACCAGTGCCTGTACTGTAGCATACAGTGCGAATCAGTCAAGGCCCTGAGTGGACAACTACAGGACTCTCTCACTAGCGAGACTACACTACAGTACCTAGTACAGTTCCTAGTACAGGAGATGCCCCTGGGCCCAAGCTCCCATATCTGGTCCCATGAATCTGCCTCGATCTGTTGTTTCAATTGCGAATTGCTCATGTACCCGGATACCTCCGCCATGCGATGAACTAGACTAGTCAGCACTAAATATGGTGCGGCGTGGCGTTGTCTCCATCTCTAATAGGCGCTACGGGTACTGAAGGCATCAAGTATATGATACCTGATCCATTCACCTCCTACTCTAGGCTTAGTTGGTGAGGGTCGGAACCACCAGCGAATATGAGATTTCTTGGCTTCAACGACTATGTAAGTAAGTAAGTATCTAATTCAGATTGAAGGTAGGAATTCTAAAGAAAGCACCCGTATCCAAATAACCAATTAAGGCCATAAATCCCTACACTCACTATAAAGCGCCATTGCGTATCATACAGTACAAACCATTGCAGTGTCGGTAGCATGGCTTGAGGCACACACACACACATCCGCCATTTAGATTATTTCCCCATGAGGAACTCAGACGCGTCGAGCGCGTTACTGGGAAGGGGAGAAAGCCGTCCGAGATGGGAGGTATAGTAGATGGGGATAGTCGGGGATGTCTCATTCGCCAAACCCCACATGTTCAGACTTGGTCAATTAGCGCATAGATACTATCTTCTGCTATTACAATGGCGCTTACACGTAGATACGTGGATATTTTCGTAAAATATATATATATCTACTAACTATGATATAGAGAGCCAACTTGAATATATCAAACGCCCCTGCATTTCTGCTCGGCAAGTATTATCACTATCACAGCTTCTATGGACAATGATTTAGTAGGTGCCTTATGTAAGTAAGGAGGTTGCGTGTGCATGCCTTCAACCTGGAATCACCGGATGAGATAGATACCTACTCTACTAGCTACCTATATAAAGTTTGTTATAGTATTGGAACTCTTCCTTTTCCGACTTTAGGGCTTGAGTCCATCTTGCCCCGTTCACCGGAACAAGGACCTATCTTCAGGCCAATACTCCATACATATAATATAATTGGCATACGAAGTAAATGACTCAAGCCCGTCACAGAATATCCGGAGTGCATTTGCCGCCGCACATGGACAGACAGACAGCTTTGATGCCGCCGATCCTGCCAGCCAGAAACACTCGGCGTACAACGCATCGACGCACAAGTATAAAACGGGCTGAAGAGTATGCGCAAATCTCACCACTTGGTGTCTTCACCGCTTTTCGCTGTCATGGCCCATTGGTTCATCTAGCAAGGCATTGTTGTTTGTTGTTTCCTGCCCGGCAGGAAGGCTGGTTGTTTGGTGGCATACCTACACTGCCTATCTACGTGTGCATAGGGATACGATCCATGCCATAGCATTCCTGGTCTCTCTCTCTCTCTCTCTCTGTCTGTCTGCTTTGGATGCCTCATTCATGCCGAGTAGCCTGTCTACAAGAGCAGCATTGTACAAATATGAGCAATCACAGACCATCGCCTTCTCACACTACCTACCTACTCGCTACTGACAACTGTACATACTATGTAGTACATAGAAGAATCCCGCATCTTGATAAATGTGGGCAACCTGGTGTGGATAATGTGATGCAATATTCGGCACGATACCTATGACTAGTTAGCGTACACGTGTAATTCCTGGGAAGAGTACCCCTGGAAGCTTGGCCCGGTCCATCTGCTCGGACTCCTATTCAAAGCCCCCTGTTGTATCCTCCAGGCCAACATTCGTGCGAGTTCTGGAGCTGGAGATATACAGTGACACACTGTACACTATGTGAAGACAGGAGAGTGGACAGGTCTTTATCTTTCCATGTTCAACCACATCGTTTCATGAATTCCCTCTCCCACAGTAGCGCCTTGAGCCCGCATACTGATGATGCATCTGGAAGGGGTCAAGTGTTCATCCCTGCGACGACACACGGCAGCCCGGGCACCACAGTCAAAGAAGGGAATGCCCATCGCTCCAATCGAACCCTCCCTCGAGAAATTGATACAGAATGATGGGCATCTGATCACTTACATACATACATAAGTATAGGTATGCTGCACCACCACACACCACACAACCAGGAAACCTGATGACACCTTGTTGTTGTGCGCCGACGCCTCCCCCGCCTGTGGCAAGACGGCTTCCCCGTACCTACATGATGTGCCATCACATCAAACAGCTTGCAGCGCCAGTCAAACAACAAAGTAGTATATCCATTGGACAGATAAACACCAAGTTTTCGTTTTGTTTGGTCCGTGCTCGTCTGGGATTGTTTGTGATCATGTACGTGTATGGCAGTGTACATACAGTAGGAAGGAATATGTTTCTTCCAGCCAACCACTAGAAAAAGAGTAGGTAGGCCGTGATATTCATGGCAACGACCTACGAACTGCCGAAGCCACAAAGCTCAAGCCATGTCTTAGCACAACACAGTCCACCTCTCTCTTGCCTTCCTCTCCACCAATGAATAGCAAGGCACCCTTCTTCTTCACGGGCAAACGTACCAACCGAGACTTCAATTCCTGTTATTCTTGATTCATGCAAAGTCCAGCATGGAGCAGACGGGAAAAGGCAGGTAGGTAGCACAGAGCACCGAGATCGCAAATCTCCTGTATTCAGCATTTCCATTTCCCGACGCTTTTCATGAGTGGCGTACAACTGCCGATGTCGAACCGTCCGTGTCTTGGATTCTCGCCAATCAGCTACGACACATTTCACTGCCTTCAAGCTCCTGTGACTTTTGAACTCAACCTACTACTTAAGTAATGTATGTATGTAGGTACCCGTATGTTTCAGTGCGACGACAAGGGAGGGTAGATCCGTTCATGTTTCATCAGCTAGTGACACCGCAATAAGTCATCATCTATCCTATCATTGGCTGGTCCGATCGGCTTGTAGAGTTGCCGTCTATCGATATATCGACTCGGTAATTGCGCGTGTCCAGCCACAGCCCCGAAGGCACAATGTCTCAGCTCTTACGAAGAACGTCGGCGATGTGATGAGCCCGATTGAGAATATCTCGCATGGAAGTCTTAGTCAAGCTCATTATCACGGCTTAGATCATGTATGTGATATCAGTGACTGCACTTTGTAATAAGGAGAAAAGAAAGGTTTCGTGACTGCCTTCGCGTGAAATGAGCATCGCAACATCATCACACTAGCTACAGCTTCCAAGCTTCAACAAATGTGACCAACGCACGGCGTGTGATTATCAGATACTGCAAGTAGAAATCAAATAGTGAGCGTTTTGGATATTCAGTGATGATGCTACCGTACTCGGTCTATATGAGATATGCTGCCTACAAACCCGCAACATGATGTGACAGCAGATCCTAACGACCGCAAGTACTATGTGATGAGACCCTACGTAGTCTGCACGTTTATTATAGGAAGACATATATCTTGATTATCAAGTTCCGTCTTCCCGTTGCGGGATCGCGAATCATATGCTACGGCAACAGATGCCCCTTATTGAGCCACGTAGGTAGGTGGATTATCAACACATTAATCATCCATACTTCAGCAAAACCCTACACTTCTATCATCAAAAGACACTCACTACGCATCCACAACTAACGGGCATATTATACCCATGTTCACGAGCTAGTACTTCCCGTGCCCCCGTTTGTTCCATTCTGCCCGGGCCCCTGCACCGCGAACTGACGAAACGTATTCATGTCGACCATGCCCAGCGCCGTGTCCTCAGTAGCATCCAGATCGACGCGCGGGACCCCCAGATTGGTGACCTTGCCGCTGCGATAGGCCTGGTATGCTTCGAGCCAGCGGGCCGTGCAGAGACACCAACGACAACCTCCCTAGGATATAATTAGTAGTCCCCTAACACAAAATAGGAGGTCTCGCAGCAGTGATTTGGAGTAGGAGTTAGACTTCATGAGAAGACACGCCCCAGGCGTAGAGTATCTTGGTAGGATTGACTGACTGACCTTGAGACCAATGGTGCGCAAGTCGTTGCCGCGCGACGCCGAGAAGTCGAGGAACTCGTCCGTCACGATCCCTGCGACGGCGTGGTTGCCCGGGTCCGTGTCCCCGCCCGTGCGGCAGTATCCGTCCCGGAAATAGCCCGTCACAGGCTGCTGCGAGAACATTTTGAGAGGCTGCTTGAATACTGGCGAGGGGGCGGGAGGTTTTTTGTTAGCGTGTATTTTGATATTCTAGATTGTGCTACCTGCATGACTTACCGTTCAGACTTCCGGATGCCATTGTGAGATTTTATGAATATGAACAAGTTATTGTATCCCTGATGCTTCACGATGCGGCGCGGGTTACAGATATTGTTTTCATGGAATGGATGATGTCTCTTGCGTATATAGGTACTCACTCGTTATACTTCGGGTTACATCACAAAGGTTAATTTGGTGTTGTCTAAAACGCATGACGTCACATGACTGCTGGATTACACATCTCGAGCTCATCCATCGATGAAAGACGCTCAGCATTGCTTACGATTATTCATCTACATTGTATGCTGTCGTTTCATTCTATCACCTCGCCTTGTTAATGTACCTGTTTGGTCTTTCGAACCCGGTGTTATGTATCGCCCTGAGGTATTCCGCAGCCCCGTCTCACTCATTGCGACGAGACATTTGGACTAAGGTGCCTCGCATCTCTTACTGCAGGGCCTAGGTAGATGTCGAGCTCTATTATTCACTTGCGAATCGGTATTCTCATACGAAGTAACATCAGTTTCAATCAGCAGGCATCGATATTGCATTGTTGAATTATCAATTGCTTTTCACTCAAATACAGAACGACTCGTCTCCCCTCCATTCCCCCCTTACTGCTCAACAATCACAAATTTAGGACTTACGATTGAGTGCAACTCAAACGCTGGCTCTTCACACTAAAGCAATATGCTCACCTCTGAGGTGAATCTCACGTGAACGAGGACACAACCCATAAACTCAAATTGAGCGAGCTCACCTTACTAGCTAGATGTGGCAGCCAGTGTATCAAGGGCGCATTGAAGATTTCATTACGAGATCCCATGTCAATGCTGGGTATACAGCTCTCGCTCCGATACCTCCTGATATGTAACACTAGGCTCCGGTCTGCGAGAGCCGAGATCTCGCGGTCCATCAACCAACGATGACGGCTACGCGATCAATCGTATTCCGTGTAGACCCATCTGCGCTAATGACGTCCATGATGAAATGTTAATTTGCGGCAGTCAGAGTCAGAAAGTGACGGTTTGAAGTTCAGATCAATCCTAGATGAGTTATTCACTTAGGGCGCTATGTAGCCCATTAAGTACCAGACACTCCTAAGACACACGGTGTTTTAGCAGTGGCATTCCGAACATTTCTCTCTACCGGTTCAACTGGTTTAGACAAGTGGCGTATGGTTCCAATGTTTGTCTTCCGCAGGATAGTGAGCCGTCATCCTCATGTTTCAGCTCGACTGCTAATAGGTACCTATGGTTGTCAAAAGGGATCGAAAATGTACTGGGACTGCGCGTGTTCGTCTCATAAAAGTCTACATGCTGCAGCTTTGCGCAGGTCCTCGTAAGTTCTGGATATAGATGGGGTGCACGTTTCCGTAAGAATCGCAGATAATGCCCGAATGCGTATTGAGAGATTGAAATTAAGAGTACGGGTGCCGACACGTGCATATGAATATAATTTGAAAGTTACAGTGTGTATAGGTTCAAGACAAAGGGTAAAATCTTGCCGCCGGCTTGACTAGTGATTGTGAATCTATCTTTTTTGCTTTTCCTTTGAAACTTGGATTCAAAGCAGTCAGATAGACTATCTGCTCTTTTGACTCGACTAGGGTAGCAGCGTGTTCGTACTGAAAATTAATAAGTTAGTTATTAGATAATATAAAAGTGCAGTAGCTTGAATAGGGTACGCCTCGTATTGCCATAATGCCATGTGCTGTGGTGCGCATCTACAGTAGGTAGTTCATCTCGCATGGGCAGAGCATGGGCTGACAGTAATATATCATGAGTTATTCGCCTACGCGAACATGTCTGAGCTCAGCTCAGGTACCTTACCGCTTTAAGCCACTGCGCCTAGTCACCATTTACAATGGAAAGCTATCATGCTGTAGCGTAGCATCGTGAAATCTCGCTACACAGGATACATATATTAGCTGGCATACAAGATTTAATGCCGGTTGATTGTTACCGGCTCACCAATTATATGTATCTAGAAGTCCATTACATCTAGTTTAGTTCGAAATCCACAACAGAGTCTTAGTCCATTGTCAATAAACTAGAGAAGACCACCATTTTGGGTGTTCTATGGATCAGGCGGCATTGACTTAATTGGGTGACAACCAAATTTCGTACAATGTTGGAATAATTATGTTCTCGGAGCCCCCTATTGCTCGGACTGCGAAGTTGACCATAAATTTCCCAGATCAACTCAAGAAGTGGCGAGACGTCTTTCTTTAACATCAAATACTCTTTCATTCGGGCGTCAGTCAGTTGGTAATTTACCTGCACAAAGGTCCTCGCCGTATCTACGACTACATATAAAAAGTCATTTAGATTACGAAGTCCTCGGTAATCTACGCGTAGAGTCGCTCGTTTGCTCGCCTCGTCATTCGTTTATTTGACATTCATCAACATGCGCGTTCTTTACCTTGGTGGTGCATTTGCCCTTGTGGGTATGGCAAAAGCTGGAGTGAGACGATGGACATTCCCAGACTGCGAAGAAGACAACTGTTATCGCGCATTCATCAACCAGCAGTACACGGATCTCGCCGGGTCATTCTGCCTGGAATTTCTTGCTTCTACGACTACCGACCCTTCTGTTATCCCAACACCATTTAAAGTAAGTATCGACATTCTCTCAACTTACGCAATACCTTAAACGGTTGGGTCTTGAAGAAATACACTTGACGTACTGACCGAACCAACAGAACTGCGATGATGATGTTAACGCCGCCAGCTCAGCATGCTCATGCATCACTTATACACTTACACACACGTTGACGTCAAGTACTCCTGAGGCTACGCCTACATCATCTACCCCTGTGGTTACCACTCCCACACCCACTGAGGTCCCATCGTCAACCGAGACGCCATCAGAGACGCCATCGACAACACCTAGCCCCGAGGTCAGCTCCCCGGAACTTCCGTCTACCTCTCCTCCCGAGTCTACCCCGAGCATTAGCACTCCGAGCACCCCTCCGGCAAGCAGCTACCCAACAGTCAGTTACACACCAAGCAGCTATCCAGCGAGCAGCGCCGTGACAAGTGGCTATCCGGGCCCTAGTTATCCTGGAGTCAGTTCCAGCGCCGAAGTGTACCCAACAGGATCAGTTACCACCCCGGCTTCCTCAAGCTGTCCCGAAAGCAGCAGCATCTATGGGAGCTTGACCACATCAACCATCTACGCGACGACTGTGTACACTGTGACAACTTGCGCATCAAGCGTCGCGAACTGCCCGGCAACTTCAGCACCCTATGTCACTACGGAAACATACCCCGTAACCGTGACCGTGGTCCCCGTTAACCCTCCAGCATCATATCCTGTTTGGACTGGTCCTGGAGTGATCAATGCCACTAGCGTGCTGCCTACGTCGAAGGGTGTTGTAGGACCGACATCGACGTTCCCTGTCGGCGGCGGGTACAGCGCTATCCCAACGGCCGCTGGAGCTCGCGTTGGGCTGAACGAGGTTGTCATGGCGGCTGGCGTGCTCGCTATTGCTCTCATTTGAGCAGAATAGGTGTTTTCACAGACTTAATTGCCGTATGATTCGAGTGAAGGGGGGGTTTAATCACGAGTAATATTCGGGGACGAGTTTGATTGAAGACGATTTTTGAGATATGATTAATCAGCAATAAGCCTTAACGTACTAATATGATACTGTGCCACATCACTTTCAACTGCAGCTGTTTGTCTCTCCCTTTCTGTCTCGTTGTCTTAGACCTTGTGAATTCGACTACCGAATTGCCTGGCTTGGCGCATTAGTACTGGCAAGGGCTTGGCAGAAAAATCAAGCAATCCCCAAGCCGACATGCCGAGACTAGGCATTCTACTATTTCCACCTAGATCGCCTTGTCTGTCAACTGTGAAGTGGATTTTCGAAGACGTCACGCTCTGCATTTACTTACCAGTAATTTGGGTAGAGGTGATATGTGAGATACTAGGTATTGCAGAGCGCATACGACAAGTCTACCTAGGTCTAGCATTATGCACACTCCACAGCTTCTAGATAACCATTGTTACACGTACTTAGGGACATGATCGTCGCTGCGACAGGAAATTGCGGGCTTTACGGGCCCGTGTTAATGATCATTTTTCTACCTAAACGCTATCGTGTAGGTATTACACTACCTCTACCAGAAAGACACCGACAGCCGCTCCCTTACAAGTGGCTAAAACGCAAGACTCACCGTCTCTTTTGATATCCTATTACAAATAATATGCCTATCATGATCACTCGTTAAACAAACAGAGATTGTTATTTTCCGTCTTACACTAGGATGAGGAGCTGCCAAAGCGGCCCTAGGCGGAACGCCAGGACCCCAGATCTTGGCTCGCCACTCCGAGACTCCAATTTTTTCGGGTGGCTCGCAGTGAGATTCCAACCTCCATTGACCAATACGAACCCCTAAAGCTGTGAGACATGGGACGCAATCGTAGAGACCTGAGTGTCGGTTGCTGTGCACCTAACCCGATGCAGAAGGTCAGGTTCAGCCTACAAGCAACCCCAGCATATCCCAGCGGAATACGGAAGGTCAGGGTGTTAATCAGTGGGAATGGGCTGGGTGTCGTGAGCTGCGCGATCGCGTGCTCTCCTCATAGCTACCTACCTGAAGGAGAGATAAGCTACTATTGTAGACAGATAGCATACTGTGAGCAATCTTAGTCCTGGCGGGGACCGATATTTGCGAGATATGTATAAGAAGCCCACCCGGCCACTCGGTCGGCAGACCTCGAAGGGCTTCACCGTGTTTTCTGCGTAGGTGTTGGGAACTCTTGCCAACCCCCCGGTCACACCCCTTGACAAGATGAAGTCTTTCGCGTCGTTCAGCCAGCTTCTGCTGGCTGCTGGCGTTTCTGCCAGTTTCGAGAGAGCTCGCTATGGTGGCATGGAAGTTGGACCGATTGACGAGCAGATGCTCGCCAAAGTCGCAGCTGTCAGTACTAGCAATGCGCCTGTTGCTGGCTGGGGTTCTTTCGATCAGCTGCTCGACCACTCCAACCCTTCGCTCGGCACCTTCAAGCAGAGATACTGGTGGAACACACAATACTGGAAAGGACCTTCGTCACCCATCATATTTGTCAACCCTGGCGAGCAGGCCGGTGACAGATTCAATGTTTCGTACCCTACATCAGCTCGTTTAACCGGCAAGTTCGCGGAAGAGATGGGCGGTGCTGTTGTAATTATGGAACACCGTTATTGGGGTGATTCCTCACCCTATGAGGAGTTGACGGAGGAGCACCTCAAGTACCTGACCCTTGAGAACTCGATCAAGGACAACACCTACTTTGCCAACAACTGGGTGGCGCCTTTCGATGATACCAAAAAGAGTAGCGCCAAGGATGCCCCTTGGATCTTTACCGGCGGGTCTTACCCCGGAGCTCTTGCTGGTTGGATCGCCAATAAAGATCCAGGCACGTTCTGGGCTTACTACGGCACCAGCGGTGTGGTGCAAACCATTGGACATTACTGGCAGTACTTCACGCCCGTTCAGGAGGCGACGCCAAAGAACTGCTCTGCTGATGTGAACCGCGTCATTGAATATATTGATACCGTGCTATCATATGGCAGTCCCAAGGAGAAAACTAAGCTCAAGGCGAAGTTCGGGCTTGTGGGATTACAGGATGCCGACTTCGGCTCGTAAGTCTGGTCTTGGATGGTACAACAGTGATGCGACTAACGTGGTTTCAGTGCCCTCGAGAACGGCCCTTGGACATGGCAATCAGGACAGTTCTACACCGAGAGTGTCTTGGGCTACACGCCATTCTACCAATTCTGCGACTACGTCGAGGTCAGTATTTGAGATTAGACTCTACCTCCTGGTTTATACAGGACCTACTTATACTGACCCTGACATAGAACGTATGGCCGAACTCAACACACAAGGTGCCCGGTGCAAAGGGCGTTGGTCTAGTCAAGGCCCTCAATGGTTATGCCAAATGGTTTACTGAAATAACCCTTCCTGGCTACTGCGAGGGCTACGGCTATTTCGAAGGCGAGAACAACGTCGAGTGTCTCCAAGGACTAAATGCCTCCAACCCCATCTACAAGGACCTCACTCCCCGCAATGCGGGCAACCGACAGTGGAACTGGATGCTTTGCAACGAGGCCTTCGAGTACTGGCAAGACGGTGCCCCCAAAGGCATGCCTACTCTCGTCTCTCGCCACGTGAACAAGGCTTACTGGCGCGCCCAGTGCCCTCTCTGGTTCCCCGAAGCTACATTGTAAGTGGTTCCAGGAAACATTCATTTCCAACTCCATGAAGTTTAGATGATCAGTGACTAGATTACTAACTCGGGATTCACAGTGGCCTTGCCAAGGGCAAATCCGCCGAATCCGTCAACAAGTACACCGGTGGCTGGCTCGCGACCAACACCACCCGCCTGATGATGACCAACAGCGAATGGGACCCATGGCGCGACTCGACGTACAGCTCCATCTACCGCCCCGGCGGTCCCCTGCAGAGCACCGAGCAGCTCCCTGTTCGCTACCTCAAGCGAGGCACGCACTGCTCTGACCTGTACGGACAGAACTGGGCCGTCAACGCGGACGCCAAGGCCATCGCCGACGACGAGACCGCCCAGATGAAGAAATGGGTCGCTGAGTTCTACACTCAGAAGTAAATAGACTGGGAATCTAGACGTATCTAATTCTAGTAACTAAGTAAATTATTTAGCGGTACGATAAGAGAAACCTCTGCCAACTTAAAATAAAAAAAAGCTATCTTTGTTTGTCCATGTGCTTCGTGTGATGTAACGAGGATTATTTATATCCTTATCTGCCGAGCTTGTACGTAGCAGCACTACGAGGAAGTGTGTGTCAACGCAGCAATTAGCCAAAATAAGTCCTCTTGTCTGGGCATGTCTATGCATTGTTCATGTAAGATAGGCACTTTTTCCCCATGTCTAGAAAGCAGCCAAGTTCGATACATTGCATTATTATTACCATCATCATAAGTACATTGCTAAACATAGATCCTTCGAACCACAAGGGTATCCATTACCACCATGTGTTCTTGCTCACTTTGCAAGTAGCAGTCGTAGAAACCCCCGGATCAGACTCCGACGTAGCAGTTAGTGTCACGACGGCTTTGCTCGCTGCATTCTTCGCGGCGCCGACGGCGACGTTGACCGTCGTGGTCTCCCCGTACGCCGCGACGGCCAATGCATTAGGCAGCGCGACGCGCCATCCTTTGCCCTTGACCTCGGCGCTCAAGCGATAGACGTCGGACGTAAGATACTTCGATAAATCCTGCGGATGAGCCGCGTTACTATTCACGTACGCGCCTGAATTCGTCAGCGCAAAGGTGCACGTCACGCCCTTGGCGGTGGCTTTGGCTCTCCTGTCCTTCGCGACGGCGCCAGCCGCCAGCTTGACGCCTCGCGCACTTGGGCCGCTGCCGTCGAGCGAGCGCACGGCGACCGTGTAGTGCAGCACGCCGGTGTCGTCGCGCCGGATATCCAGCACGTAGAAGTGCAGCGAGTTGGGCTCGTCGACGAATTCGGACTGCGAGCCTGATCGCGTGCCCGCGTGGAACAGGGCGTCCGCGAGCTGCCGGTAGTCGCCGATGGTGAGCATGGCAGGGGTGCCGTCGGGACGGTAGAAGTCCACGATGTCGATGTCCTGTGGGTTCGCGTCGATGACCCATTGGAAGGGCGCGCTGTTGCTGCTGTTCTTCGTCTTGCTGATCAGGACGCCGTGGTCGGGCTGGAACGAGTCGGCGCCCATACGGTCGATGACCTCGACGTCGTAGTTGTGGTAGCCGCCGCCGTCGCAGAACGGGTTGGTCGATGTGTTGCAGGCGGGCGTGAGATCCCTACCGATTGTGATGTGCATGCCCATCATTTGTGTGCCGCTCGGGTTGACGACGCGCGCCGTGAGCTCGGCGGTGACGAGCCCGGAGTTGGCGAGCGCGGCTTTGGAGATCATGAGAACTCGGCTATCATCTACTAGATCTATGCGTAGCTTGTCGCCCATCGTGTGTGGCGAGCCTAGCGAGCTACCTTGTTGCGCTGGGATTTGCCAGCGAGTGTGAGGACCACCCGGTCCGTTGAATGTGCCTCGCGCCAACATCGAGAATGGTCCCGAGTAATCGCGTCGTGGCGGGTTGGAATAGGGGTTGTTATAATTGTCGCCGATTCCTAGCAAGTGGCTCAGCTCATGTGCATACGTGCTCATGCCGGAGCTCTCGGCCTGGGTGGAGGAGCCACCGCCGGCGTTTGGCCAAATCGTCGCTGCTGAAGCCCATGAGGTCCAGTTCACGTAACGAGTGTGCGCCCAGTTCGGAATGGAGTCATCCGGAGGGCCGAATTCAGCAGTCACGTCTTCGGGTGTCTGGAATAGCATTTCACCGAATTCCTGCCATGTCGAGGATTCATCTTGGCCAGCAGAAAGGATGAAGGCAAGTTCGAATGAGTCGGCCGTCTTGTTACCCACATCGGCACGCCAGGCTGCAAATGCATCCGTACGAAGGTCAACTGAGCAAGGACCCTCAGCTGGACAACCATCGGGGTTGAAACCACCGCGTTCATCGTCAATGCCATATTGATAAGCTAGACGGGGCATCTCATAAGCACCGAATACCGTCAGGTCGACGCCTACATCACGGTCAGTCGATTCATGGTCTGTTAGATTCAGGAGAGCACGCACCATATCGACCACCAGAATCCTCCATCCAGTACTCATGCAGAGTGTGGTTATGATTCAGCTCACTGGGCTTATTTAGGAAATCGCGGTAGAACGTAGGCACTTCATCGCGACTGAGACCGGACACGACAGGCCGCGGGTTCTTGAAAGGCGTCGACTCGGGTTCCAGAGTAATCACGAATGGCATGTCGGGATAATCGACGACGACGAGCGCGATGTTGAAGTTCCTCTCGGATCCCTTTCTGCTCGGATCCGACCAGGTAGTGCCTGGCGGCTTGATGTAGTCCGCCCAGGTCATATTATCTGGAAGGACTATCTTCTGGGGGTCGAGGACCGCGAACGGATCGCTCTGTGATGACCATGGCGCTGCAGTTACATATCGAGTCAACACTGAGCCCGCCAGAACGGCCGCGGTGGCCATTCGCTGGCGGATGTTACAGGCGACGGTCAAACCCATTTTCATCAATTGAGCTCTGGCGAGGCCGCTCACAGACTATACGCACGGGTTGTGGGAGCAAGCAGAGGGGGAGAGTCCCATTTCTAGTTGTGCTGGGGATAAGGAGGCTCTTATTACCATGCTAGGCATCATTGTCCACAGCGTGTGCTACGTGAATCCCAAGAGGTTGGTGAAGCTACCAATGCTGACTGATATCAGCGTCTATCTTATTACAGTAGATATCCATGACAATCTACCACGCATGGACTGTAGATATGCATCGTCCGACTCTGTCCGACCAATCCACACCAGAGCGGATAGCAAGGGGTATCTGCCGCCGCAATTATTGTGTTGAGAGCTGCCCAGTTTGTGCAAGGCGTCATGTTGGTCCATGCCAGGGTTCTGCCAGGGACAGGAATATACTGTGTAAGACATGGAGCCCAGCCATGCCAAGAGACTTATTATCACCACTTACCTGCCGCAATAGGCAACCAGATTGAGAGTTCAGCCTTTGCGGTTGGGGAATGTGCGGAGAAAGAAGCTTAAACCGGGATGAGATATCTACCTACCTACCAGGATGATATGTCATATTCCGTAGATGAGGGCAGAATGAGGGGTAGACAAAGATTCATACAGTAGACCAGGCAAGTTACTTCATATGTAGATGCTTGCGACGATGGTTGTAGCTGAGTCTATGCCCGCTCATTGATTGGTAGGCAGACGGCTTGGGCCAACCACCGTGGCTCAACTGAAGTGTTACTTCTATTGTTGTTTAAAGAAGAGAATTTACAAGTATACATGTGATATTTTCCTTTTCAAGGCAGTGTCACAAGATAGCCAATTGTCCGTTCGCGATATGATATGGTGGTGGTTTAAAACTGAAGTAGACAATCTTATCTTTTTTTTTTCATCTCTCACAGCACACCCGAAAGTCACCACAGCGATGACCACCATACACCACCCTTCACGACAAGATGAGCCACTTCGAGTAAATAGTTATCAATAGTGAAGTGTTCAATACTTACCTGTTCTTCTTCAACTATGCAGAATCTTTGACCAGAAAGCATAATTTCCATACTTACTATGTAGATACCTAGATACTTAGTAGATACCTCAATTCCGGGGCTAGCCGCTCTGAACCGTTGGCTGCCGAGGTAGAGGTAGAGAGCCGAGTCTCTACTGAACATGAACATAAGGTATGAGCATGAACAGGAACAGGAACACCGACATCAACATCGTCATTCGACTCTCATCCTAACAGAGTCCTGATCATGCCACTCCGACCAACACTCCGCCTGGTCGCGCCCGCATTCCGCCTGGTGCGGCCATATTCAAGCGACGCCGCCGGCCCTCTCATCAACGTCGTAAACCTCCCCGCGCCAAATACGGGCCATATCCGCATCCTCGAGCTCAACCGCCCAGCGGCACGCAACGCCATCTCCAAAGCTCTGCTCTCCGCGCTACGGGCCGAGATCGACGACGTCGATGCGCAGTACACACCCGAGGGCGACGAGAAGCCCTTGCCGATGCGCTTCGGCGGCGCCGCGGGAGTGGACCAGAAGGGTCCGACGAGGGCCCTCATCCTCGCGAGCGCCGTCGACGCGAGCTTCTGCGCCGGCGCGGATCTGAAAGAGAGACGGGGCTTTACACAAGAGGAGTGAGTGAACCAGTGCAGATGGACCCAGCCAATTGCGCCCCTGGATTAGGTGACTAGGTAAATAACTGATGTTCTTCAATTCCTAGAACCGCCCAATTCCTCGCCAATCTCCGCGGCACATTCTCCTCGCTCTCCGCCCTGCCCATTCCAACAATATCCGCCATATCGTCGTTAGCACTCGGGGGAGGCTTAGAACTCGCCTTGTGCACCCATTTCCGCGTGTTAGCGTCTACCGCCCAAGTCGGTCTACCAGAAACCCGGCTTGGAATCATCCCCGGCGCAGGAGGTACCTACCGACTCCCTGCTCTGATCGGACTCCCGCGCGCTAGGGACCTCGTTCTAACCGGTCGTCGTGTTTCTGCGCCCGAGGCATATTTCCTCGGTATCGCCGACCGGCTCGTCGAGGTACTCCCGGATGAGGAGGAGGGGCAAGGATCTGGATCAAAGGCGAGGGAGGAAATACTGACTAAGGCGCGGAGAGCAGCGTTGGCAGAGTCTGTTAGGCTTGCTGGCGAGATATGTGAGGGTGGTCCGATTGCTGTTAGAGCTGGCTTGCAAGCTGTCAGCTGGGCGCGAGAGGAGGTTGAAAACGCGATGTATGAGCGGGTTGTGAAGAGCGAGGATCGAGATGAAGCTCTCGAGGCGTTTAAGGAGAAGCGGAAACCTGCGTTCAAGGGGAGGTGAGATGGAGATCAAGGCAAATGATATATGAATTCTATATACCACTATCATGATGAATCTATACGACTTGTAACGGTTAAAATGCGCAAATAGGAGCGACCATTGGATAACGCTCCAAGTATAAAGGCTTTGGATCTAGTTGTGACTACATTGTATGATCACATTCCCGGCTCTGAAGCGATGTAGGATGATAGATAGGTCTATACATTTGAATATTACGACAGCAAGGTGACAGTTACGTTAGGTACAGGATAACACTCGCGAATTATTATCGCAGTAGCTAATGTGAATGTATAGATAGATATCTTGATACTGCTAAGAAGTGAAAGAGAGCCTAGCTACTTAATACGTTGACCAGCTAGCTCAGTCTACCTTCTGCTGGCTCCGAGTCCGCGCGCTCACCTGGTCCCCATCTTCTCGTGGCGCAGGGTCCTTATGCGTCTTCGTTTTAGACTGAGTAGATGTCTTTGCCGGTTTGCCGTCTCCTTTCTCCTTCGCCGCTCCATTCTTGGCATCGCCGCCGGTTCTTTTGGTGGTGTGTGTTCGCTTTTCATCGTTTTGTTCATCTCCGTCAGCGTCTCCGTCCTCGCTCATGTCCTCCTCTATCGTTTCAGCTGGCTCTTCTTCAGCCTCCTCCTCCTCCTCTTCTTCTTCAGAAGCATCCGGAGCATCGGACTTGCCCTTCACATCCTCGTCCTGACGAGTCTTCTGTTTCTTGTTGGCGGCTTTGCCACCTTTCTTCACCTCCTTCCCCTGATTATTTGTCGTATGTACATCGTCCGTACCGGCAGCCTCTTCAGACTCGTTTTCAGCTTCGTTGGCACCGTTTTCTAGATTATCATCATTGTTGACTTTGCGCTTGGTACCGCTATTCTCATCGTCGTCATCCTCTTTACCCCTATTCTTCGAGGACTTCAATTCTACCGTGAGTTCCGAGGCTCGCTTGACCACGTCGTTTCCAGATCGCTCGACATGAACGGCTGGGTTATCGGGCGACGCGTTCTTCTTGATTGTATTGCCACGCTTTGATTTGATCGCTATTTCGCCTTCGTCTTTCGTCTCGGTGACTGTGCCACCTGGGGCACCACCTCCCCAATTCCATGAGACTGTATTTGTGTTCACGGTGAGCTAACTTGTTTATAAGAGGAGGAAGACAGTACTCATAGCTTAGACAGTAGTTTTATGCTAAATCCACGTACCTTTGTCTCCTTCTTCGGGTTTATCAGCAGTCATTATTTCAAAAGCCCAGGATGGCCGTAATCTTGTCAATGCTGGCAATAATTTCTCTACACTTACATATAGGCTTAGTTGGACTTTGTCTATCAATTCACTGACGTAGATAGTATTTATCCGTAAACGCCATTTGTAAATTCTAGGTTTGACCTTTACCACCCCGATGCATCATAGCTATGAATCATCACTGATTTAGTGCGTATCTCCCCTTACAGTCTACATCGGTGCGATCGGGGACTGTGAATTGTCTAGAGATCTCACATGCGAAAACCCCTCTGAGCAGAAGTCTACTCAAAAGTGTAGAAGCTCAATTCCACGACTGACATTTTGCAAGTAGATAAAAAGGTAAAGAGCGTGGGTATGTGAAGCTACACCTCGTAGATGCAAATATGGGGATATCATTTTGGGCCGGAATTCTACCTATCTGAATATCTTCCGCCTTGCTTCCCCCACGTCTGCCCGCATTTCCCACTCGCTATCTCTTGTCAGTCGAGTCAGTGCTTATCAATACATAAGTATGTACTTACTCGTATGGACGGATGTATGGTCTCGAAGCTGGCTCGGCGGGCGTTCTCGCTGCATCACTCCCAATTTGCGAGTCCCAAATGACGCCATGTGTCTCGCTGGGTCTACACTAGGCTAAATCGGCCAAAAGTGCCCGGCGCTTTTGTTCAAGCCTTTCCTTCCGCAGCCACTTTGTCCGCCGTTAACTTAGTGTGACACTATATGTACAAGAGTTCTGTCTGTGTTCTTGGCGACGGATATTACGAAGAGAGGTCTGAGCGATCGAGAATAACGACACTAATGTAGGAACTGAACATGCACCTATGGTCACCATCGCCTGCTGAAGTAGTGTGGTGCGACAAGTTAGATAGTCAGCAGGGGCTTCGGGAACTCGGGATCAGTTAGTTCGGTAAATAGGGACTGGGGATAGCCTCATAGCGTGTATGTGTTGCCTTCATCATGAGATTTTTTCACGGGAAAATTGCGCTTTATTCACTGATAGCCAATTTCCCCAGCTATTGAAGCTATTCGAAGGCCTATTGAAGCATATAAATTATCTATCTCATCAGGTGTGGATGACTCCGGCTAGTGACAATTACTGTCACCCACTTCACTACTATAGTATTCGTGTCTATTATAACTTGTATCTATGTTTTGAAGTAACCCTTTGTTACGGATTTTTAAAACGACTTACGTTTGGGGGTTTCATCACCCTTAGATTTCATATTGAAGGCAGATCTCCGGAGAGCAACAATACAAGTACGCAAGACACTCATGAAAATCGTAGTACCTAGACCTTTGATAGGCGTGCTTCACCTATATCTGTTACGTCTTCTCAATTCCTGGTAAAGGGCCGGTAATAGAATATAGATAAATGCAAATGTAATGAAGTGGTATGGAAGATAACGAAGTTCTTTTGAGTCCTTTGAACCACTAAGTATGCGCCAAGGATGACGCGAGAACCTGGTGCCATGCTAGAACGATAGACTGACTTGCATAAACTTTAAATAACTCAAGGAACGACAACGGATGATAAGTGTATCCTCCACATGCACTCCTAGGGGTAAGTGGCACTTGCTAGGGGATCGTAAGATCAAGTAGATTGAGTTGCAGTGCCACGTGCGGAACCATTGGAGAGATTGAATAAGAAGAAGGCGCAAGACGCAAGCATCGCCAAGAAATGGCAGAGTGAGGAATATTTACATAGTAGATAGTATGAGCCTTTTTACAACAAGCTTGGCAACAAAATAGATCACCAACTAGCTGGGGCTTTCGCCACCAAAAGGACCGGATTCACGTATCAGGCCAAGCTCGTACAGGTACAGCGTGATCCAGATGCTGGCCGACGGTGGGCCAGGCACCAATCGGTTGGTCGTAACTGAGCAAGCTAGACTTTGGGGAATTCTGTTAACCAAATGTAGTTGCAGCGCAGAAACCTGGACCCGAATGTTTGGATACGATCCCAGCTTATCACTGGCTTAGACCATCCTTCTACTTTGCCAAGTGTAACATAACATGCGTACGTTATGCAAATCCACGTGCGTTAGAGTCGGCTTGAGTGCTCTTCGTGGTTACCTATAGCTCACAAGCACAGGCCATGATAGGGCCGTGATACTTGACATAGCTCACGATATAAACGAACACTTGAGGAGAGCCCAATATTGGCCGAGTCTCTCAACCTAACATAGAGCATAACCTAAAGTGCATGTAATGTCAATCACCCCTAAACTAGGTGAGAATTTCGGCGATGGAAAGAGCCCTAGAACACACCATCAGTCATTCGACATAGGTTCGAACGTACACTACGCGGACTCGAGCTTGTGCCAACACTCTTAGTTGAGCCTAACGGTCGCCGGTGCTAGATGCTAGCCTTCAGCCATATGGGCCATGGGCTGGGATCCAAGTAGCGTCTCCCTACCAATGGGCTGGCTTCTATGTCCCCATCAGATGCGAGTCAAGACCATGGCCCTAGAAAATCTGGCTATTTGTTCGTTCGCCACGGAGAGTGTTAGATAGCCAGTTCTCAGAAATATTGTCTTTCATACTAACCATCTTGGCGATCGGTATACACTACGCCACTTGTAGACCCCGGAGCTATCTGCTCTCAGCTAGCCATCTACATACTTATAACAAAGCTGGGAGAACCTTGTATTAGTTATTAACCCCCACGAACCCTTTCCCCGGAGGACATGACAGCTTCTCATCTGTCACTCACCTGGATCTTGAGTGGCTGAGAGTCATTCACTACTCCAGTACCAGTCGCACGCAGTTGAGTTGCTTATTCAGAAACATACACCCACATTCAACGCAAGACCATACGATTATTGGATCTACCGGACGGAGCAGGATATTATACTAGAAACGAATCACAGCGGAAAGTGTCGACATAATATTTGAGATCCGATATACGTTACTGCCATAATCTCGTGGCGGGAAGCACCTTCGCAATGGCCGTGAGTTTAGTCGTGGAGTCGGCAATATGGTTCGGCATTACAATTTTGGTGGTGATAGCCAGAATGTAAGTTCATGTTGATCCCTCTTCGCTCATTTGTCATATGAATACTCATTCAATTACCGACAGCGTTTGTCGCAAGATACTCTTGGGTTCCTTCAAGAAATTCCAAACCGATGATATCTTGATGCTTATAGCGGTGGTGACGGACACTATATTCCTCGTCACGATGAATATACTACACACTACAAACACGAATCTCATTGATCCCCAAAACCCTCCCATACTCACACCTCAGGAAATCGACTCGAGAGTGTATGGGTCCAAGCTGGTCCTGGTTGTGGAACAGATGCAGATTGCGACCACATGGCTAGTAAAGGGATGTCTTTTGATTATGTACAGCCGTTTAACGTAAGTTACCGCCGCCCTTCGCACAGGACCTTCGCTGACGCACGCAGTGGATTCAACAAAATCCAAGCGATGGGTGTGAAGATTGTTGCAGCTTATACGGTGCTCAGTTTCGTTGTGATGGAGGTGAGTGCTATTTGATTCTGTATCCACGTCTTCAGGGGCTGTTTTGCCAACTCCGTTTACCACCGACTCTCCTGAACCTTTGCTAACATATGGTTCGTAGATTTTATACCTTGGTGTTTGGTGCAGACCCTTCACTGAGTACTGGGCAGTGCCACCTAAGAGCAGTATGTGGATGCCTTCTTTATCAACCTTGCGTATTGACTTTTTAAAAAATGTTGGTAATGGGCCAATCCTAACTGACCTCCTCAGCCCAATGCTCAGCCGCGACAAACCATCTTATTACCAACGCAGTCTTGAACATCTCTTCTGATCTGTTCATCCTCATAATACCACTCCCTATTTTCGCCCAAATCAACATAGCCTTCAGGAAGAAGGTCGTACTTTGTGGCGTTTTCGCGCTCGGTAGTTTCACTGTAAGTCGAAACTTCTCAGCCTCTCATGATACCCAGTCAAGAACCCCGCGGAATCCAATTCTCACAAATCCGCTGGACCTTGAATGGTACAAACTAACATATGACTTTCAGATCGGCGCCGCTATCGCAAACAAATACTACAGTTTCACGTCGCCGTTTGCCAGTACCTGGGCATACTGGTACATCCGCGAGTCATCCACGGCGCTCATCGTCTCGAACATCCCTTTCCTGTGGACGTCGGTGCGCTTCGCCCTAAGACTGACATCATCCCGCGGAGCAACATCGGGGAAGACGGACGGGGCCGGCGGTCTCTCATACGGGCACAACGCGAAGAGCGTCAACCACAACACCATAATTTCCCGAGGGCCCCGAGGAGGAGGCGGCGATGACGTCAACGACTTCAGCCCACTGGGCAGCCAGGAGGACGTCAAGTACTACAACGACAGCGTGCCACTGAAGATATACAAGCACTCGGAAATCCACGTTACGACGGAAACCAACGATGCCGCGTCGATACACTCGCGGCCAAGCAAAGATCATGTTTACTTTGATATATAAACATAGATATTAGACGATAGAGAGTATACATCTTAATTTAATTTTCGTATTTTTTCTGCATAACGTTCCGGTCTTTTTTCTTCCCTTCTCCGCCGACCAAGGACGGCATGATATAAACTACCTCAAAGCTGTCCAAAAAAAAAGTCTATTGCCACGCCCATTAGAATTACGGCATATTTAACCCCACGTCGCTCCCTCCCCTGCCCATACAATGCATTATGAAATGAGGAAGATGCTATCGATGTTGTGTCTATGATGCTATGTTATATCATGGTATACCGCCGAATGCAATAACCCAAACGCCGTTCAATGACTGAATGCTGAACTCTAATTATGCTCTAGATCCTCGATTAAAAAACCCTTCTATGTGAGTTGGAGACACCCTTTCAAGGGTATCGTCTCGTACAACTTCGACTCCTTTTTCCGAGCCCTAGATCTTCACAATCTTCAGCCCGACCTGGACCGTTCGCGCCAACAAGACGAACACACCGGCCAGGAGGATGGCGATACCCGTGAAGAGCTTCAGACCGAGGTACTCGCCATGTTCGGCGGTAACAATGGCCCCGCCGATAGGAGAGCCGGTGAGAGCGCCGAGGGAGCTGATAAATAGTAACACGCCGCTCCGCGCGCCGATCTGGCGTATGTCGCTGATCTGCGCGATGACGGCGGGTGCTAGCGAGATGAAGGCACCGGAAGTGAACCCGTAGACAGCGCCGAATGCGAGTGTCGTGCCTGTCGTGTGACCTGGCACCCACAACGCAAGGGTGATGACTCCTGAGAGCGTGGCGATGATGATCATCATGTTGAAGCGACCCAAGCGATCGGCAAGGATGCCGGGGATGATACGTCCAGGAACACTGGCATATTCGTTAGCATACGTGGTGTAGGTTATATCATTTCAAGAGGTATTCTTACCTGACAGCATTCACAATGGGTAAGATGTATGGGATCAAGGATGGGCTGATGCCTTGCTGTTGGGCTTGAATATTCAGGTAGTTGAAGGGCAGGTATAAGCCCCAAAAGAAAAAGAAAGCGCCCACGACCACCAAGGCGAATCTGACTTCTTTAAACGGTGCAATAAGCTCGGCGAAATGGAAGGGTTTTGGTCGAGGCGGTAGGCGGGACTTGACAGTAAAGGAGGCGATGCCGCAGAATACGAGCACAATAAACCCGAGGATGCGCACCGTCCAGGGAAAGCCGATTTTAGGGATAAGGTGACTCATGAGAATAGGCAAAACAATGCCGCCGACTGACGATCCTGCTACGACAATACCCAGGGCCGCGGCGCGGTACCTAAAGAACCACGTGATGGTCGAGTTGCTGGCGCAGTTGAATACGCAAGCGGCTCCAATGCCGCTAACGATACCCTGAGTGAGAACGATCTGATAGTACTTTGTCGAAAGCGAGAGGAGCATCAGACCCAAGGAATAGATGACGGTGCCGATCGGTAAGAGCCAACGGGTTCCGTAGCTGTCGAATAGACGGCCCATGATCAGGTTGGATCCCGTGACGAGGAAAGCTTGCAGCGACGTGATCCACGTTATGTCTGAGGATGTGTAGTCAGACAGCGGGCCATTGACATAGTACTCGACGAAGACTCCTGAGCAGTTTACGAGGCCGAACGAACAGAACAAGATCAACGCCCCGCCAACAACTACTAACCACTATCGATATATCAAGTCAGTAACTTTGTGTTGAGATTACACGAAATTTTGTAATCAAACCACTAGGATCCAGTTCCCCAAAGGAATCTAAAAGCAACAATTGCGATTTTTAAAAACACTTACAGCCTCTAAACCACCATCTGGAAAGTCATCCGGGTTGAACCCGGGCACCGCGGCCGGCTGTGTTGATACCACCTCGGCGCCGCCCTTCTCTATGTCGATATTCGTGTTTTCCCGTGACGAAACCTGCTCTATCGAATTCTTTTCCATAATCGATGTCTCTTGTGACGCCTCGGCTGTACCGATCTCATTCTTTGCTGATATGTCGAAATTTTGGTCATAACGGGTCGTAGACGACCCTGAATCAGAGCCAGGCATTCTCGCTGCTTTGTAGCCGATATTTCTCTTGAAATCAGGTTCGCTTTGGGCGGATGAAACACAGAAGGGATGGTTCCTTGAGAGTAAATTCCGGGTAGGTATGTCGGCAGATATGTGTGTTTGTGTGTGTGGGCGTGTACTCCAATCAAGTGCTCAACTCTGTTACTCAAGCTTTAACTCGTGATTGACATATGTCGCTTCGTGCCTTGCAACACGTGGGAAAGGAATGCTTAAAGTTGTACGGATCTGCCCGTGTGTTGAACCAAGCAGGGGCCACGGAGTTTAGTTATATATACTAGAAAAAGTCTTCTCCACGGGTGGAATATTTAATTATAGCTAGTTAGCAAGGTTATCAACTACGTGTACGAGACACTTGCAAATCTACTCGGAGATCCTTGGCCCGACTCCGAGTTTATGTACGAGGCGAAGGTTAAGTGTTTTCTTCATTAGATACCACTACAAATACCAAGTCGCCCTTAACGCTTAAGCTGACGCGAGTGAGTCAACCAGGATTTAAAATGCACAGGCCTGGCAGCTCTGCCCATTCAATTACTGTATTCAGTAGATACAGGATTACCTATCGCACTATATCGCCATAATATGCGAACAATCCACCATCCCCCCATTGTGTGATAGGTTTGTCAATGGTCAATGGGGGTGTTATGCGAAGAAGCGAAAAGGCGAAAGGCCGAAATTTCTTGGCGTGCGCTAGGAACAACTAAATGTAGACGGAACAGAACGCGGGAAGAGAAAATAAGCTTCCTCGGCCGAGTTGACCCACTCAAAAGGCATCAAATCCGAGTTGGATCGCAAAATAAATCATTCAGAGTTGCCATATTTTATATTGACATCTGCTCGTCGATTTCTGAGCGTAGTGTATATTGTAGGACATATCGTACCTGATCAATTATTGATCAATGTAGTTCAAAATGCAGCGGAACCTCTGAAGTTGAATGTTTACAGACCGAATCATCAATGCAACAGGGATGGCACGTTCTGCTGGATGCATTTATAATCCTTGTGCGACCGGAGTTAAGTGGTGTGCTGCTTGAAGAAGCCGGCTGACGATTCATAAGCCTAAATTCTTCTGCGTGGCCTTACACAGTACAAGCTAAGCTTAGATAATCGTATTAAGATTAGTGATAGTGAGCCTGACTATAGTTTGCCTCTTTTTTTTTTTTTTTTTTTTTTTCTTTTTTTTTAACGAACGGGAAGGGAGATGGCAAGTGTGTTCTGGTATTCGATATCAGTGGTGACCATACTTGTGTATTCACGATGCCTAAACTTGGAATCATGGTCGTACTGAAAGATTTTGATTATATCGATATGTAAGGTTGGCAGACGACGGGATGCGACGCTGATGAGCCATAGCTTCGGGTCCACCCATGTCAGCAGTTGCATTATCTGATCCGTAGTCTGATCAAGGTGCAGGAGGTTAAGACCGAGATCGCCGGATAAGATCGGCCAACTTTTTGACGCATCACGGATTATTATTGAAGCATTACCCTAAATCTAACATAGCAGATGCCCGGGGTCAAGTCTAGGTTCCCCGTAAACCCATACGAAATTGCTGAGTTGGAGACGCCAAGTTGACGCTAACAATCTCGACAGTTGGGCTGAATCCCCTTTTAATACCTATCAAACTACTACCGAGAGTTACTTCAACTTAGCCACAAACAGGACTTAAATAGATGCATTTGCAAATCAGAAAATAGTGCGCAAGTATTGAAGACGCAGGTGTTAAGGGCGTAGGTGTTGAAGGTGAAGGCAGTTGGACATTGTTGTGAAGATGTTTCTTTTACAGCAGTATCCTGGTTTATGTGCGAGATACCCCCAACAAGCTAGTTTAGGCGCGCGTATCACCCCAGCATCTGCTATATGAGGTTTAGGGCGATACCTCAATAATGATCCGTGATGTGTCAAGAAGTCGGACAAGATCTTACAGCCGAGACTAGAGTACCGTAGGGCAGCCGCCACTCCCACAAAGCTCAAGGAAGCTCAGATGCCCCTGCATCAGGCGTTCCTCATCTGACATGAAAAGCATTGGTTCTAAATGATTACTATTGTCTCCAGTTCTTTTCTCGGCCTAAAACAGATATTCAACACCGAGCTTTATAATTCGAAGTGACTGTCAGCTGGCTGTACATCCAAGCTAGCTCTAGCCTCCCTCGCCACGGCGAGGTTAGTGCTGTGTCGTGGTGTGAGTATCGGTGCAGTGAAGCGCCCTCATAATTGAATGCATATGGAAGTAGAAAAACCGGGGTATGATTCCTCCAATTTGATACAAAAGGATGCTCCCATGGAACGCTTCTCTGTTATACACGTCTATAACTGATCTTTATTCATCGTACAAGTCGTGTTGCTGCGACAATTTTATCAACTAGGCTTTTAGGTTCTTCGTATCATCGAACTGAGCTTTTCCATCCTCTTTGCCACTGGAGATGCTAGTCTCTACATTCACAGCGTCTTTGATTTTGGTAGGTTCCTCGGTGACTTTTGCTTTCGTAGCCATATCTACGGCACCGGCGGGAGTGTCTGCGATCTCGTTGACCTCGGCATTTGTCAAGACATCGCTGACACGCGAAGCTCGACTGGACATGAGGATCGTCGTAGGACCACGGAATTGTAGAAACAGCCTATCGCCCCATATTGTGCGACGTGCAGTCGTCCGCATGCTGAAAAATACGCGGGCAAGGAATTTGTAGACTTCGGACTGTCGCATATTTTGGAAGAACTTTATTGTTTCAAACCATGCTGTGACTGCTGGAATCTGGAACCTGATGCTTGAGCTCTTAAATCGGAAAGGCAGGGGCGGTTGCTTGGTGATAGTATATGCTACGACATTGGCAGGGTGTGCCACAAACTCCTCGCCCTCGCCTAATGTGAGCTGATATATATGGCCCGATGCCGACAGCGCAGCGAGGCCGCGACCCGTCAACTCGGTAGAGCCCCAGTGGGCAAGAGGAAGCTGGCGTTGTATGCGGGGAGTTACGTAAAGGGAGTACCCAGTCCACGCAACCAAGGCTTTCCTCTGGGATATTATCCAGTCGGTAGTGCCGTCTAGTTGGAGCACTGAGAACGTAGAGGTCGGGGATTTCGAGGATATAAGAGCAGTGAGTGGTGAAGTGGAAGTTATTCGCTGGTATAGAAAAGGTACACCGGTGACAGCCCGTGTTAATGGGGAGAGTATCGATAGAGTTGATTGCGCCTGGCATCATAAGTTAGAAATGTGCAGCTGAAATGGTATGGATATGCTAGGCCACTGCTTTTCTGCGTTCTCACATTTTCTGCTTTTCCTGATACAGCAACCAGTGTACCGCGACGTGTGTAGAGTCTTTGGGAGGCGGAGAGCGTCACCGAGAGGAGTGAGTAGGGTGTACCTAGCACTTCGAAACGAGCGTCTGGATGTCGATTAGAATGTAGTTACAAGACAATTGGCGACCGCGAGGCAGCGTATATATGTAGAATTACCGGCAACATTGTTGGTAGCATCAGTGCGCAAGCCGAAGGCATCTCGATATGCGGCCGAGTTGGAATCAATTGTTGGAGCAGCGCTGATTTGAATGGCTCGACATTGGCGACAAACGTGGTTGCTTCTAGCGCCGAGTTGGCCCAGCTGGCCCTTTCTGGCCAGGGAAGAAGCAACACCGCGCATTGCAGTGGAAACTGGTCGCGATGCGGACGGACGGAAGCTTTCTTGTCAACGTGAAGCTTGTTGACGCAATCGCAGTTGATCCAAGCCCAAGCTTCGCTATCAACTCACTATCGGCAACTCGGATTATGTAAGCACAACCGACCAAGCTGTTTTAATTGCATATACTGCTCAATTAAATATTCTTGAACTAATGCTAGAGCCCTCTCATTCTAGGTATCACAACAAAGGTCACAATAAAGGTCGCCAGAGACACAGAATCTCTGTCCTTTGAGATGCCCGAAATAAAACAAGGTAAACAGAAAGTCATAAAAGCATGTATTTGACAAAGAATTCATATGAAATATCTTCCCCGAACTTTAATCATGTCGGAAAATGCTCCTAGGTGTTGCGTACCACTTATACACCTCACATCACCCGCAACCATACTACCACCACCATGAAAACCAATATCAAGCTAACTGTATATCTTACAACTGCCATCATGGGCGAAGCACTGGCTAAAAGACCGGGTACTATCAAACCGGCAGGCCTGGCTGGAATATATGATGCTACGTTCACCCGAGTCATTCTCGAGCGTAGCGAGATGCCCTCCGCGGATGCGGTTTATACAATGTGGCTCCAAGGCTAGAGAGCGATACACTAAATGCGTCGTACTGCGATTAACAAGAGACTGGATTTCAAGGCACGCCAATTCTCACGCTTGCTATGTTTTGTGTCTTTGGAACAGGCACCCACGTTCACGAGAGACGCTGTTGTGGTGTTGGAGTCTGGGAACGGATAGTTGCAATCAGTGTCTGGATTGGAAGTGATCTCAGTAGCACGGAGGGAGTTATATAACATGTTTATACTCCATTGATATATAATACTGCGACAATATTGCTGTGTGTTCTACTCAAGCTGCGAGTTTACCCGTGATTTCCCCCCTTCTCAGCTCGACAATTTTGATGCCTGGGTAGTTGCTTTGAATAAGAAACAGAACGATGACGAGGCAAACTACACACTGAATGACCTCTGTATTTATATTATATAATGTAAAATCCACTACGACGCTTATTATCTCGTATGCTATGGCGAACTCACGATACCTATTACCTATCCTTCATACTCAAAGACCTTGACCTCACCCAGCCCATCACCCACAGCACGAACTCGCGAACCAATCTCCAGGGGGCTTCCCTCGAACACGACAAACTCATCAACATCCTCAGCAGTTGCACTATCCTTCAGACCAAGTAACTTGTACACATTAGCGCCCGCAAGGTCCAAAGCCTGGCCCTCATCAAGCTTGCCCCCACCATTCTTATACACAATGCCAGCGAGCACGCCCAGATCCCGCACAATCCAGTCTTCCTCAAGGCCGATAGCAACAGTCACGCCAGCCTCGATGAGGTGATCCACGGCGGTGCCATTAGTCAGCGGTGCGCCCGTAAGCGCCCGACGCTGCTCCCACGAAGTCCGGTACGAGAACAACGGGCTGAGCACGACGCCGACATCCGCGGCGGCAAGTTCATCTGCAAGGATGAACGACTCCGCGCCGCCAATGATGACTAGTCTGATCGCGGTATCGCCGCCTGCAGAGGCGATGGCGTCGTCCACGGCGGCTTTGACTTTGAGCACGGCGGCAATGGTATCCGCGCTGTGCGCCGTCACGGCGAGCGGCAGCGCTCCCTCGACAACTTTCTTTAGGAACGCGCTCTCGGAGAACGCGTCCGCAGTTGCGTTGGCCGCGACGGCCTCGAGGAGCTTCCGCCGAAGCGAGCCGACAGCGTTAGAGATGGACGTGCTGCCGCTCTTGGCGCTGACAGAAAGCGTGTAGTGCACGGCGGCATCGTCGATGAAGACGGCGCCTTTCGCGAGAGCGTGTTTGGCGCCTGTGCGGAAGCCGACGGAGGTTCCTTGGTGCGTTGCGGCGCCGGAGTATGTGGGGGAGGAGATGGCGCGGGTGACGCCGTATTTGTGCGCGAAATGCAACTTCTTGGTGTCGAGCGCGAGCCCGTCGACGCCGCGGCTGAATACCTCGGGGCTGCCGCCGTTGTCGGTGACGGACTCCGCGTCGATTGCGTTTAAGCCGATTAGAGACCCGAATGCGGTGAATGGCTTCGTGATGTACCCGTTCTCAAGACTGATTGTCGCGGCACCGCGGTTTTGGGCAGTCTGGAGTTCACTGGTGCATGGTCCGAGGCAGGTAACCTTCCCATCGGAGACAATAGCTGTGAGGCTCTGTGTTCGATCTTTTTTGCCTGCAGATAATTGGGGTATGAATGATTTCGTAATACCAGTGATGATCAAGTTGGAGGTTGATTGTGGCTCATCTTTTGTGATTTGGATATCTTTGGGGATATCGAATTTTGTCTCGAATGGCTTGACGAGTTCAATTGGATTCTCATATTGTGCAGTTCCGTCAATCCAGACTTGGACAGGTGTCGCACCCGCACTGAGAGGATCGCTATCCCAGACGACAATGTCGGCATCAAACCCAGGCTTGACCTTACCCAGGCGCTTTCCAAGCCCCAATCTTTCCGCTGGGGCTGTTGTCACGGAAGCCAGAGCAGCGTGGTATGGCAACCCGTATCCGAAAGCCTTGGCGGCTTCGAATAAGACATGTTGGGCGTTGAGCACCGGATTGTCGCTTACATAGATGGGCGTTAATCCATTTTCGTACAGGATCTTCCCAGCATACTCAGAGCCAATGTATGCCTCGGCCTTATACCACATGTTATCAGCGAAGAGGGCAGATGCAGGCGGCGAATCACCCCAGGCACGCTTGAGAATCTCAGGCACGAGATATGTCTGGTGCGCATGGTGGAAAGCTCTGACAGCAAACTTGAACTCGTTCGTGTGATCCACGAAGGCTTCAAGATCGGGGATAGTATAGCAGTGGGTGTTAACGTGGACCTGCCCACGCAATACGGCACCCAGGGTTTCCCACTCGATCTCTTGAGGTAAGTAGCTGTCCACATTCTCGATGCCCACGGCCTCAGCGTACGCGCACCAGTCGTCTTGGGACCTAACATATTTGGCGGCTTGCTCAAATGCATGGCGGAATTCCCATGACTCTCCTAAGCGGCTAAAGGGACCAGCTTCGCCAGCTCTCCCATATACCCTCTTGGCATTCTCACCACAGGCCATCTTAATGTATCGCCAGTTGCGGTCAGGGTCTGCCAGCATGTCTGCGGCGGAGGTCTCATTTCGTCCATCCGGCTTACCAATGGCATGCTTGATAACAAAAGCTTCTCCGCCAATGTTATTGCCCGATCCAGGCAGCACCAGACTAGTTGTGACGCCGCCAGACTTGATAACCTCGAGCTGGTGGTCATTAGGACTCAAACCGTCGATGGAGCGCACATAGGGCGTAATATTATCGCTCAGTTCGTTCGTGTCGTCGTTTCCAGAAAGCTCCGGGAGACTATCTACGCCCGAGTGACTATGCATATCGATGATACCACTGGTTAAGCGCCTACCCTTGGCGTCCCAGACAAGAGTGTCCGATGACAACGTGCTAAGGTCGATGTGTTGTTCGACTTTCTTGATTAGACCGTGCTCGATGAACACATCCGAGCCATGGACCCAAGAATAGCCGATGCCGGCTCGGGATTGCTCATCGCTTGTGCCTTTTACAGGCTCTCCAACCCAAATAGTAGCATTTTTGATCAACGTGGCCTTGTGTCCGTTGATGTACCGAGCATTGCGATGACGGCCAGCACCAATCGGGTCTTTCGGCTTAGACTTGAGCTTCGCGCATACTTCTAAGTCATCCTGCAGCCTTTGAATAGATAGTTGAGAAGTATTTGATTTTGTAGCTGGCTGGATTTGCCTCCATTGCGCGTAGACGATGAAAGCGAGAAAGGCAAGGGCGACAACCCTCAAGCCTCTCGATCGCCGCATTGCGCGATGACGCCTTGGCCATCCGGCTGGGGCGACAGCACTATAAGGCGGCAATTCACTTTTCTCGCGCTCCATGGTGTCTTCTGCCCCGGTGTATACCTATGGTCTAGCTAGAGCAGAGGAGGGTTAAGGTGAGCAGCATGTCCTGTTATATGCGGCGGAGACGTGAGGCGTTACATAGGTAGCCGTACAACCGTGCCAGCCACTCACTACTTACACGCGTATACTGTGTTTATCATGGCCTAACTGCTTTTAGACGCTTCGAATCAGTCTATTGGACGACTGGGGACAACCGGAGACGACAGGGTGTGGCGATGCGACCGAGGTGAGCAAAGCCCCAGATTGCACCATCCCGACTCCGCATTGGTGGGGTAACAGTGTGGTGGGGGAGATTGGCTGGTGACGGCCTTGGTGGAACCATTACAGGGTAACATGAGCGCCCCTTTGCATGATCGACTTGCGCAACGAGTCACCAGGGCAGTTCAATACCACCTTGATCCCAAGGTGACCAGGCATAACTACATCACCTTGAGAGTCATAAGAACCCATGACGACTCCAAATCGCGTGGTCAAGACTTATAATGCTACCATTTCTAAGAACATATGATGACTATGCATAGGAAATATTAATGAATATCGGGCTGCCAGCCATCTAATTGTCTTGCTCATAGTAACAAGCGGCTGCGTGTATGCGAACTTCCACACAAATGAGTCATAAGAGCAATGAAGTTCTAGACCAGGCTACCATCCAGTTATCTGTTAGTACTCGGGTAGAGATTGTAGGCCTAGAAGCTCGGCTTGGAAGATTTGGTAACTAGGTACCTAGGTATGTAGGTCAGCAGTCGAAAGAATATCTAATAGGTGGTTTTGGATTGGATTGAAGGACACTCCACACACAACCTTGCATAATGCTCATATATATATCAGACACCATGAACAATCATTTGGCCAAATATTAGATCGTGACATTGCGTTGACCTGGCTTGCGCCTTCACACTATCATAGCTAATTATTAAGTACTTGAACTATCTCCCTCAGTTCCAAGGTCTTCCAGAATACAAGAACAAGAATGGCATCTCAAAACAACTTTTAAACAGACGCTGAGCCACCTTCACCTAATTAACTAGTCATCCAGGGTATATCCATTCAGTTTGGAAAAGTGTATCAACCGCATACAGAGAAGAATGGTTCCAAATAAAACAAGCCCGTACAATATCACGTTTCTCCAAAATTGTCTTAACATCGTGTATTGCAGTTGATTCACCCAGAAGTGGAAAGCCTCTGTATCATTGGCTCGTGGGAAAGGTAATTCAACCCACGCGTTCGAGGTTTGGTATCTCGGTACACAGACTCCGAGATGCTTGCAAAGAGGCGACCAACCATCTTGCACCTTGTAATCGATACAACGCCCCGGCGCTATTTTGGATCTGCAATCCGCATAGTACCTGTGGAAGTATTTCAGACACTCTTCCTTATCGTACGAGCCGAGCCCGACCCCTGACCGTGATAAGAGATTTCCCATGCGGATAATGGCAGACGCTTGCGTGGGCATGCATGGGCGAAGGGCCCATTCCAGAACTTCTAGAGACTCTCGGCGCTTTATCATTTCCTGTACAGTTTGAGCGAAGGAGTTGTACCACTTCTCGCTGTCTCGGCCGAGAATGACGACTTTTGCGTCGGGGTATGCTTCGGCGAGCTCGACAGAAAAGTAACAACCCGGTGCATCAACTACCGCCTTTTGACATCAGATTGATTGAAAATGCCAGAGAGTAGAACAACTACTGACCTGATAATCTCGAAACAAGCTGTCCCAAACTGAACGAGAAATGTGTTTACCAGAAATCTTTGCCCTGATGACATAGTCCCAATACCTGTAATCTTCCGTATGATTGATAAACGTGCTCATGTGGTAAACATTGCGGTAACCCAATCTCTCTAAAGCCAGCTTTATGGCTGAATTTCCGGAACATTGTTTAGTCTCGTTTCGTTCAAACATCGAGGGATCTCTTACAAGTTGTTCCGGTTCGAGGAAGGCTACACACAACCACCTGGAGTCCAGCCGAGTATTCAGCCGAGCGTGGCATCGAGACAACTGTCTCGATCTTGGAGGACATGGTGTAGATGATGAAACGTTCTGCTGACCTGTAAATTGGACAGGTGTAAGCGATGATATGTATACGTGCGCTTTAATCATGAAGTGGCAGTCGTACTGCGACCTCGGATATCCCTTTGTCGAGTGAATGCTTCATTCTGGTATTACAATGAAGAGGATAGCTGCGTTCTTGTCTAGGTGTATTACATATTCATACTGTACGAGTAGAGTGTCTCGGGACACTCTGGACGAAGTGACGGTAACTCTCGGTATGTGACGGAATAATAGCGGCAATGATATCTCATCAATCTCCTCTGCCGTGGAACAAACTACGACTGTACTACTCGGCTTTGTGCTATTACCCTCCAATCGACCTCGACGTTGCCTTGTATCACATAAGAATACTCGAACCAGATTTTGTAAACAAGTGCAAGGCAAACGATACCCGTAGAGAGACAGAATTATGTTGAATATGAGCGCGGTAGGGAAATGATTTCTGTTGTGGAACAGCCCGAGACAGAACAGACGGACTCATTGAGCGTATATTAGAGATGATGCTGAAACTTGGCTCAGTCTCCTAGCCTTTTGCCTCAATAATATAACACACTCGAGAATATGCATGCTAGATACAGTCAGAATTACAAAACCAATGGTTTATGTATTCCTATGCACCGTAGGTCTTTAATGCCAGCTAAGCAATTCCTAGTTTAACTAAATTTCTCCTGAGGTGTGAACCGTGCTTCAGATCTATAATGTACGAAGGGCTGACAACAGTGCTTAGACACGAAACTATTATCATTAAATACTCTGTTGGGGCTTCTATGCTTGTAGCCGTAGGCAATCCGCATATTCGGCCGCACGCGCGTGTAACATGTAAGCAAAAACGGGCTGCTCGCTGAATGTTTCTATTCATTAAGTCTATTTCTGTGTGCTTGCTGTATCGTCGGCATAGACGCCTTTTTTTTCTCGCGGGCGGTAGCATATACAACAAGTATACTAGTGCTTCTCTGAAGTTAAATCTGAGCCTATATTGCAATGAAAAGGCTACGCAAAAGTCCTTGAATAAGCATTGACGATACTATGCTACCTTCAGACGTGGACCCATCTTTGTTCATCTCATGCACCGTAGCCCGAGGGATGACAAACACAATACATATCCCACCTCCACCAGCCCGTGAGCGCGATTTCTGGACACAGCAGATCTCAGGAGCGTACCAGCCCGTAACTTTCCGAAAGTGCAAACAAAGTACACCAACCGATGGCTACACAGATGCTCTGCGCGTATCAGAATTTTCCTCGTTCGTGTCACAGTAAAAAAGGGGAGATAGAAGGGGGATTTATATGTGAAGCGATGTTGCCAGTGAATCTCAATCCTATGCTCTGTACTGTGATCTAAAATGCCTCCAAATCGACATCACGTTTTGCTTTTCGGCGACCAGACCGATGATGTGACGAGTAGCATCATCAGTCTATACACAGCCAGCAAACAATCTGGACTTCTGGCTAGATTCCTACAAGATGCATCCGATCTTTGCCAGATCGAGTTCGGCAACCTGCAGCCTGATTTTAGGAACGAGACGCCACCTTTCGAGTCTCTTCTTGAGATGGCAGAGAATCATGGGAAGACGGACGGCTCACCTGTACTTGCGTCTTGTGCCGTGTCGTACTTCGCTCGATTGGGACAGCTCGTCCTGTAAGTGGATAACATCAGTCATATGCTGACACGGGATAAATGTTGACCTCAACGTAGTCGAGCAGAGCAAGATCCTACGATCCTCTTAGGCCCGCGTGTCCTCATTGGGTTGTGTATCAATCTCTTTCCGGCAGCATTAGCGGCCGCGGCCAGGAGTGCGACGGAGCTCACAAGGCTCTCATTGGAAGGTTTCCCTTCCTACTTCAGCTTGGCCGTAGCCAATCATACCCGAACAAAACAGATCGAGCAGACACACGGTGAATGGTCGTGTATGGTCTCGACACCGTCAGATCTCAATTTGCAGTCACTGTTGGACAAGTTCCACGAAGAACATGTAGGTTCTACCCGAATTTGCCAGTTGTTGCTATAATAGTAACAATCTAGGATATCCCCAATCACAAGAGAACTTGGATCGGGGTAGTCGGTCGCGGCTGGGTGACGGTGAGCGGGCCGCCTTCGATCCTGAAGTTGCTCATGGTAGGATGCCCAGAGTTCAAAGCTCTATCCCCAATGACGCTTCCCGTTGCCAGTGCCGTCCATGCACCACATCTCCCTTCGTTCGACTTCGAGTCGACCGCCAAGCCTTCGTATATATGGGATTTGCCGCTACAAGAGGGGGCTTGCATCATGGCTACCGATGATTGTGTCCCGTACTCGACGAAAACTCTCGGCGAAGTCGCACGACAGATTATACCCGCCATACTAAAAGCCCCCTTGATGGTTAAAGGGGCATTCGCAGCTACAGCTGAGTACCTAAAGACAGCCGGTGCCACCGCTGCTGTTTCTGTTCTTGGACCTTCAGCCCAGGCTAACTCCCTAGTTCGCACTCTCAACCATGCTGGGATTCAAGCCGATATACTTCCAGCTCCAGGCAATGTGCCCAATATACCAGGGAGGGCCAGGTATGGTGCGGTGGCCATCATCGGTATGTCAGCAAGACTGCCCAAGGCGAATAATCTCGAGGAGTTCTGGCAACTCCTGATGGAGGGACGAATTACTCATGAAAAGGTAAGCCGATACCCCTCGCACACACCATCACATTCTTGTCTCACACACAGATCTAGATTCCGCCTGATCGCTTTGCATTGGACGATTTTTATGATCCTACAGGCACTAGGAAGAACACAATGATGAACACAGACGGCTGCTTCCTTTCCGATCCCGGCGACTTCGATGCTCGACTATTCAACATGTCTCCAAGAGAAGCTATGCATGTGGACCCCACGCACCGTTTACTGCTGATGGCGAGCCTCGAGGCGCTTGAAAGGGCCGGATACAATCCCGGGGCGAATCACTCGTCACGGAATGAGAAGACGGCCGTTTACTTCGGTCAAAACGCTGACGTCTGGCGTGAAGTCAACGCAGAGCAAGGTATTGACATTTTCACCGCTCCTGGTATACTCCGGGTGTTCTCCCCAGGAAGAGTTAGTCATTATTTTGGCTTTCATGCAGGATCGTACAGGTATGTTAATTACTGATGTACTCAAAGGCGGGTAACACTAACGCACCCAGTGTTGACTCAGCTTGCTCGTCAAGCGCTACGGCTATTCAGCTCGCCTGTGACTCGCTCATGAACAGGAGCTGCAACTTAGCTCTCGCGGGAGGTGCGCAGATTGCGAGCAGTCCCTTTGAGTTTTCTGCCCTGGGAAAGTCCGGGTTCTTATCGCCATCCGGTGGGTGCAAGACATTCCGCGCAGATGCTGATGGGTACTGCCGCGGGGAAGGGGTAGGCGTGCTCGTGTTAAAGAGACATGAAGATGCACTGGCGGACAATGACAATATCGAAGCTGTCATCACGGGATGGGGCCGCAACCACTCTGCTGGGGCGTCGTCTATGACACATCCTCACACCAAAGCTCAGGAGGAATTAATTCGACGAGTTCTTCGTCAGGCGAATACGAAGCCTAGCGGGATTGGATACGTAGAATGTCACGGAACGGGCACAGTGGTAAGCAAGCTGCTTCAACCCAGAGTTCACGTATCTTACAGCTTGAATCCAGCTTGGAGATCTGGCTGAGATGACATCAATCACTCGCGTATTTGCCAAGCATTTCAAGCCTGCACCTATCCATGTTGGATCCCTAAGAGCAAATGTTGGCCACTCAGAGAGTGTAAGTAAACAATCATATACAGTAACATAGTATGTTAACTCTCCAAGATAGGCAGCTGGTGTTTCGTCGGTCATAAAGGCGGTCATGTTACTCAAGACAGGCGCTGTCCCTCCACAGGCTGGGATCACACCCGACACACAGCTACACCCGGGTTTTGCTGATTTAGACATGTCTTCCGTTTGCATCGACTCTCAGCCAAACATATTGGACATCACTAAGCAGAAGATACTAGTGAATAGTTTTGACGCTGCAGTAAGCTACAATGGCCTGTCCCCCTTGTAATAATCATTATCCTGACTGAGTGATTCACAGGGAGGGAACACTTGCTTGCTGATTGAGAAAGCACGTAAGCTAGTTGATAAAACACTTGGACGCGATTCTCGAACCTGTCACCTAGTTACTGTGTCCGCTCAGGCAAGCGAGTCGCTTCATGAGAACAAGAAAAATCTTCTAGAATACCTTGTCAATCATCCGGAGAGTAGACTATCGGATGTGGCATATTCGACGACAAGGCGCAAGATGTACCACCCCCTGAGATCTGCCTACGCCGTAGGATCAACACATGATTTGATCGAGCAAATAAGAAGAGATGTCTCTCACCACGATCAAAACGATTCTTTTATCACTGGGAAACCAAAAGTTATATTCCTATTCGATGGCCAGGGAGCATCTCTATTTGGTGTTGCTCGAGAGTTATACGAGACCCATCCAGCTTTCCGAAAATATTTAACTGGCCTTCAGGACATGTGTGAGCAACTATGCCCGGATATGCGCCGCACGATACTTAGCATTCTTATTGCTCAACATGCAGACACCAATGGTTCCTTTGTTACTGAAGAGCACCTAGCCATTGTGTGTGTCCAGCTCGCTTTGGCAGACTTATGGCGATCGTGGGGTATGCAACCAGATTTGGTTCTAGGACATAGCATCGGCGAATACGCTGCGCTATCGGTAGCAGGCATACTGTCCGTAGCCGATACTCTGTGGTTGGTTTCGAAACGTGGAAGATTATTTGAAAAGACTTACACGGCTAGTGAATATGGTATGCTCAGCTTGTCTGCGACGGCCGACGATATTCTAGCACTATTGCAGGAGAAAGGACTACGCGATACCTGCGATATTGCATGCTTCAACAGTGATACCTCTCATGTCGTCGGAGGCCTGACTACAGAGTTATGCAAGCTCGAAGATGGCGCTAAATCAAAAGGCGTTGCTACAAAACTCCTAGAGATGCCTCACGCTTTTCACTGCAGTCACATGGAACGCATATGGGAACCACTTCAAAAAGTAGCAAGTAAGGTCTCTTTCTTTCCTCCCCGGATCCCGGTGGCCTCGACAGTGACGGGTAAGATCGTCACCCAAGAAAGCATCTTCAACGCCAACTATATTGCTCATCACGCCCGTCATCCTGTCAAATTCAGCCATGCCTTGAAGAGTATCGAGTTATTCCTGGAATCCGACAAGGCCTCGCCTGTATGGATTGATATTGGGCCAAGCTCGACCTGCCTGGCTTTGCTTCGCCAAACATTGGATGCCCACCCCTCCCATCTTTTATCTTCTTTGCGCAAGTCTGAAAGTAACTGGAAAACCCTCGCAACCTCCGTTGGAAAAGCGTATGCCTCCGGGTTGAAGGTGGACTGGGCAGAGTTTCACCGGCCATTTGTGCATTCGTTGAAGCTTCTTGATCTGCCAACTTACGCATTCAACCTTAAGACGTACTGGCAACCATATACAACGGCCACTGCATCTGCGGCTGGTATTGATATGAGTGGCCGAGGTCAACGGCCATACCAGTTCACACCCACGGCCACTATCCAGAAGATCCAACATCAAGAAATCAGCAGCGAGATGGTCGACGTGACATTCATCTCTTCTCTAAGCGATCCTCGACTGCGAGATGCTATTCGGAGTCACAGAATTGAAGGTAGCTGCATCTGCCCTACCAGCGTATACGTAGATATGGCTTTTACTGCCGCAGCTTACGTACACGAGATCGTTCGGACTGAGAAGAATAAATCCTTAGGCTCTCTCAAGGGGCTCAAGCTGCTAAAGCCGTTTGTTCTTAGTGAAGGCTCAGGAGAGCAAGTAATCGAAATACGAGTTGTTGCCGAGAAAGAGAATAATTGGGATGCCTCTGTCTCATTTAGTTCTGAGGATGGATCTCATGGCTCGTGTGACGTTCCTAGCAATACTAGCTGTATGGAACATGAATCTGAAGGGAATGAAGCAATAGCAAAGGCACTATCACGCAGCGCAAATCTCATCGATATGGAGGGCGACCTTCACACCCAAGTCGACCATCTACATCGCCGGATGTTCTACAAGCTATACGACACAGTTGTCACATATTCTGATCGCTACCAAGGGATCATGCAGGCCTGGAGCCCTGAAGTGCCTAAGGATTCTAAGATCCAGGAGATCGTGGCGGAGGTGAAGCTCACCGCAACACCTGATGGAGAGGTAGATGCGTTTACCTTGAGCCCGTATCACAACGACGCACTCGTACATGCTGCAGGTTTCATGTTGAATATCCAGGCATCAGATGATGGACCCGACACCCTCTATTTCTCAGTCGGCGCCAGCAGCATCACGATTCTCGCACAACTCAGCGACAACAAGACGTATCAGAGCTACTGCCGCACAGTCGAAGTCACGAAAGGAGAAATTCTAGCAAACGTCTACATCTTCGCTGAAAATAAACTTGTTGGGATTGTGACAGACCTCATGTTCCGCCGGATGAAAAGAGCTATTCTGAGAAATATGTTACATGCGGCACGTCGCGATGAATCACCACCTACGCCTGACCATGCACAAAAGCCAGCTCTACAACTCGATGTGGACGTACATGAGAGTCCAACACCGCGACCAACTAATGCGAAATGCAACATGGTAGATTCATTCATATCGACTCTCGTTGAAGAAGCTGGCGTCGACCCAGAAGACGTCAAGGATAACGTCTCGCTCTCGGAACTAGGCGTGGACTCTCTAATGGCGATGGCAATCATACAGAAATTGAAGATGAAGACGGGCTATGTACTGCCTATGACGACTTTCGCAGAGCTATATACTATACGAGACGTGCGCGAGAGACTGGGCACTCTTAATAACGAGTTAAACCCAACGAACAATACTACCGCTCAAACAACGACTGAAGAAAACCACAACGCGAGCTCCTCCCACAACCACACGCCACCCTCAAACCCAGAAACGCACACACCAGCCCTAAAAACCCTCTACAAAAGCAACGCAGTCCTCATCCAAGGCGAAGCAACCTCATCAGCGCACCCGCTCTTCCTAATCGCAGGCTCAACCGGCTCAGCCTCAATATACACGCATCTCCCCCCTCTCGCGTCTCACACGCCAATCTGGGCCCTCGAATCCCCCTTCTTGCACGACCCATCCCTCCACACCTTCACACCCTCCGATCTCGCGCCCATCTACATCGCCACAATGCAATCCATCCAGCCGCACGGGCCATATCTCGTAGGCGGATACTCCGCCGGCGCGGTGCACGCATACGAAGTCTCCCGCGCGCTCCTGGACGCAGGCGAGGACGTAGATAAATTGATCCTGGTGGATATGAAAGCGCATTGTCCAGGCGAGACCTGGTCGACGGCGCCGCGCACGGAGGACCTGGATGCCCTGCGTGACGCGCTCCTGAGAGATGGCGATACACGCGTCCATGCCCTCCTGCGTACCCCGCCCGATAAACTCGAGAACGAGAGATTGTTCGCGGGCCTGCGGTGCGTGTATGCCTGGCGGCCGGAGCCCATGGAGGCCGGCAGACGGCCGAGATACGGGACGGTTATGATCTGGGCAAGGCGCGGCGTGAGGCGGGAGCCGTGCGCGATGAATCCCCTGGCGGCGGAGAATAGGGATTACAAGGCGTGGTTTTGCGGAGACAGGGAGGCGTGGGGGGTGTACGGGGCGAATGGGTGGGATGTGCTCGTGGGGAATGTGCGCGCGAGCGTGGTTGAGGGGGATCATTGGAATATGCTGCGGATGCCTTGTGTAAGTGACCTGTGAATTGTGATATGAGTATCGCTTTGTGTATGAGAAATGGCTGACGAGAAGAGGAGTATAGGCTGCTGAAGTATCGGACGCGATTGATTGTGCTGTCACGGATTGTTTGGAGAATTAAATCGGATTGGATATCTCTTCAACTCTGATGAACTATCATGTTAACGGCATTTAAGGTAGATGAGGTCGTGAAAGAGGGTCTTGGTTGCTTTTTGAAACTTCGAAAGACATTGTGTTCCTCCCCGTAACGCGCGAGGGATAGTGAGATCTGCTATGAACGAGTACTAGGTATACAGTGAGCTTGTCACGCTGAGAATGGGAATAAATCTATTCATACGCATGAGAAAATTGCTAAATTGAGACTAACAACAGAAATCTAACACTTGACTGTGATTCTCCCCTTTCCGCGACTGACGCATGAAAGCATACTCGAGCTCTTCTGTTCATCATCTAAAGCAACACCCTGATGCACGACCTCGCCCTTACAATATTCAACCATGCACGCTCCGCAATTACCTGCTAGACAGGACGAGTCGATGTCGAAGCCAGCCTCGTTCAGAACTTGGAGAAGAGACTTCTCCTGAGGGACTTGTAGAACCTTCCCAGTTGCTTCGATTTCGACCTCGAATGGATCCCCGGTGCCTGTCGCGGCACCGCCGAATTCCTCGAAGTGGACGTGCGACCGGGGATACCCCAGCGCCGTAGTGATGCTGCGAGTTTCCTCAATCAGACCCGTCGGACCGCAGCAGTAGACCACAACATTGGGATCGGCGTTGTTTTCGAGAGAAGGAATTATGCTTGCAACTCGTAATCGCTGCCCTTCGGACTTTGCATAGACAGTTGTATGTGCGCTCGGTAGCTGGTCCAGGTACGCAGCATCCGCCAAGCTTCTCACGGCGTAATGGACCTCGAACTGAACGCATTGCTCGAGGAGTTTTCGAATCTCGCCGAGGAAAGCCGTAACGCCAATGCCGCCGAGCACAAAGACATGTTTCTTTGCATGGAGGGTGTGATCGGTGTCCCATTTGATGTTTGACGTGTGACCCTTGACTACTTTCACTTTATCGCCTACACTCAGAGTGTCGTGAAGATAAAGAGACCCGCCTCGTGAATTGTCGTCTCTTGCGATGCCTAGTTCAAAGCGATTCATATCGCCAGAGACAACAGAGTAAGCTCGCGTAAACTTGGATTCAGGCCCGAACTTGATGCGGACATGCGGGACGCGACCGAAATGAAGCTCCTCTGCGCCGACAGGTTCATCGTCGAGAGCGAATATGAATTTCTGAACGCGTGGGGTTAAGCGTGTTTTCTCGACGAGCGTGTAAGAGCTCCAAGGCATGGCCACGTCGCCTTGCAGACGGCCACTCATATCTTCGGCGCCTCGCTCTAGACGCTTCTCGAAGAGCCTGACGAATTCACTGCTGAGGCCTGGGAGAGTGGTAAGTTGCGTCAGCGCTTCGGTGTTGTTCCGATCTGTATAAAGGAAGTGCTGTAGGCGTGAGAGTGGCCATGTCGGGTTGATGCGCTCGATCAATTCTATCTCGTCGCCCTCTTCGACCCATCCTTCTTGAAGCACGCGGTATAACCACCCGGTGCGACCCGTGGCCTGCACCAAGCTGGACATCTTCTTGTGTTCAAAGCGATGGTTTAGCTTGAAGCACGGCTGGCGCGTCATAGTGACTTGGACAACGGCATCGCCGAGTCGAAACTTATCGCCGACGCAGACATTGTTCTCAGAGAGATGTCGGGTAGAGATGTTCTCGCCGAAGGCACCCACAACGAACTTTGTCTCGCGGTCAGGCAGATCTGACCTCCAACGCTCGTAGTGACTACTCGCATACTGGTGGACGGCGTTGTCGGGCGACTGATGCGGAACGAATTGACGCTCGTCGCCAGAGAAGCCGAGTTTAGTCAGGTACACTTTACCCTGTCGCGGCTGCTTGTTGATTGCCGAGGTGATCTTGTCACCGGTGAGAGGGCGGACTTTTCCTGTTCTCAAACTTAGCACCTTTTCTTTGGGAGGCCAAGGCACGAGATCTGACTCGGAAGCGTAGGGGTCCATGGCTGAGCCTGGACTGAGGGGTAGCAAAATGTTCTGTGGCGGCGGGTGCGAGACTAATATAGAAAAACAAATCGACTGCGAATTTCGTGGTTACACCTCCGGTACTTTGGTGTTTTTCAAACTGCAGAAGTATTCAGGCGCCACAATCAACTGTGCTTATATATTTTGACGCCTTGAAAGGGACCGGAGGATGATAAAGCAATTGTAATCCACTTCATTGAAGTTTGAATGGAGGTGTTAAGTCCACTGCCCTTTGGAAAAAGAACATCTACAATGGCGCCTATTCGTCCAGATCTAGTGGCCCCCACAATAGCTAGGTACAGTATGTTCCCTCATGTCAATGAAAGACCTCAAGAATTGCTGGTTGCCTAAGAGGGGACTCACCGAAATGTCTGTATAACCTTTTCTTTGACTGAATGAGTATTAAGTGGATAGAAGAAGACGAGGGAGGAGCGCATACTAAAGTATCCTATTTAAATTACCGGAACATTGTCTCCTGTCACAATCACCAACACGTGGCCCAGTGCGAAAAGCAGTGCAATGCTTCGAATAGGTATTGTATTTGCTTTTGTAGTGTTGAATGACTAGACATTTCCATTTCTATGCGCGCAAACAGTGAGGCTCATGCTGCCATATCAGCGAGTCTATCCTTTAGAATAAACGTAGCTCTAAGCAAAATGTGGAAGAATGGCGTCAACCCATACTCATGTTATGCATTCAAGCTGCTACGCCTCGCGTAGTCCCTTGCCGTGTACTTAAAGAACCATTGCTTTGACGCCACCCTGTTCCACGCCATCTAAATGCCTTTCTCCAAAACGCCAATAGTACCCGAGGGTTGACTCAATTATTCCTACCTCAATCCTCGTGTTGCCCGCCCGTTCATGTGTCGTCGCCCATTCAACATAGTAACGTTTCTGGCCAGGCCATAGGACTGTGATCCTATAGGTTTCTTGGCCGGTAATGAGTTCAGTGCTTCCCAAATCTCCGTAATGCCGGCCCGCCGAGCAGGAAGCATGCTGTACTGTAATGAATACAGGTTCTTCCTGTGAATAGGTGGGACGAAGCGGCCGGTGACGAGGCAAAACAACACGCGGGGTGATAGGTAATGCTTGCGTAGCCGATTACCCATCTGCGAATATTGCCGGAACATTGCGCTGAACTCGAGAGGAATCGGCTGTATGGTGTTAGTGGCTTTGCAAGCGGAGAACAAGTAACATTTTCAACATGCCTTCAAATGGATGAGCGAGGTGGGAGAGGTTGAGGATGTCGAGGCTGATGCTGAATTAAGGTTTGGTCTATTATGGGTATCACGAAGTTCAAAACGAATGCCTCCTGTTGTTGATCACTTTGTCAGTACATCGTGTTATGATTTGAGAGTTGACTGGGAATACCTGGAAGACGTCGAGGATCCTTAGCCCGCAGCATTAAGGCAAAAAGTGGGAAATGGTTTAGACAGGACAACAAGGTGTCAAACGCCGCCTTAAGTAGTATGATGATCATACGTGCAAAAGCGAAGTTGAGGTAGAATACAATTACGGTCGGAAGCAGGAAGAAAAGAAGCGTGAATAAGATGGTGCCGACGAGCAGCTGGTCTAGATCGTAATCGCACGAGTCAACACGGTTTCGCAAGACGTTATACTTCTTTCCGCGAAAGAGTTGAAATAGCGAAAGGAGGATGGTAAGTTGCCAATGGAATATCCGGGCCGAGGCAAGATAGAATGAGTAGATGTGAAGGGTGAGAGCTGACAATAAATCCGAAAATAAGGCAATGGGCATACTAGCACCAGCAAAGCTAGAGAATCCAATGAACCATATAATCTGTGGGAGTAGAGGCTTCAAAGTCTGAGCACAACTGGACCAGTAGTCAATGACCCATAAGAAAAGATCGCCAAGGAACAATGCTAATTCGCTGTTGAGCTTCAGTCCAGCTGGCCACCCCATAAGCCATGAGATGCTGGTCTGTAAGGCCGCAATGCTATATTTATCGATTATCATATTGATAGTATCGGCCACCCAGTCACCATTCTCAATGATGTAGGATCCCAGAGCGATGCCGATGATCACGTCGTTTGCCACGAGCCACAAGCTATTGTAGAAGCGTATATAATCGGGGTGACTCGTTGTGACGCTATCCCAGTCGTTCTTCCGCCGACGAAGCTTCACGTATTGCATAGGCCAATAACAGAATTGTAAGAGGCGAATTTCCACCTGTTGTGCCGTGGCTGAAATATCCTTGAGTGCGGGGGATGAGGGCCGAAGCCGCCATTCAAGGATCAGGAGAAGCACCTCAGCCGCAAACCGCTGTGCAAGGAGAGTGATTATGAATGCGCGCCGAATAACAGGGAAGATGTAGATAATAATCATATTCCAGATATACAACATCGCCGTATCTCTCATAGTTGTAGCCTGCTCCACAACACGTTCAGACACACTAAGCGTACGCTTGGGACGAGGACCGATGAGAGGGACATTCTTGTGCAACAACTGTTGGACTTCCCAAGCCCAATTGATCTGATTTACGATTCTTACCAGGGCTTTGTCTTTAGAGGAAGGAGGATGCCGGACAACTGAGTGTTGCTTTATCTTTTCCATCAGGTGGCTAGCTTTCTGCTTATTTTTCTGCTCTTGTTTCTCATCCTCTACTTCGGATTCATGAGACCCGGGATAAAGCGTCTGATTCTCGCCGCTCAAAGAGAGGGCAATTGGATTCAGCGATATGTATTGCATTCGGTGTGGATTAGGCCGGTCAAATACGATCGTCTGAATGGTCGAGGCTTTAGCGCAAGTGATTCGTAAAGAGGGCTCTGGAGAACAAGTGGTCGCTTGTACCCACGATGGGTCGGCTACAGTATCAAGCCCGACATTCATCAAACCAAGGACGTGCATGGATGCCTGGTCACATATTTCGAATAACCTAGCGACAGAGTGAGGAGCATTCCGCAATAGAATGCCCGTCTTCAGCGCATTCTCGACGTTTCTTGGCTATAGGCATGTCAGCTATGAAAGTATGCGAGGGACATGGGCTTAGAAGGAATCGCAGGGCAAAAGTGGTCTATATGCTTACATCTACATGATCCAGAACAGCCACAACAACGACATCCAAGTCTGAGTTTCTCCAGCCAACTAGAACGCCGGTGAGATCAGAAGTGGGGATGTCGCTAGGCCAAAACACTCGCATCAACCCATCGTGCTCTGGCATATCCAAATGGTGTCGAAGCACTGAGACTAGAAAGAGCCTCTGCGCCTGAGCTGTTCCCGAGCGGAGACCCCGCGACTCGGCGATCTTGGGTGCTTTTCACTCTATCAGCATAGGTAAATGGGATAATTGATGGCCGGCACCCAGCGGGATATAGAGACATACCAGGTCAGCTTCGCAGCGGGCAATATGTTGCACCGGTATGAATAACAACAGAAACGCAAAACTCAGGAAGACGAAGCCTAAAGCGATGCGAGACTAGATCACGCAAATGGTCAGGGACGGGCCAGGAGAAAGGACGCATTGCAAGCATGGGGTTGTTCTCACTATGACACCGTTATCCCAGGCAAAGGTAGAGAGTTCGTACAACCGAGTGACCAGATCCCATCGAGCAGTTATGTAGCCAGCTACAAAGATAGCTAGGGTCAAGATGGAAAATGGGTGCATAAAGGACGAGCGACGAGGTGAGGGAAGGAGCGGTTATTGTCGACCGAGGAGCATCCCTAGAGCAGAAACGTAACGAGGGCGGTCTGTTGACGAGGAACGGGCTAGGGAGGCGACTGTAGCAATCTTGGAGGTCTGAGAACAGACAGCAATTGTTTCGACCGACAACTTTTCACGAAGGCTCGGCGTTGCAGCACAGTTCTTTCCGCAAGGAATGTGGCGATCGATACTGGCGACAGGCAGCCTGACGGGTCAATTTCCTCTCTCTTGCTCGTCACCGAAGGGTAATGATAGGTACCCTGAGGTTGCGGGTCGTACACTAACGAGCGTCGGATACGGGTCACGATGGGCGGCGTGTTCGTAACCTATATCGGTCTTAGGGGTATTGCTACGGCGAGACTCGTTCGGGCGTCGTCAGTCGCGGCGTCGCATTGGCGCAATCTCGATGTTCGGTGCGTGCTGTCGCGGGAGAGGCGAGCAACCTGGATGCTGTAACTGTGCATGTGGATGGACTTGGCGGTCGATGTGCATGGCAGCGATAAAGAGCATGGCGGGATCGATTCGATTCAGATTAGGCTAGCAGGGAGACCCCACTGAAGAAAACCCCCTGCACAGACAGAGCCGCCGGAGACGCGAGACGGCACTGGACGCGCGGCTCTAGCCGAGTCGACACCATGCAACATCGCACGCAACGAAGTAACCAATTGTCATCCAATGAGAAGCGATTGCGAGTGACGGGTCAAGAATAAAGCAATACGGAGTAGGTAGAAGAGAGACAGGTATTTTGAGAATGAGAAGTTGGTTGCCATTAGTATAAAGTCGAGAACAAAATGGACCTGCAAGCACAATCCCAATTCCCGCTGGCAGTTCTATTCAGCGTCTAAGTTCAGCGGTAGACATGTACCTAAGCAGGATACCTGCATATCTGTAGGTACCTACCTACTGAGTCCCTCTAATTACCACTTCAAAAGGCTGGGTATGGCTTTAGGAGGGCTTGTACCGGGTGAAATACACCTGAGAAGGTAGGTAGATTCCAACTTATAAACTCATCATCGGATCCCGCGATTGAATCCAAACCACGTGGTTTAGTGTGGCCCGTAGATGGTTACACGTTAACTAGAAGTTAGTGATGGTGATGAGTGACGAAACAGGGCGAGCACATTGTACGTGAAAACGGAATGAAAGGCGGGGGAAAATGAAGAAAAAAGATAAAAGAAGAGGGAGAGAGAGAAGCGTGATGAGAGTAATATTTCAAACGGAGCTGAGATGGTAACACCCTCTACCTATAAGTATGTCTCTTCTCTTGTTGGTGATCTGCTGACCATTCATGTCGCGTATTACCACCCCAGTCTTCGGACGCCGCTACTTCGCCGAGACCTCGAGAGTACCTAGGTAGGTCGGTAAGGCTGCCAAGGACTACGAGGTATTCTTCTTTAACTAAATCCCGACTGACTAATGCTGTTTCAAGATAGCTTCGCTACTCCCGCAGGAAAGCTTTCCAATAAATAAATTACAGCCAATATAAATCAGCAAACCACCAATGCCAGCAAAGCAAAGCGTCCCAGAACCGCTGGGCCGGGGGTTCTTTGCTTGCTAGCCCCGACTCTGCCCCAACCTTTGTGTGGGGAATGGTCATCATCTCTCGCAGGCATCGGCTGCTCGGCATCTTTCTTTTCTCCCTGAAAGCTAAGGACTTTTATTATTATTATTTTTTTTTTACTTGCGTTTCATATGTATAGCGTCACTCTCTTTGTTGTCTTCGCGTGCCTCAGCTAAGAGCTTGTCTATACCTCGTTCCTCAAGAGCGATCTTGGCCACAAATCAGATACGTGTACCGGCAAAGAGAAGAGGGTCGGCGATAATGACGACATACCTTCAAGCATTTCTGGTAGTTTTCAAAGTGTTTCGAGCACTCGTTGCTATCGGCCTTGCCGTTACCTCTAAGGTATTCTGCGCTTGACTTTTAGTAGATAGATTCATCTACGGCATGGAGCCGGTGAGATAGGACATACTTTCACTGTACCACTTTAGAAAGCAGGTGTCATATCGTCTGATCAGAGCCACGTTAGCTTCCATGCTGGCAAAGGGTTATCTCGTCTCAGCGGTTTCCTACTCTTTGACCTCGTTACACTCGGGTGCTAGGGAAGCAGACATCTTGACCGAGTTGTATGAAGGAATCCTCAAGCAGTATGCGAGCGTGGTGTATTTCGATGTGACAAGGTTTAAAGTCCTAACATACAAGACTCACGAATCGGTTCAAAAGCCGATGCGAGCATGAGATATGGACCGTGGGATAGATGTAAGTAATGCTTGCCTATTGCCTGGCTGGATGTGGTGATGCAGGTTACGTAGTACTGGCAGTACGTAGTGCACCTAGGTAGGTAAGTTACAGTGGGTAGTACCCAGATGCAGGGGCCGATACACGCTAAATGCGCCGTGGACCGCCCGATAAGAGCTTAGCTAGGTACCTATTTAATTATCCTGTAGGGAAGCTTTGTTATCGCCGCTTTATCTTATCGGTCGGCGCAGCGATGTCTCTCTCTACCTAATTTTTTGTTGCTAGCCTTAGCCTCATTTACAACACGGGCATCTCCTTGCCTCTCATAAACTCAAGCAAAGTCCCTAAGAGTCTCAGGGTTGTTACGGAAGTGCGGCGAGCTAGCACGAGGATGAGATGAGATCGATATGACCATGGATTCCTCTCAAGATTTCAAGTCCCTACAGGAGTCCATCCAGAATGCGCTCGTATCTACAACGCGCCTCGCAAACCAGATTGCCGCCGAAGATCTGAGCTTCCAGCGCACCAGCAATCCCGCCGTTGCTGAAGAGCTCGACGATACCTCTTCCCGCCTCCTGGCCCTGACCACGTCTCTTCTGCAGTCCGCGACGAAGGGCACCGATGTTACCGGTCCGAATCTAGATGATGCCGATGATGTAGATGTCCATTGGTCGCGTATTGTCGATGTGCTCGACAATCTACTGGAAAAGGCCGACACGAGTCTAGACGAGTATACAGGTGCCATTAAGCGGAAGGCGCCCGCGGCAGAGCATCATACTGCCCCTGCCAAAAAGTCGCGATACGCACTCGACCAGTCTATTCGCCGAGCGAACGTCCTCAAGCCACAGAATACTTTTGAGCTCAAGCCGAATAATCTCGATACATCGCCGTGGAAACCGATTCTCACCAAAAAACCACACGCCACTCTCGCTCTAGATAAGAGTATAGAATCCTTCACAGACGAATCCCAATCTACCCAGTAGGTCTACCAAGCCCAAGTCTTGATACCCTCCTCCTTGTCGAGGCGCCGCAAGTGATACTCTTTTGTACCTTAAGAGCAATACCCATGAACTGTCTGGGGAAAGGGGAAAAGCCTTCAATTTTTTGTCGAGTTTGAGAGCTGATGGTGAGTTCCAGGTACAAGCATCCATACGAAACAGAAATCCGGGCTCTTGAGTATCCTGAGTCCATCTTCCAACCAAAAGAGCCGATTCGCTACCTTCCCTTCGAGTCCACCACAGCTACCTTCGTCGATACCTTTGATGGAGTCTTGGCGATGCTCGATGAGTTAAAAGGGGCTACCGAAATCGCCATCGATACGGAACATCACGACTTCAGGACGTATACTGGTCTCCTTTCCTTGATGCAAATAAGTACGCGCGAAAAGGATTGGATAGTAGACACCTTGCAGCCATGGCGCCACAAGCTAGAAGTGTTGAATGAAGTTTTTGCTGATCCCAGCATTATCAAGGTAATTATTCGCACGGCACCCTGTCACTATTTTATTCTAACAAGTCCCAGGTATTACATGGTGCATATATGGATATTGTCTGGCTTCAACGTGATTGTGGTCTCTATATCGTTGGGCTATTTGATACATTCGAGGCCGCTTGCGCCCTTCAGTACCCAGGGCGTAGTCTTGCGTATCTTCTCAAACGATTTGTAGATTTCGACGCAGATAAGAAATATCAGCTCGCGGACTGGCGGATTCGGTAGGTTACTCTGAAATTCTCATTTGCTTTCCTACTTGACTAACTCGGATTATAGACCAATCCCGGAGGAAATGTTTTATTACGCCCGATCAGATACTCATTATCTTCTTTACATCTATGACAATCTTCGTAATGAATTATTATCATCAACCCAGTCGGATATGTCGGGCCATGACCTCATGCGCCTCGTCCTAGACAAATCGAAAGAGACATCTCTCCGTAGGCATGAATCATTCATCTATGACACCGAGACGGGCCAAGGTCCTTTTGGTTGGTTCAACATGCTCATTCGACAATCGGCTGGTAAATTCTCCAAAGAACAATTTGCAGTCTTTCGGGCCATTCACCAGTGGCGAGACAAGCTGGCGCGCAAAGAAGATGAAAGTCCTCTATTTATTATGAACAACGCGACGGTGTTCGACATCGCGAGGCGGTTACCACCTGACCCTAAAGCTCTCCACGGCCTACTCGACTCGGGCTCATTCTTGGCCAAGCGTGAAGTGTCGACACTATTCGAAATCATTACCAAGGCGAAAGAACAGGGCGCAGATGGCCCTAGTGTAGCAGAAGTCATTCGCGGCAATGCACCTGCTACCATGGGTATAGGTGAAGTTGCTCGCTCAGTGCTCCCCCAGCTGAAGGATCGTGCTAAGGATGCGCTTGATGCAAAAGACCTTGTCTCTCATTCATCGCGACTGTGGGGTGGCATCCCCATTAGCAGTCGATGGGATTCGCAACATCAGTTGACTTTCCCGAAGCAAAGTCAATTTGAACTTCCTTGGGCTCAATTTGTCCAGTCTGCCAAGCTAGCGGACGATGTCACTCAAGAGCCAAGTCAAGACGTTGATAAGTCTGAGAACATGGCTATTGAAGCGGCCCCTAATGAAGCAACAAATGGTGATTCTGTACCCGAGGATGGAGAGTTCACTCTCAAAGCTGTTTCAAAACGCAAAGCTCCTGAATCTGATGATAGCTCAGAGTCAGATGACGAAGCGCAACCTAGCGATAATTTTACTGAATTAGCTGGATCCAAAACCAAGACAGCACCTGGAAGTAGCGAGGAAGAGATTGCTGTTCCTGACGAGGACGACAGTGAGCAAGAAAAGAAGGCAAGAAAAGCCAACAAGAAGGCGCTCAGACTTGCCCGTAAAGCAGAGAAACGACAGCAGAAAGATCGGCAACGGGCCGAGAAACGGGCTATGCATAACCAGAATTCAGCTTCCGCCGGTAAGGATGGGGCTGAAGAAAACGATGAGCCTTTCGACTATAGTAAAGCGAAGTCTATTCTCAAAGCAGACAACGCTAAAGCGAACAATACGAGTGGGACACGGAAAGCGAAGTTCAATCCCTACGCTCTCACCGCCGAGGGTCCAAAGCCCGCACGCAGGATGCATGGAGAGAGAGCCGGGAAGAGCGCTACGTGGAAGAGTTAAATGGAACGCTGTGGATCATATATTGCATTTCATACGGAGTTCGGATGCCGCCTGTATTTGCATTAACCGGGAGTTGGGGAGCGGCGGAAAAGACACCTGGAGCATTAACCTAAGTGTCCATGGGTCAAATTGGGAAATACCATTTGAGGATCGATCCTCGCACAAGTATGCTATGCTATGCGTTATATGAGATAGATAGAAATCCTACGAAGTCGCCGTGCTATAGGTGATTACTAATTGTTACATTATGCAATGGCTTTCGTGGAGCTTTGAAAATGTCCCTTGATGCCTTTTATAAAAGCTGTGGTATTTGATCTATCACGAGTTACTTAATCGGTGAATATGCCAATGTAGATTATGAGGTTAGATAGAGCGATTCTGTGAGTTTTCATTCGTAGTGCTTGGAATGTGGCTATAGTATGTATCTTTTCGAATGGATGAGATCTATGAGATTAGTAATACCTAAAACCCCAAACTTTACGTTTATATTTTCTCTCGCTTCGCAAAACGTCGCCGTTAGAACATGTAAGGTCTAACAATTATGATGTTCTCCGCCCGAGTGACATATTTCCTGCTAGATAATGCCTTCTAGAAGATGAGATCATCATCATCACTAAACGGTTCGTCCCGAATTTTATCAAGAATGGCGTTGATTAGTAGCTCCCCGTCTACTATCGCCGTCTCCTAGGCATCTCTGGGCTTCTCAACCGTGCCCGCGCAATGCCGCCCGGACCCGGGGCCCAGCCACGTGGAATCCATGAATGCGAATTTGAAGTATCCCCAGACGCGATTTATGGTCACGTCGGACAGCATCTCCGCCGCAGTGCGTCCCCGCCGCACTTTCTCGTCCTCCATCCACTCGCTGATCTCGGACGCCGAATCTTGCGCCGCACACGCGCGTCCGGCGTTCAGCAGGTCGATGACGCCTTCCGTCTCCCACAACGCGGCGTACGAGTTCCGTATCGCGAGCGCTGCTTCCTGCCAGGAGCCGTGGGAATACGCCTCGGGCTGGGCGGTAAGGGCCTCGTCCGGCTCGAAGAGGAGGAACATCAAGCTATCGTTGGCGTTCATGATAGCTACGCCGATTTCGCGGATGTGGTCCGAGAGCTTCTTCGCGGACTGGATGAAGGATTCGTGGGACTGCTTCTGCAGTTCGATGGACAGGGGGCTCCGGATCACATTCCGCTCAATCTGATCACGGAGCTCGGTGGGGAGGTTCTTTTTTTGCGACAGGACACTGCGCGTGACTTTGAGGTTGCGCACGTCAACGAGGATTTTCAGCTTCAAGATCAGAAGACCGACTAGATAGTTCAAGTCTCCAACGAACTTGTGCCCGGTGATCCATGTGGGATCTTCAAGGACGTCGGCCCCGCGGAGGTCGAGATAGGGCAGGCTGGTGTCGCCCCAATCGTAGTGTTCGTCCGGGTATGTCTCCCACCACTTTATGAAGTCGTAGCACTCCTGGTCGAGATCCAATCGCAGCAGGATAGCCGGCAAGACCGAGCGTAGCCCCATGTTGTCGCTCCGACAAAGCCTTAGCATATCCTGCAGATGCTCTCGGCTTTCGTCGACGCCGTCTAGCGTGCCAAGTAAAATCAGTTGACTCACCAGCGCGTACCTAGCTCTCATGTAGTCACGCGTGCTGAGAATGCCCCAGAAGTGGCCGACGCTCGTCTCAAAGGCGTTGGCAGGAGTCATGAAGTCCGGCGTAGCATTGCGGACCTCGTGTTCTTCCCGGGCGAGCTTGGCGCGGGCATTCTTGACCTTGTTGCAGATGGATTTGTGCACCGGTCTGTGAGCGGCCTGGTGCTCGCGGCTGCAATACCGAACCCCACGACACGCACTGCATCGGAGGAGCTGGGAGCTGTCTGTTGGGCGTGAGCATAATGGGCAGCGATGGCGGAGGGGCCCGACGGGACCCTTATACGCATCCGTGCCTCTGGCGGAAGCGAAAGGAGGCATGGCGGCCTAGGTCACGACAGGATTAAATGAGAGTTAGTGTGAAGGAGAGAGCTGTCAACGAGGGGAAGATTTATCTTGAAAAGCTATTGGTAATTGCAAAGGGAAGAATATCAATCACATATCATGTGGGATGGGGTGTGACACATGGATTCGCTAGCTAGGGGCTGCTGCTGTTATACGCACATACAGCTATCCAAAGATTTCACTGACATGCCACCAATAGCGGAAGCCTGCAATCATTCGCCCTTGACGCATCCCTGCATGGCCCACATAATATGGCGACGCGGTTGATGTAAAAGACGGTCAAGAATAAGTGAGGAAGAAGTTTGAAGTCGAACAGATGCCTCAGCTAAAGTTATCGAATTCAGTAACCCTCTATCTGACCACAACTCATCCTTTCTCTATTTAATAGGAATGTTCATTCTTCATTAGATCTGTTGCGTTGTAGAAATAAGTGACATCATACATGACATGGTATATATTACCTGTCACATCTGTTGTTCAAGCTACATAGCGGGGAAACTCAGCATATGATCCGCCCTCAACACAATTTGTGTCAGACGTGTGACCCAGGGAAAAAAGGCTTGGTATGTCCTCATTGAATGTGCCCTATAACGGTACATAATAGGTAGCCTTTGGCTAGTCATAACATAAAGACAGAGGGAGCAAAGAAGGGAACAATCACTAGAAGAAAATACAAACGTTCTTATGTGAACTTACTTCACACTGCAATTATCCCACTACACGGGGAGACTGTTGCAATGGGGCTCAACACATATAAGGATAAGGTGGTGATTATTCATTCTTTAAGGATACGGGCATGAAGCTGTTGCAAATACGTACGAGTGTAAATAGCTCTCACAAGTACCACTCAGATAATTCAAGATGCTAAGAGATAGAAACAATCCACGCACTAGAAGCTAATACTAAGACTAAGGGCTGCGGAGAGTGTTGTGCCACCTGTACAGCAGTTCATTGATTACTACATGGAGGTACGCGAGACAATGCAAATGGAAAGGGCAACTCACCAGCAGGGAGGATGAATATCGCTTCCGCCCAGATTCCGCTGTTCTTCAGAGCTTCATCCTCAGGGCCAATGAAACCCCCCCTACGATGGAATAGAAATCATGTATTGCATCGATGGGCTCATTCATATGTGCGCGGACAATGGCACAGACCGCACCACCAAATGCCAGATAATTCTTCCTGTTGAGCCTGCTGAGTAAAGACCGGAGCCGATAGCTAAGCAGCCAGGACACTATTATATGTTCAGCTTGCTGGTTAAGACGAGCATCGCAAGTGGAGAAAGAAGTGAAGGGAAAGTGAGGAGTGTTGGTACAACATGATAAACGCAAAATGGCCAACACCGGTGCAGGCGTCTCTGCTGACTAACTCTCCGGCCCGGCGGCGCTACGCGGGTTCTGGCCGTTAGCCGCCTGCTCCTCCGTTTAGAACTGTTTTGAGAGAAGACGGAGCGGTCGACCGGAGAGCTCCAACTCCGAGTGATGCCGCGCTACTCGGCGTTCCCCCCTTTTTTTTTCAGCCACCTCTCAACCCCTATCCCTTGGTGTTGGCTCGGCTGTCGCTCGAAGCGCCCGGTCGAAGAAAGGACCCAGCCGACGGAGAAGGGCGATGTTTAAGGAAATCTTAGATCTAATGCCGGAGTTTACCCATTTATTATCCCATTACCATTCTAAATGCTGCGCTGACAGGCGATCTCGTGCAATAAACTCAATATAGTATCAAAGCGCAACATGAACATTAGACCAGGCTAATCACGCTAGACATTTTAAGCTTTAAATTTCACTTTTCTATGTACAACATCAGCTATATCCCCACAAGAAACTACTGAGATTTTGTCGCGACTGTGGTTTCTTGACTGGTTTTCGTGCTTTCATGTAGCCCCTAGCTTCCCAAAAGCCTAGCTTGTCTCTCCAGGAACCTTATAATTGGCCTATCCGCATCAAAAGTCAACTTTGCTGATGTTGGTACGATCATACGGTCAAGAGATGCTTCGCGCAAGTCTTCCTTTGAAGTCACCCCGGCCCTAGGGCTTATGGTACCTGTTTTCTTGCTTGGTACGCTCTCATACCACAAATGGTACCCATACGACTGCTTCAGAATTTGCGCAAGCAAAGCCTCGGCACAGCACCAGGCGCGCTCATCGTAGTCTTGCTCCCAGAGACTTATGATAGCGTTGCACTGGGTCAGCACTAACGGCAGAGTGTTCATCCCGCGAAACGAGTCATCTTGGTCAACGCAAGCATAATCCTGAAAGGGTATCAGTACTCTGGCCTTTCATAAGGATATCAAGCAGTATAAAGGTACACATACCACCCAAATGCCTATAGACTCGCGATGTATTGAGGGATGTAATAGAAGGAACTGGTCAATGGCGCTAAGCATTCGCTTGTATTGCCTGTTCTCGTCGTTGTCTGGCCGCGTTACTGGTCGCTCTACTTGGTGGTCACCTGCCTCTTGGTCCCGCCGCCCTACCCAACGATATGAGAAAAAGATTAAGAACTTGTCCAACTCCCCGTTAGTACCTGTTTGAAGTCGTTCAAGCGGAGCTTGGTCTGATCGCGGCAAATGGCCAAGCTCGATGAATTTTGAGTATGGGATGAATTTGAGTTCATCGAGAAGACTACGCTTCTCGGTATCAGCGTCTAGTAGTTCCAAATATCGTAGGCGCAAAGATGCAGCGACTTTTCCCACATCCACGCGTAGCAGAATCGGCCGCAACTGCTCTTGGAAAATCTCTCGGTAAGCTTTGCGCACTCTCGCCCCGACCAGCTTGGCGTCTATCTCTGCTGGGTCGAGCAGTGCTTTCAAGCTACCGATAATCACTGCCTGTGTTTCCTGGTCTCCGTTAAAAACCGCGTAGTCCAGAGCACAGTACCCATGTTCATCGACTAAATCCAGGTTGGCGCCGGCATTGATTAGCTCGCGGAGGTATCCACGATGTTCCTCGGACGGCTCTTTGCAGAAAGCGATGGCGGGCGTGCAGGAATCGACGGTATTGAAAACCTCGGATGCTTCGTCAGCTCGTCCACTTTGAAGCAAGGCCCGGCCGTGGTAAAATCGAGACATTGCAATCACTGTAGGGTCGCTTATATCCTTGGCTACGTCAAGGGACTCTGAAGCTTTACTAATCGCCTCTGACATATTTCCAACAGCAGCGAGGCATAATGACAACCGTGCGAGACCAATTACTTCCCAATGCCGAAGGTTGGCATCCCAATGCGCGCCTTTGCCGACGTCAAGCGGCTGGGCCCGCAGATGCCGAGCACTCTCAACACGTTCTGTAAGCTGCTCAATGGCCACCTCGAAATGAGTTGGGTCTTGATTTACTAGCCCAATCTGATAGTTTGCCATTCCCAGATTTCCGATAGCTCGGCACATCTGCAACGAGTCGCCAATCTGTTTGGCGAGTTGATATTGCATCTGGAACGCGTCTCTTGCGTCTTCAATCTGGTCCATATGACGATAGACAACCCCAAGCTCCCCGCTGAGCTCAAGCCGGAGTTCGGGGATGATCGACTCTATAACAGCCTTCTCTAGGACGCTCTTTGCCGTCTCATATCGGCCAAAACGCCTATTCGTAGACCCTATCCTACCGAGTATGAGGCTCCGGTAGTAACTAGTACCGAGGATGTCTGCTTGCTTCTCGGACACATGCAATGCGCTATTAAATGACTGGAGCGCATGCTCCCACTCCGCCCTCTCCGCAAATTGCTGGCCTAGTGACATGTGTGCCTCTAATTGCCGGACTACCTCAACCTTGCGTGCCAGCACGCCAGGTGTAACCCCTGGCACCTCACGTATCTGTGTGTAGGACTCGACATCCTTGGGACCAAGAACGCCAGCATCATCGACGTAGCCCCTGGAAGCATCGAAGAAGAACAAAGTCGCATGCACCTTTTGGGGTGGAACCTCAACGTGGTGGAACTCCGCTGCTGCGATCGAATAGCAATCGCCAACCGCATGTGTTACAGACTGCTTTGGCACACACCGCATCAGATGCCCTGTATTTCGAATGGTTGACGATATTTGGTTCAGCTTGTAGCTACTATCTGAATTGTTGCCGTCGCTCCAGGAAAGCGAGTACGTGGCATGTGTGGCATCGGCATCGTTATCGACCGGGCCACCTTCGTAAGAATGCTCGGTGCCCTCCCCAGCTAATATCCAGCTTTGGGCAAAAACCTGATGGGAATGAACCGCGAACCTAGGGTCGCCCCTATGACCTAGCGGCTCCCAGACGTGAAGCCGGAAAAGCTCATCTATAGCCCCGTTATTCACGATGCTGCACAGGGCGATAGCGAGAAAGCCTTGAGCACTACGGGTTGCCTTGCACTGGAGCTCTCCATCCACGTCGGAATCGAGAGCATCGCGCACCAAATTCCACGCCAGGCCTAACTCGGTTGCCGTGGCCGCCACACCACGCCGCCCCTGTTGGCGAAGGAACCCAATAGCGAGCGCTAACTTGGCTAGACGTCGCGACACAGACGCTTTCGCGCGCATGTCGCCATCCAGAGTGTCTTGGCATTGGTGGAATTTGATTCCTTGTGTCTTGGATGAAGCCCATTCCGATGCTTCTCTGACATACTCACCGGCCGCCGAGGTTGCTGCTTGAACCCCGCCTAGAACTCGCAGGAAGTCTCCCAATGGTATCGTATCACAGCTACCATTCTCTTCACTCTGGACCTCGATATTCATGCTACGCTGCGAGGGAAGTCGCGTAGACATTGTGAACGCAGCCCGTTGCTGTAAAGTAGCAGCAGGGTACAGGCTGCCTCCCAGACAGCGTCGTTCGACATTGCCTTTGCGACAGGAGTGGGCCAATGGCCCCATGGACAGCCAAGACACTGGCTGCCTCCAGATCCCTGAGTTCAAATCTACGAAGCATAGCGCCGGGCTGAAGCGCGCCATTGGGCGCGGTGGTCTCATACTGGCCACGCCACGCAATACATTGCACCCACGCCGCAGTGTTATTGTGGATGTTGTAACAGAAACTGAAAATTCCCAAGGCGTCACTCCATCCTCAACGGCGGGGTAAGTATAGCCCCTCATTCGCAATATGTTCAAGCCTTAGTGCGCGGATCGTGGGCCACGCAGCCTGGGCAACTGCCCATAGGTGTGGGGGCATTGTATTGTATCGTTAGTATACCTAGGACTATACCATCCCTTACATCTGACACTTTCCATCTTCGTCGAAAGGATATAGCAACAGCCGCTATTTCATATTGTTATAACTTAGCTACGGTGCTAGTTCCTATGCTGCTGGTTTGAAAGAGAAGCCGGCCAGCATACAAGTCTCCACGCCTATGCCAGCTTAGTTATCAGCAAAGTCCTTTATAATGCAGATAGGAATTCAATAGTGTCCTACGAATGTATATATAGCCTGTGTAGTATATCATTAGAGCGCTTGTGCTATGTGTAAGAGAAGAAGAAAGCGGGGAGGCGGTTCTAACATGCTAGACGGGGCGAATGCATAGTATACTAAATCAACGTGTGAACCCGCGCAGAAGGGCTTCCAATAATAGCATAATCACACTGGTACTTTGAGTCTTGAAGCAAACCTGAATTCGGCCTACATCTTATGTAACAAATTTGCGGTGATCTGGGGTATTGCGCCAAGACAACCTACCTAGGTTTAATGGTACCGGTATACCTATTGTTCTCTTATCGTATGAGATAGCGTATTAACCATTTGTAGACCCTGTCTTGAATGGGCTAATATCTTACTGTTTTAGCAGCTATGCGGCACAGCATTTAAGCGACAGCTAGTACCGATGAGCCATGCATGTGCTTACTGTATCTCCAGAACTGTGCTATGCTAGGGTAAATCGACGTTAATATCAATACAACGGTAGCCACCGTCCCTCTATAGCCTAGATGAAGGTCTCGCTTTTCCGAGTAGCATATTGATTTTGAGCTACCCTAACCCGATGTTGGCAATGCGAGATTTGTGCGGCGTAGACACCCACGCGTTATTCAGCTCATAGCGCTTATGTGCGGTTGCGACCTGGTGCCTAGGGATCTGTTGACCACAGATCTTCAACACGGTTTTGACGTGATGACTGGACTCTGATGGGTCTTGACCTGAGGGGCCTCGGCTCTGTTGCTGAATAGTAGACTTTCAAGTCTCTGTTTGTTTCCTACTGTGCCTGAATTTCTAAGTGTCAGGGTTCATGTGACGATCTACGTTTGGCCCTGTCTATTCAAGCTGGCGCTGACCACCTGCTGAACCTACCATATTTGGCTGGTGAATGGGATAGCCAGTGGCGTGATTCGTGTTCACCACAACTGGCCTTAGTGGTATCTTGGAAGTAAATGACGAGGGGTACCTCTTCTATACCGCCCTTGATGATCATTATTTCGTGGCCTTTCAGCGTGAGTTATTAGATGCGATAGTTGTGGCTGATGGCACTGTGTGGCACACCTGCTGTGATGGAATGCTGCGGGCGGCAGAGTGAACGCGGTTGCCACCGAGTGATGAAAGATTCGAGATAACGGATTCACACGAACTGCTATTGGGCTACGGGAGCAGCATAGCATCGAACGAATATATCTGCTCTCGTGGCTCGGAAAATTGTGTCTACAAAACTCATGTCAGGCATGAAAAACGCCGCCGTTAAACTGCGTGTAGTTTAACGGTTATTATATAGCCCTACCTTCGCCCCAAAATTCAGATAGGCCAAAATGAAATTACTAGAAGAATCCATCCTAACTATGTAGCTAGGGTCGAACAGCCCGTTAAGAATCTTTCAGTTTTGCCCTCGTCTAATGTGAACTATAGACAGCCAGATCACTTCGACTCTTCTACCAGCATGCTCTAGACGAACGACTAAAACCTGTCGATTTATGTTACTAACATTAATTCTCAAGTGGTGCTCGGCTACCGACGACGTTGCGTCTACCAATTCTCAAGAGTCACCCCTATCAAGGGCAGCAATTGCTCTTATGATAATCAATATGATGTTTATCGTCGAGACGTCTACTGGGAGTCTAGAGCACTCTCAGTTCTATCATAACAATGGCACTTTTAGAAGGCGTGCTCCTGGAGAAGGTTGCTATAAAATCATAGTACTAGCAACTTTGAGCGATTAATGTTATTACGGCTAGAAGGGTCGATAGAGAGGACCTGCATTTCATAACACTCTGCGACGTCAAATTTCTCACATCGTGTTGATAATTACTGTAACAGATTTCAGCATCATGTTTCAATATTACTAAGGTAAAAACTAGAGATTGAGGTAAAATTAAAAGGATTCATCAGGAGAATTTTTGCTTGGTAAAAGACTCAATTTATTAGTTAATTCAGTGACTAGCACTAGCTATGTGAAAGTGAGTGTACACCTACGAATGCAGACCAGTTTGATTGAATAACTGATCTACGTCTATATTCTAGGATTACTTACCGCGATAGTAGTACTCATCACCAAGCCGCTCATAGAACTGGAATTCTCTTGGCTTGATGAACATTGGTTCTGTAACTGCAAGGTACTCTTTGTAGTAATCCTTTGTGATCTGTTCCTTGAGAAACCAGTATGGGGATTTGCTCCAATCTTCAACCCATGAGATTTTCCCAGGCGTATTCGGGATCTGATATACCTCAAAGAAAAGACACTCCGGTTCAGCGATTACCTTGTCGAAAACTGGCTTGAAAGCAGCGAAGAAGCTGTCAACATTTTCAGGGGCAACGTACACTGTAACGTGCAAGCTCATACCATGAGGAAAAGCCATTCTGTCTAACAGGGAGAATGTGATATGATTTCTTTGGCTTCGTGACTAATAAGGCTCTTGAGTATGAGGCTAATGAAATGTGAGTGTATGCGTGTAAGTTGAGGTGAGCTGAAGTGGGTTGGCCAAAGAGGGGCCGATGAAGGTGAAGTGAATGGGTTTAAATATATCTTTGAGGTTAATAACAAGTTCTTTGTGGTAGGTAAAGCATTGTGGCAATTATCAATTCAAGGAAACTGTTCTATAAGCTTGACCTTTGTACTTCCAAGTTTTTGGTTGAGAAGAGCTGTAGACACACAAGACTAATTACCTGTCATACGGCCAAGACTGTCATGTCTGAGTCTATACATAAGCTGATGGTAACCCCTCCTAGTTAACCTAATAATGCCCTAATCTTTTATAGGTAGAATCTTCTTTTTGGGTACTTTGCACTATAGAAATATTAGAACGCGGCTTTAACCTACGCCCCGGCGCAAATAGGTTTGCTAAGGGCTAAGTTAAAGGTTTAATTAGGTACCTGTTTTCTCAAGTGGCGTAACGCGTATGGCGTAATGCGAAGGTTATAGGTGAGGGCTGTATGTGAAAGTAGTATGTGAAGGTCTTCGCCGTCAGGGTCAAAGGTAGCTAAAAGGTCGTTTGCAACAAGCCTAATAAAAGTAGCTAGCAAAGGCAGCAAATGTTGCAAAAACCATAAAGGTAAAGGGGTTATACGGTTAATTAGTTATTTTTATAACATAAAATACCCTTTTTAAAAATTCTACTTGCGAAAGCTTGGGGCACTATCAGGTTAATCAGGGGGGATTACCATCAGTTTATCCCATCATTCGTGAGGTCTGACAAGGCCCTCTAAGGCCACCTCCAGCCAACCTCGCCTTGGCGAAAGTGAAGCATAAGCCATTGGATATATGAAGTCATGGGGTTAGATTGTTATATACACACAGAACCAACATTTAGGCAAAGAATCCCAAAAGGCGGGGGAGGCCCTAGATTGTAGGAAGCCCAAAAGCATAAATAGCACCGTTTTCTCCCCTACTTCGAAAGAGGGGAGAAACTAAGGCCCCAGAGATCCTTGGTGAATTCATTATTAGCTGTATACAGTATGACTAAGCTCCAAGCCCTCTACTAGAGCCCTTGTCATATTACCTGATACGGGCAGCCTGTCTTTACGTAGTATAGAAGTTCTAGAAACAGCCCTCGCTGGTTTAGGAATCGCCCGGCCACCTGACCCCATGTACCCATGGGCCAAGGGCGCCCCAGCCGCACCGATCGAGCTTGGCCACGCCTAATGAGCAGAACAATGGCTTGTGAAAACCCACAACATAAAGCTTATCTTTTCTTCGCTGCTCGGCGGCCGACTTCACCTTATCTTGGCCGACCCAAAGCGGTGGCACCGCATGATGATATAGGATCCTAATAGTCCAACAGTTCTGTGCGAGCATGCGAGCATGCGAACGAGCCAATAGCCTACACGGTGTAACTCGGCGCGACATGTCTTATTCCAGACGCTTATCCCTGCAGTGAACCAGGTGTCAGATTATGTCCAGGGCGGCACCGCCGGGGTGCAGTTGACTTAGTCCCAATAGAGCATGCTTGATGTAGGTATGATACCCCAACCCGGATAATCAATACGACACCATTTTCGTGTAGAACAGAGAGATATCCCTTGCTTTCGATAACGGCCAATATTACGGGTGGCGTTCCTGCCGACGTTCTCGTGGCTATCATAGCGTAATACGGATAGGAACGTGCCATCTATGGTTACAATCATGCAAGGGTTGGTCAAGCTGTCGCCATATTAGCGCTGCTGAGCTACAGGTTCGCTTCCATGTACCACCTTCCCACCGCGTGTCTCCATGCTGATTAACGGCCTTCCTATAGGACGATTCGGTGCTTCCAATCCGTCGGCAAATTCGAAAATGGTCGGTCTAACGATAATATCATCACGCTAGAGGCTGGGCGCATCTGATGGACATGTACAATAAGTATTTGAGAATGCCTATGGCATGATAACATGTCGGCCATATAAACGAATGCATTCCACGTGGGTGTGGGCTTCCCTTTCCTCTCGTCTTTGGCACTCTAGGCTGTTAGAAGTCTGTCGTGAGTCCCTCGCGCTGCTGCAATAATACCCGTGTCACTATAGCCTGTAGACACATTGGCCAATATGTGTAAGCTGTGCTTCATTGAAACAAGTTGCTTGTCGTGCCCTAACGTATGAACACTAATAGCTACGAATCCCACTGGCGCTGAGAATGTCGTCGGCCTCAACATTCACCATGATGTCGTAGAGCCAGCTGCGGTTTCTATCGACAAGCCTGTCCATGTCGAGAAGGGACCTGCTACCGTTGACGCTATACCAACGCACTCAGCCGCAGAGTCTCAGGTCGACTCGCTTGAAGGATCTAACGAAGTCGTAGACCTTGAAAGATACCCACCGCCTACCGACGAAGAACGCAAAACCTTGCGAAAGGTTTGGGACACAATCCCTTGGACTGCGTGGACCTTATGCTTGGTCGAGGCTTCCGAACGTGCCTCTTATTATGGTGTCAAGGCCGTGTTCAATAATTTCCTCCAGTTTCCACTGCCAGAGGGTGGCGATGGTACTGGCGCTGGTACGTTCACTCTTGCCCACATCCATAGTATCGTTTACCCTCCCTGACAATACCTAGTTGGTCCCAATAACCCTAATGGTCACGCCGGGGCCCTCGATCTCGGTCTTCAAACCGCGTCTGCATTGGGTCTACTGTTCACTTTCCTGGCCTATGTTATCCCTATCCTGGGTGCATGGTGGGCCGACACGAAGGTCGGTCGGTACCCCGCCATTGTATACGGCGTATTGATCGGTGGCGTAGCACACGTTATCATGAGGTGAGTGATTTTCTTGACGCTGAACTACACGGGTACAACAAGCATAAGCTGACAGTCTTGATTCCTACAGTACGATGATCGACCTGCAAAGATAATATGTTAAGATACTAACGTAATGTCTAGTCGCCGGTGCAGCACCGGCTCTACTCAAAGCTGGAAAAGGCGTCGCTCCGTTCCTAGTTTCGTTTTTTCTTCTCGCCTTTGGCGCTGGTATCTTCAAGCCCAACATCGCGCCCACTCTTATTGACCAGTACAAATATCAAAAGGAGTACACGAAAGTTCTCAAGTCTGGTGAAAAAGTTTTGGTCGATCCTGAGACGACGATTAGCCACATCCTGCTCATCTTTTATGCCTTCGTGAACGTTGGGGCTTTCTTCGCGATCGCTGTTGTCTACATCGAGAAGGTACATAACCCTTTTCTCTTCCCTTCTATGTTGTCTTCACAGCTTTCAGTCTCTGCTTATGACTCTTGCAATGGCTATGACTAACTTCAGAATCCCCAGTATCATGGCTTTTGGGAGGCCTTTCTTGCACCAGGTATCATTTACTTCCTGCTGCCACTATTACTAGCTGCTCGTAAGTATATTCCACTCTTTCCTTGCTTATTCCTTCCTTGCTTTACTCTATGCAACCATCTTATCCGCCCTAATGGATTGGTTACCGGAGTCGTGTTGTCTGACCTTGGAGATCTTAGTCTATAAGCGATTGATTAGAAAACCACCTCAGGGTTCGGACTTAACGCGTTTCGCCAAGATCACTATCGCGGCTCTTAAAAAGAGCAAAGGCAACATTTTCTCTAAAAACCTCTGGCATAACGTCAAGCCTTCTACACTGGCTGAGCAAGGCATCGTCGTTAGTTATTCTGAGAAGGATGTCAGCGATGTGGATCGTACATGGGAAGCTGTCCAGATCTTCCTTTATATTCCTATATGGGTTATTAATGATGGTGGTGTCGGTAACACTCAGAGCAATCAGGCAGCTGCCATGACCTCCAACGGCGCACCCAACGATCTGTTGAATAACTTTAACCCGCTAACGATCATTGTCGCATCACCACTCATAGCCCAATTCCTCTATCCATTCCTGGAGAAAAAGGGTATCAAATTCAAGCGTATCGATCGCATGATATTTGGGTTCCTTCTCGCTACTGCCTCGGGTGTTATCGGCGCTATCATTCAGTACCGTGTATATGAAACTAGTCCTTGGTACGTATTCCATCTTGAAAAGCTTCTCGATAGATCGGCTAGATTGCTAACTCTTTACAAGTGGGTATGCAGCCAGTACGTGCGACAACGTCTCGCCGATCAGTATCTGGTGGCAGATTCCGAATGCCTCGCTGGGTGCCCTATCTGAGATCTTCGTCAACGTCACGGCGTACGAACTTGCCTACGCTCGAGCACCCGAAAACATGAGGGCCACTGTTATTGCTCTGTTCCTCTTCATGACGGCCTTGTCTAGTGCTCTAGGAGAGATCTTGATCCCAGCCATTAACGATCCGACTCTTGTGTGGGCGTGGGCCGCTCCCGCCATTGCTCTGTTTGTGCAGACAGTCATCTTCTGGTGGAGGCACCGACATATCAATGAGGATGCATTCATGACTAAAGAGGAGGACTTCCAGTCTGTGACCATAAAGGAAGAGAAGCCGGATCAACCGGAGGTAGACGCCAACAAGGCTGATGAGAAGAAGGAAGGCTAAAACGACTACCAGTGAAGAGCTTTACTGCTAGGACGATTAAGTGCCCGAGTGTGAGACCAATACAATATGAGATGATACCGAGAACCGCACGCTGGAGAAATACATAGGAGTCAACTCAAAATCGCCTCTGCTATCGTCTGTTTGTCTCATGCCCCATGACAGGGCTACCTTCTTTCATTCAATGACCATGTTTAATGCATCGCGCTAGCTTGGTTGGACTAACAATCAAAATGAGAGGACACATGTCGAATCAAGATCCAAAACGACCTCAAATAAGCTGAAAGCTCCTAACAGTTTTTCTATAACGATCCCCTCTAACTGATTGAGCTTCAAAACCGAAACCTAGTTAGTTGGCCATGAGGTAACTCTCCGTGTTGATATTGTGACTGCTCTACCCTGATGCCCAAGCTGGTGATGTGGCAGTGCATTAATCTGCCAGATGAAGCGCAATTCGCCCTCGTTAGAAGTACACTCTTTCAGTTCTGCTGAGATAGATATAACCCTGTTCGTACCCTGTACTTCAAAATTCTTGACCGCTTTTGACGAAAGTTCCTGATAGGGGAAATGAGCCCTCAAATAGTCCGCGGCAACGAAATCTGTTCTCTCATTGCTTATATTCAGAAAGGCGTCAAGCTCAGCCCACCAACGGTCGTGAGAATCCCAGATAGCACATATGGGAGTGTCCATAGTTGAACATGCGAGAATGATGGGTTCGAGGTTCGCTTCAGATAGACCGACTTTGCCTCGAATATATGCATTTATTCCTCGGCCTTGGTGCAGGAAAGCGGCTTCGTTCTCGACCCAAAGTGCCTCTGGCACAAAAGCCTCCAACGTGATGAATTGTGGCCACGAGAGGGCTTGGTGCAATATAACCTTTATGGCCCGCTCGAACCTTCTGTCTATCTCAAGTGATTCAGAAACGTCCACCGTCTTTCGTATGTGCATCAGCCTCATTGGGCACCTGATACGTGTCTGCGAGCCAGCTTGGAATAGCTCACTAGGTCTGGCACGAACAAACCCATCTTGAGTTTTAGCCAGGTAGATTCCTAGCCAACCCAGGGACGTATTTATAGGCCAATCATCACGGTACGAAAAACCTAGGTTCCATATAAAGTCGTGACTAGCAGTTGGGACGCTCACCATTGCTGCGGTTTCGATACGAAGACCCCTATTTGTGAGAGTGAACTCAGTGGGGAAGATGGCACCTTTTATGCGGTGTTTCATTTCTCCACAATGGTAGAACTCTTCTGGAGACCTTGCCAATATTCCTCTGTAGTTTTGGGAATAATCTAGTTGCTGCCAAGCGAATAGAGATAAGTCGTATGACTCCTTCGCGATTTCTTCTTGTAACCTGATGAATGCCCTTCGACCTTCCCCATAGATCAAAGGCATGTTGACATTGAAGATACCTAGAAGGCAATATGCCATATCCTCTATCCTGGTGGTCTGCCGCTTTGAAGCCCATGAGAATCGCTGTGCTACCGGAACAAATCGTAGTTCCATTTGGTTATCCAATACAGCCTCGCCTACACCAGTCGCTTTCGATAGGAGCCCCTTCCAGTCATGTTTGGATCCCCTGAATGTCCAGGTTGAGTCGAAGAAGAAAACTTGAGGGGGTGCGATCATCTCCTATTAGATACGCTGTTGTCAGTCATTGCCAACTGGGAAGGGGTTCAGCTCACGTTCATGCAGGAGCAATAAGGCCCAAAACAGGCCAAAGGAAACTAACCTGAAGGGTCCAACCCCGTGTCAGCCACCGGCAATGGGGAAACTGATTCCCAAAATCGGGACCTTGAGTCGCGGGGTCAGATGGGCCGGAGAGATCAGATATGAAAGCTATACAGAAAGCAGCATCCTGGTAGTATCTGAACATGGAGTTGATAGCTTCCGAGAGCTCTGCACTGGATGACTTGTCAATGCAGCAGGTGTCAATCCAAGCATATGATAAGCCATGCTGGGCTGCGAGCTCACACGTCTTGGTGATCTTGACAAAGCGAGTCTGTTGGCACGCGTCGTCTAGGGACCTTGGGTCGAAGCTGCGAAACTGCTCGAAGGTAACCTCATTTTCTCCCCAAGTATGAGATAATACAGCATAAGAGCCCTTCTCAGCCTCCGTCACGAAGTTCAACTTCAATGTAGACGTGTCTATTAGCCACATAGCGAGGTATTCGGCTTTAGCAGGATGGCGATGGTTCAGGCAGGCTGCCTATCAGCGCTATGAATCAAGCTGGCTGGGGAGGACCCAAGACCTGGGCTGACTGGTACAAAATGACATCGGGAAATTTGGAGATAACACAGCTGTGTCAGATCTAAGCGCAGGAGCGTGTGCTACTTGATCAAGAGCGAAAACGAAAATGAAATAAGGGATTTAAACCCCATTTTCATGCCCTTCATTCTGGCTTCCAAGGTTGAGTGAAAGTGGGGGATACCTACCTTAGGTACCCAGGTACCTGGGAAAGCAGCCCTGGGATCGATTGGTCAGCCACCAACAAGCCACACCTCGGGTGGCTGTGCGCGTTCCTTTCTGATTTTCAGCGCCGCTTAGATCGTCGTTCATGATAGCCTATCGAACTTCCCGAAGAGCGCATACCAGGCATGAGATTGACATTTTGCTCTTGCCAGTGCCCGAGTTAGGATGATATCCTCATTTGGACCCCATTATGGGAGGTCCATCCGCATGGTGAGACATGTTTCGACGCGTCTCCAAGTCCGACATGTTAGCATTGCGCCGTCCAGCTTCCGATATCACGTCCCCAAGGTTGTGAAGGAAGCTCAGCCATCCATGAATAACCTGAGACGTACATCACTCCAGGAGGTGGACAGTATCACAGCGAATTCGAAACTAACTAAGATACTGCGCATCTGTAAACAGGATGCTGAGAACTGCCTGCGAGAGCTCAATGATCGTGACTCATTCGATGTGGAACATATCAATAAATGGATCTGGAAGTTTGAGGGCCAGGCACACAAGCTCAAGTCCACCCGTCGCCGATACATGGCACTTTGCACAATGCAAATTCTCTTGAACATTGTTTGGAGCCATTCTTATCCCTCGAATCCCAACCGTATGTCGATGCGGATCTTGGGCTTCATGCAGGAATTCGAAAGGCGGGAGATACAATGGTTTGGCTTACGAGATGCTTTAATACAATGTATCGAATCTACACAACGTTCATACACCATCTCAGAAGCATCCATCTTCCAATCTAAAGAGGCAGAAGAAGGACAACAGCTGGAGGACCAAGAGAGTTGGCTGAAAATACAGGCTGCACAAGATCAACTTCGACGAGCCCGAGCCATCATGCAAGCCTCCGATGCCCTCCTTTTGGAGTCCCTATATGCGTTAAATTCCCGAGTCCTGAGAAGAGTTATCGACGATGCAATGCTGGTCACCGAGACCCTTGAAATGATCAACAACCGAACATGGCTGGAGGAACACCTGGCAACCGCGCAGGAGTATTTGTCTAGCTTGCAAACCGAAATATCCCTGATAACTGGATCATCCACTCCGTCGCTCAATGATGACGACAGATACGAACTAGAGTCTATTATGAAGCTCTATGATCTGTATCTTACTATTGACAAGATGCATTTAAACTAAAATCAGTCGGCCCCTCTCCGTCATACATATGGGAATTGGAAGCCGCGGTTAACCAACGCAGTCTAACCCTACAGATGTCCCACCAGCAAAAAAGGGTCTCATGGAACGATGAGACCTCCATAAATCAACGTTCTCTAGGGACTGAAATATGGATACAGTCACAGCATATCATGTTCAACCAGAACGGCCAAATACTGCAAAGGCGACTGACATATGTCCCGTCTGACTAGGCAAGGACACCAATCTGTCGTATCATGTACTTGTATCCGCACATTAGCAATGCGTTCATATATGAGTTCCATATACCCCTCACAGTGGGTTCCCTTAGTGACAGATTCTTCTACTCTACAACATCAATACAGTCCTATGACCATACAATCGATACCATCCCCAGACGTTATACAACAGCTCGTACTTGTGCAGTTCCGAAAGCTCGAACCTCATCGCAACGGGCCGAACTCCCTGAAATAGGTGATAAGCCGGATAGCAACCCAAACACCGGCACATAGCAGCACCCAGTAGCACAAGCCCCGCAATGATAAGATGATCTTGATCTTCTTCATGCTTTGTGTGTCATTGCAACGCGGGAACGGTACGGAGGCGGGAGGCACGGGCTTGCCTAGGAACTCGCAGATTGGCGCCCAGCCATCCTGTGGTTGCCACTCTAGCACGTCCCGTCCTCGTTTCCGCGCTTCATCACGTACGAATTGATTGTACTCGTCGTACATTCTTCTATACATTTCGGGACTTTCGGGTTGGCCGATCCCAATGTGACGCTGTGAGAGCTTCTGGAAGTCAGTATATGTACTTGAGGTCTTGGGCGTTTTCAGCAATGGCTGGTGTTGGACAACTTACGTTAAAAGCGGCGAGATGCATCTGCACATGCAGGCGATCGGCCTTGCTGAGGAGGGTTATGATGCGATAGAACCACGAGACGAAGAACATGAGAGAGTCATCAACTGACTTCCCCCATACCAAGCCGTTAGCGCGCTGGTTGAGGATGATTTTCGCGTCGGGGTACATGTCCATGAGGTCAGCGGTGAAGGCAACCCCTGGGACGTCTTCGCTCGGTTAGCTACTGTGTTGTAATATCTGCTGATCACATTCCACCTCCCAAATGCCATTAGAATGAAAAATATCGTACCGCAAGTAGCCGCATAGCCATCGAACAGCTTATGCAAGATTTTCTGGCGCATCTGCTTATCTTCTTCACCCAGTGCATCAATGACCAGCTATTCATCCACATCAGCAGTGAGTCTTCTTCCGGCACGACAACCTCACCTGGGTTCTTTCTGGCCTCAGCGCTACTCTCTTCATGTGCATCGTAGGATCGCAGTCGAGCCATTCTGACTGAAGAGCTCTCTGCAATGAAGTGGTTGCGCATCTTTGGTGCAGTGTTAGATTTGCAATTTCCAAGCTCGCAACATCTCTCCGCGCTCACCTAGGCAACCCAGCGGCTATAACCTTCATCTGGTGATGTGGCTTCGCAACTAGCGTCTCGCGATCGTCGTCCAGGTGTCCCATCTTGACAGTCGGCCAGTTGATTATGAAGTGTACTGCGTAATAAGCTGCTGCTGCGAAGAAGCTAGCGGCCAGGAAGGACTTTGGCAGAGGGAGGAAGGACATCGCCATTTTAGTTAGAAAGGGATTCCAGCTATCATATATGGCCCAACTGATGAACAAGTGGCAAGGCGTGCCAAGAGAGGGATGAAAGCCCGAGTCAGCCAGGAAGCCATCTGCGCCATCTGCTATAGGGTGATTCCTCCGGACTAGATCCCTCGGACAGTTAGTTGTACACTATTTACAGGCAAATTTCACTCCGTATTGATGATCCGGCGTGTCGCACACAAACAATACTAGTTGCGTGCAGGACAAGGCGGTCTGACGTGTTTCCAGCCATCCGGTAGTACCAATTACGGATGAACCGTTCCTGAGTACAAGTCCTACTTATGCCTTCTGTCCAAGAGAGTGCTCTAAGGCTGGTGGGAAAGGAACTTGGTGTCTTTCATGAGCTGGCAAGAGCCATTTGCGAGGCCAGGAGGCCTGTCCGGAGCCGTTGGCGTTGTGCCACTGCTCAGAGGTGTACATATAGAGCTTTAGTTTTTTAAGCTGCATCTAAAATGGATGGTTGCCTTGTATTACGGGCCTCGAGACTGTCTTAAAAATAGTGCCTGGTGTTACCAAAGACTGTGATTTCGCTGTGTACTCATATGTTCTCATCTGCAACCCGGATGGCGTAAGTCTGTTTGAAACTTTTCGGAGGTGGCTGCAGGACATTCATAAGCAATCTCAAATGATATGATAGAGTATCACAGTGGTACAGAGTTGTCAGCTGACGGATCACATGCGGATATTATGACATTCATTATTATTGTTAGCGTTGTGCCCTTCTGTACCTACCCTGCAGACCTTCCCTTCCGTAGTTATCTAGGTACTTGAAGGTATTAAAATATGACTTGTGATCACAGCTAGGGAGACAGGCAGACACATATCGGAATACCGAGAGCCTAATATTTTTAGGAGTATGACTGGTTTATTGCTTCAAAGGTATGGAGTAGTAATATAGCCACTCTTCATCGCATTGGTGCCTCTAACTGTGACTTGCATGCGTCAAACAAGTGCTACATCCACTGAATCAATACTGCGTGACTCAACAAGCACTTCACACAGTTACTTGGGTTGATGTACACCCTTGGACCTTCAAGTCTTCGTATTCACTTCCTTCACGACACCGTTCTATGAGGACGCCGATGATTTGCCAGAGAGACTTGTGTCTAGAACCACAACGAGACCGCTGCTGGCAATCTGCCTAACGCCTTCAATCCTCGCCCCTCCGACACGATATCTTCGCGATATTCTCCTTCGCGGAGAAGGGATTTCATCCAAGTCCTGCCACGTGAGGCATAGACCGTCAAGTATTGATAAGTCTTGCCGCCACAGAAATCAGGGTCTATGAAGTTGCACGCCGCTGATGGAACAGGCGCTGCTGGCCACGTTCAAACAAAACGCCGGGCCCACTCTTGGATGCGGCTGCACCGCTTTTTAAGAGAGGCCACCTAGACTGGCCAAAGGTATCGCTCACCTAAAATGCAAGTACTTTCTTATACCTCATTACATACATACCACTACCTATCATCTATACTATAATATACATACTTGTCACGACGGGCGCAATGCGCAGTGTCGTCGGTGAATACTGGAAACACACTGTTAATTGTATGGTGACGAAGTAAAGGATGACTTAACAGGTCATGGGCTTCGTTACTTAGGCTAGGTATACCTATATACTACGGAGGGCTGAATAAGTTTTCGGAGGTCCGGAGGGGTTAAGGCTTAAGCTATTTGTTGGAACATTGGCAATTGGTTGCAATCCCGTTGACTACTTCGTACATCGGTTCCCTTCTTTGCCGTAGTGTACTCTTCAGTGACTATACCGTATTGCCTACATTGTTGATTACCTACGAGTTCGATCATTGTGACAAATGTTGCGACACGCATGCACGTCTGGCAACTCTGAGAAAAAGGGATGAAGATAAAACACAAGAGCCAAAAAAAAAGTTGACAAAATAAACTCCCCCGGAAAGGCTCGAACTTTCAACCTCCTGATTAACAGTCAGACGCGCTAGCCAATTGCGCCACGGAGGACGGATGATGACTGTGTGTTTTCATCAGTGATTTGACGGGATATTAACCTTAATTATAAAGAGCTACATTGTTGAACTGCCTAGGTAAGTTAATCAAAAACACAACCGGCCCTAGACAAAGACTGAACTTTTAATTTCCCTTCCGCTTCCCAACGTGCGCTTGACTGTACTAGACAATTGACAGGCGACCGAGATGTGTGCTGGTGAGTACCGAGCTCAAGTCAGTCCTATTAGGCTGCCGATTACTCGGTTGTTGGTGTATCTTATCAATCTGAGTGCAAATTTCTGTCTGTTACTGGGGTAATTGGTATGCTCACTTATACTTGTGTAGAGAAGTGATGCGGCAGGATGGCCTGGCACCCCAACCGATGGGCTTAGCAGCACCACGGGAGGCTCACATGTGAGATTACGGCTTAACAGCTCCAGGTGAGGCTTATAGGCGCATCAAGAGAGTCCCACCACTCATTGATAGTTCTCGTTTAAGGTCACATGTTGCTCATAAATCTCACAACCCTACCTCTGCTCATTACTGCTTAGGATAATCTCTGCAATCTAACTCGCTACCTTAGCATGCCAACTCTATCATCCTCATTCGACATTCCAATTTTCATAAGAGAAACAGGAAGCAAGAGACCGAGAGTTTCCCGTTAGGAAGATCCTGTCAGACCGGGTCTAACTAAAGATGGTCATGAGAAGGTGACTACATACACACTGAGTTGCCAGGCTGTATTGAGCCCCGTTCAATCGTTTTCATAAAATTGTCCGGGGCTCATAACTGTCCCGTAATTTGCCCCTTGCAGTAGTGGGTTCAAAAAATAACCACACACCTCCCAGACTAATCACCACCCACACCACCTACCCCTTTTCAGCCCTCATAGACCTCCAAATATCTAGATTTTTTTAACAAAATATAATTATATATAAATCTAATAGGCAATCATTTCGCCTCCGGAATTAATTATATTTTACTAACGTTATAATATATTTTTTATGTTTATATTTAAATATTCTTAACTTAATTTAGTTTACCCCTTTATTATTAACTTTTTAAAAGCTTTAAAAAACTAATAATAAAGTGTTTTTAATGTTAAATTCATTTATTTAATTAACAATTTAATAAAATTAATATTTAAACTATTGTAAAGTATATAAAATGCTTTATAACTATTATTTTATAACTATTTTATAATATATTTTAACTAATATACTTTAGCTTTATTTATTTATAAAATAAAATCCTTTCCCTTAAATTATACTTTAACCTTTATTAAAATTAGCTATAAGCTTTATATAAAAATAAAGGAATTAATTAAGCTTATTAATGTTATACGGAGGCTTCACTTCTGAAGGTAAGGCTTTGTATGACAGCTGGAATTGTATACTAATTCAAGTATGAAGAAGAAAAGAGAACTATTGTACAGCGGCCCATCTTGGCCAGGTCCTTTATAGGTTAAGGGCAATTGCGGTTTGTGGGTCAGGTGGCAACAGCTGTCCAGACTGGCAGGCGCACACAAGTGTGGTGGGCCGTACGGTAGCCCTGTACGCGTGAGGTACATGGGTACCTACTGCCACTGGCTACAATCCGTAACTATTAAGTTATTTAACGGGGTTTTATAAAAAACTAAAGATAATTTAAAATTGTAGCCTATAATATTAATATAATTAATAAATATATTACCTTTTTTTTAATAATATTTCTTCTTTTTTTAACGCTGTTTTTTTATTTCTTTTATATTATTAAAATTATTTATAAGTATAACTATTTATTAAGCTTCTTTTTTAATAGCGCTATAGATAACTTTTTTATATTAAATATTATATTTAAAGCTAAAATAAAGTTTATTTAATAAAATAACTTTACGCTATTACTTTTTATTTAAAAATAGCTTTAATTTAACTTTATATTTAACTTAAAGGACTTTTACTATTTTTATTAATTTTAAATAGCTTCCTTTATTATATATAAAATATATATATTATTTTATAAGGTTTAAATAGTTATATATTATATAGGCTTATTTTAAAATTATAACGTTAATAGTGTAATAGGGTTAAGAATAGGGGTATAGACATTATGGAAGAAAAAGTATAGCGGATGCTTCACTTTGATTTCTCTTGTTGCTTTCACATATATAAGATATAGGTTGCCCTAGTACGAACTAAATAAACGAAACCTAATAGATAAACTATAATATACTTTAAAGAATATATATTGCCTTACCTTTTATACTTATTAATTAAAGCTTTTTATATATTATTTTATAATTTTTAATAAAAGGTTATAGGTTTATTGGTTTATTATTATTACCTATTAGCTATCCCCCCCTTTAGCTCCCTTTATATTAATATCCTTAATAAGGTAAATAAAACTAAAACGCTTAATATTCCCTAAAGTATAACTTATAATTAAAAGATTAATACTTTAACTAACGGAGCTTATAAAAATAAAACATTAAATATTTACTTTTAAAAAGCTTACCGCTTTCTTTTTTATTCTTTAAATCTTACTATTTAAATATAGCACCTTATTAATTATTTTAATTTTTACTATATAAAATTACTTAAAATATAAAAACTAAAGAAATAATATAAAGTATTAAGTTAATATAGGCTTATTAAAATAGCTTATAAATTAAAAATAACTTAAAGAGAAATTATTAATTAAACCATTAATAAATATTAATTTAAAAATAATAAATTATAACCTATATTTCCTTTCCTTATTTTATTAAATTCTTTTAACTAGCTTAACTATTTATAAAATATTATATAAACTTTTATAAATAAAGCTAAGTAAACTCTTACCTTACTATATAAATAAATAAAAGAATAAAAAGTAAATAATAAAAAATAAAATAGCTAAACCCTTATATTTAATTTTAAAAGTCTTTATTACCTTTATTTCTTTAAATTATTATAAAAGATATTTTTATAATATTATAAACTTATAATTAAAACTATTTTATTTATTTAATTTCCCTATATTATTAAATAAAAATCCTTAAATTTAAATAATACTACTTATATTAATACCTATTAATAATTATTTAATTAATAAACTTAATAATATTACTTTAAATAACTTAGGAATTAAAGGATCTACTTTTTTAAATTTACTATCCTATAAAATAATAACTTTATAAAA